GCTCAGACCAGTTCTTTGGAAGTCCCTCAGCAGGAGGTGACCAAACATTGAAACCCCAGTAGCACAAGGCGGAAACAATGATTCCAACCGGGAAAGCAAACACATAGAGCCGCTGAGCCCCAATTGGTACTCCTTGAACGCCAATAGAGGCTAAAAACCCGGGGAAAACTGGCACCATACCCAGGAGATAAGCTGAGTACGCTCGCCAGTTCCAGCCAAAGAAAAAGTAGTACGGAGCGCTCTTCTCGAGTGAGAATAAGCCGTTCAAGTTGTAACTACCTTTACGAACAAGGTAGTAGTCGCCGATGAGTACGCCTATGATAGCAGCTAGGAAAATATCGTACGCGCCGAGGTAGCTGGTGAATGTGAAACTCGATTTTGTCAACTGCCAGGGGTTGATAGCAAAACAGACGACCATGACTAAAAGGGCGCCACGAGTGTAGTTGATGTATCTATAAATCAATAAGAATGAGGTTCAAACCGATAATATGAGCTTGGGTCAATTACCGGGGCCATAATGCTGAAGTGTCGTTGCCTGCGGCGATCAGATTCGCAAATATCATCGTCGTACATTGAGCATAGGAGAATCCTAATGCTATGAAGAAAACTCCCGCACGCGTTGCAGAGTCGTACGACTGAGTAAGGAACCCGTCTAGAATCATCATAGGATCCCAGTATATCTCTCCGAGAATCGGTTTAGAGGCACTAGTCACAAATACGCCAAAGAATGCAATGAACCCGTATGCGATCGGCACACCGAAGAGCTGAGTCCACCACGCATCCCTCGGTTTGCGTGCATAACGAGAAATATCGGCGTTGTTCGTAGCAAATGTGGCCATATTTGACGCTTGTAGAAGGAGATTGTTTAGGAATACCTGTAAGGCTTTAGATTTTATATCTTTGAGTTGCTTCAACTTGTGATACATACCCAAGTATGCGACTGGCCCTTCGGTATATCCGCTCCTTGGTAGATGATTGGGCCGATCCCATGTGCTTTACCCACAGTCCTATATATGCGTTAATATCAAATGTGTTATTTTGTTAGTGAACTTACCAGCCGAAGAAAGCCACTAGACAAATGACCATCAGGACGCTCTTGGTGATGATGATACCGGACATCTTGGAGGGTTTGATAAACACTAGTGAGACAACTATGACCCACCCAAGTGTAAACCCAATAAGCTTACCGCCTGTCATCGAGACATCGGATGAAAATGGATTATGAACATGAGCAATTGATGGGAAGATAGCATGGAGCATGACGTAAAAGCAATTTCCGCTGATGAAAGATTAGCCATTATGCAAAGAGCTCTTGGAGGGATTGTTGTGAGCTCTTACGTGGTTACCAGTTGCACACCACTCCAAACGATTGTCATAACGTTGCGGTTAATGATGGGCCAATAACTCCCCCATACTCCAAAACTTGCTCGAGCGATTACGGGGAAAGGAACGTGATATGTCGCGCCCGCTCGTCCAGTCAATGTCATAGGGATCGCCACTATGAAAGTTCCAAAAATCACACAGATCCATGACTCCCACCAGGTCTGCCAGCAGATGAGTTAGAGAGCTGCTTCGAGTTTGAGATACATTATCTCGTGGTTACACTTACCAAACCACCAGTAACACCCGTTGCAGCAACGGTCCAGGCAGTGACACTGGCACATTCACCAAACCAATATAAGCCGTCTGCTCAGGAGTCAGCACTCATTCTGTAAGATTTCTCATTCACTCTATCCTAGCCACTCACATGTCCACTTTCCCCAGTTGCGCTGATCAGCTGGCACAGGAAGAAGGTCTGGATTTGTAAAACTTGGATTATAGTCCATAATGTTCGTGTTTGACTTGGTTAGATCAAGTCTTCCCAAGATCCTTCTAAACCAAGTGTCATTTTCATAAACCGTAGGATTATCAAGAGAAGCTACGCGACCCAGATCCGTTTGGTCCCCTTTCTCAGCTTGAACGGGCTCGTTACGCGCATTGATCGGCACTCCTTGCACGACCTCCATGTTTTCGTTTTTTGGCCACATATCGGGCGCTGATATTTCGGCAACTGGAACAATTCAATGCAAGATACAATCAGTATGGACAGTTTGCGGTGCAAAGTTCAAAGCAAGGTGTTTGTTGTTGACTATCATTTGGCAGCAGTAAAGGTGTCCCGAGGTACCACAAACATATATGTTTATCTATAGCCTTTGGATCAACCTTAGGTTTACTACCTACGTCGTAACAAGACTACTGAACTTCTACGTACAGAATACACGCCAAACCATCTTCAAACACTCTCTAGTTGCTATTATGTACCCATACTAAAGCTGGCTCGTTATCTAGGCACAGTCGTTGGGCTATGGTAGTGTTAGAGATAGGATATGTCCGTGCTTGATAACGATAGACTTCATAGCAGAGGCTTTTCGAGAACCAGAACGCCAGGGAGCAAGTAACTCTGCAAATGGCGACAGATAACCCGATATTCAAGTGAATGACTGTGACAGCGTTGCACATGCCCCACTTTGGTGTTAGTTGTCAAACTCAAGCGTGGCTTTTATCTCAGGGATTTGTCTCGCTCCCTAAACCATCCAAGGTTAGATTTAGCTCAATGCTAAGAACGGACTCGACCAATCAAATTACGCCTTTCTAAAGACGATCGTAGGCAGGCCGACGATTGTGGCTTGACAGGTCTCTTATCTCAAGTATATCCTAAATATATTACAGTAGCGCTGTTTGGTGACATGGGTTTACAAGTCTTATCAATGAAGTCGAAATGATGGAAAAGCCAACTCCCTTTTTAGCCATGATCGATTCTTTCCTTTTGGGTTAAAGCCCTGTTTGTTTGATCCGATATTTCTAGTGAACCTACAGCTTAGAATGGTTACGAAATGCGGATATGACCGCTTTAGAGGCAAAGAGTATGTCGACATTGTACATACGTGAATAGATCCCAGTTCGGACTGCTGTAGACGCAAGGTAGAGGACACTTACTTAGACTCAAGAAAAGAATTGAAGACCGTAGAGAACTTCGCCAGATCGATGAAATCCTCCTATAGACTCTTTGAAAATACGAAACACTATGTCGGCAGTTACCAAGGTACAAAAATAACGGGAAACAGTATGCTTGAATGAAGGCTAATGACAAGCAGCCAGAGTTCGAAATCCCCCTTGTGGACTTCTCAAAATATCAGCATGGAGATCCAGCGGAAAAGAAACAGTGTGTTGCTGAGATAATGAAGGGCTTTACAACGTCGGGATTTCTTTACCTACAAAACACTGGTCTGTCGCCCGATACGGCATATGACTGGAGCAAGAGATTTTTCGCCTTGCCCCTGTCAGAAAAGGAGAAACACCCGAATACAGACAGGAAAGCAAACCGGGGATATTCTGGATTTGGGACAGAGAAAGCAACTAACATCAATCCTGACGATTCAGAAAGCATTGCTAAGTTACGCGAGGCTATTCCTGATATAAAGGAGTCGTTTGAAATCGGGAGCGACCCAGGATATTACCCCGTCAAGCCATATGTCAATAGATACCCTGATGCATTGCCGGGATTTGGAGAGGCCATGAAGGTTTTCTTCAAGCAGTGCGATGAATTGCATCACGAGTTGATGAGCGCTATAGCAGAAGGCTTGGGTCTTAACAAAAACTTCTTTCGAGGCGAAATTACTCAGGGGGACCACGTCTTGCGTCTACTTCATTATCCGGCCGTACCCAGGAAGGTGCTTGATGAAGGTGGTGCGGTGCGCATTGGCGCCCATACCGATTTCGGGACTGTGACGTTGCTCTTCCAGGACATGAGTGGTGGCCTTCAGGTGCAAACGCCGGATGGATCATACGTAGACATACCACCCATCGAAGGCGCCGTTGTCATCAATGCCGGTATATTCAAACCAAAATTTTCTTTCATCACATAAGCAAGTAGGAATGACCTCGTTTAACTGACCTCTTCCAGGCGATTTGCTTCAGATCTGGACCAATGATGTAATCAAGTCAACATATCATCGAGTGGTATCTCCTCCGGATGCTTTGACGACAGATGATGGCAACTTTTCAGCGAGATATTCAATTGCGGTACGATCACGCCAGCAATTCGGGCTTGAGAGAGGCTAATCATTACAAATAGTATTTTGCACATCCGGACCACGAAAAAGTGATCAAAGCACTTGAGACCTGCTATAGTGACACCGTCCCTAGAAAATACACTCCAACTATTCCAGGCGAGTGGATGGTCAAGAGGCTTGAGGCGACATACTAGGACAGCGGGACAAGGCGGAAATTATGGAGAGAAGGTAACAAAATTGGATACTTGCGAATGAGTCCAGCATCTACAGTATCTTGACAACATTTGAGAGTGAAAGAAGTTTCCTAATCCGTCAAAACATTGCCGCGTGGAAGACTTCTTCGGCATCGGTATATTCTTATAGAAGTCTCGCAGTTCCGTTTGAGACACGAGAACTCTGATAAGAGGAATATTTTAATTACTTGTAGTAGAAGTATGATGGTATTACATTATCCAAAGCTTCGCTACGCATGCACGAGATCATATCACACAAAGTCATATGTGGTCAAACTGAACGCCCTAAAACACTAATTCATCCTGCAGTAAAAGACTGCTTTTCAACTATTAGACATTATTTGATTTCCTGGTCCACCACACTAGTACCAGAACTAATAACCCACAACGACAACTCTTTTGGGTATAGGATCCTCCAACCCCCTTCTTTTGGCATAATCCGAGAGAGCGAGGGTATTGTGACGCCGAAAGCCAGAAAATCAAACACGCAACGAGTGGTGGTATCATTAACATATGACAACGTAATGACAAAGAAGTGGACGATTTTTTTTTGTTTGCTTGTCACTACGGCTTGATCGCAGCCCGTAGATTTGGTAGGCATGATGACGCGGATAGCGTATGTGCCGCTCGCTAGACCAAGTTGTCGAACAGAGTCTGGTAATATCGAGGTGAGCTGGCGAGAGACGCTTCGACTACAGCATCGCTAAGCTGGGGTTTACACAGTCGCGGCAGCTGGCTCGGCGGCGACCGGGCCGCCGGCCGGAGCGGTGGCAGCCTTCTCAGGGTATGTGCCCGGAGCGGTGGCGACACGGCCATACTGAGTGAAGGCCAGGTTCAGTCTGCCATAGTCCCAGTGGCGGGCGAGGAAGAGGACACAGAAGGCAGTGACGGGGAGTAGTAAAACGTCGAGGATACCGAAGAAGATGAAACCGGCCGTGACCTTGATCTTGTTGCCGCCGTCAGAAACACCGAAGGCAATCGGGTATAGCAGCCAGAGCAGGTTGACCCAGCCAGCCAAGACGGTATGGTCTCGAGTCACGCCGACGCGAGTTGCGCCACGGTGGCCGCCAGCAAGCGTCTGGAAGGCCAGCAGCAGGTAGGCGACCGTACCGAAAGCGTAGAATCCCCACTTGTAGTTGGTCTCGGTGTAAGCTGAGAACAGGTACGAGAGGATCCTGTAGAAAAAGATTGTCAGTTCATTATTTGTTCCTAGAAGAAGAGCATCGCAAATTAAGAAAACCTACCAAGTCCATGCCAGTCCGATATTGAAGAAGATAGTCGCCCAAGAGACGCCACTAAGTAGACCCAAAGCGATGGTGACAACGGGGAACTCTATGACCCAGTATACATATTTGGCAAAGAAGATCTGGCGAGTTGCACCTTCGCCGAGTGAGTTGGTTTGCTGTACAACACTCCAGGCAAGGTCAGAAGCCATGGCAAAGTACGCGATAGATCCGGCAAGCAAGCCAATAGTGAAGAGGTAATGGAAGATCTTTTCGCCCGAACGTGCAACGAAGCTTAGTGCGAAGAAAGCAAGCTGAGTACCGTTTGTTAGCTTTGTTACTCCCACGGTATCTCTACTCAATCAGGGTTGTCTTACAAATGAGACGACATAGATAGCTGTCACAGCCCACAGCCAGTCGGAGCCATGTGTCGAAAGATGAATCTCACCCGCTGGCGGATTCACATCAAGCGCATCGTTGTCGCGAAGGAGAATAAGACCCATAATGAGTTATTGGCAAGTGAAACTATCACTTGTACGAGTTAACGATAGGTGATAAAATGTCTTAGTTAAAACGTGGTATAAGATTGGGCCAGAAGGCTTCAAGATCTCTGTGATACCTGATGTAGTAGGATGATGACGATGAATCAGATATACAGAAGGAGGGGGCGACGAGGCTCTTATACTGCGTCCTTACAACACTACAGATCTAAGTAGATGCCGTACGCCAGCCGATAGAGTTCTCGCGCAATGGGCCGGTCAGTCATTGGGAACTTTCTCGAAGTCCGAGCTGCCCGAGAGGTCGGAGAGTGCAAGCGGGGCCGTCAGGAAAGAGACGGCAAGACATCTGTGGATGAGCGAGCATCGAGACATCGAAGAGGCTCAAAGCTTAGGGAGGCTCGCACTCGTATTGGTCAATCTGAGCCAATCCAAACAGACCGGAAGCTTCAGTCCACTAAGACATGGTGGCGGGACGTTCCTGGTTAGAAGAGAAAGCTCCGTTTGCTGTGGGTGCCATGTCATGAGACTATAGGCTAGTCTAAACTCTGGGTCCAGGCGGACATGACGGATGTAGACGCCCCTTGTGACACATGAGCGGATTAAAGCACAAATGGTGGAGCCAATCCAACACCATGCATCATCACCACGCATCAATTCTGTGGGGAAATGGCGATGATGATGCGACGGGAGGTCTCGGGACGGAAAGCCCATGACGGCGATGACTGGCTGGCTCCGAATATCTGCATGTGTGCCACTAAGATCCCTCTTCTGACATGGCACGACCGCGCACCACTGGATGTGAGTTTGATGATCCATGGGATCGATCCTCAACCTACCAACGCTTGTTGGCTATCCGTCCTTCACCTCAGGGCTTCCGGTGAGGGATTGGCTCAGATCCTACAGGTGGGACGCCTGCAGGGCTGAATAATGCTGAATGAATATGGGGCTCTCGGGAGGATTAGCCGGGCGCCTTTGAATATGAAAGAAACGCCTCCAGAGTGGAGTGTCCAGGGAGGTTTAAAACATTAGTGAGCAGAAGCTTAGTCTGAAAAGCGTGAAATCAGTATAAAGTGGAGGAATGAGAGTCGTGGAGTAGTAGTGGCTGCGTCATGACCTCATAGCCACTTGCTGTCTAGAAATTGATAGAAGCAGAAGTAGACGAGATCACATCATCGGCATCGTCGGATGTGGTGACAATGGAGAAGAAAAGAGATGCAGCAAGAATTTGGCCAAAATTCTGTTGTCGTTGGAAGTAACAAGTGGAGAGACCGGCATTGGTCCCACCAAAATGCCCAAACAGTGCAGTGCAGTTACGTGATCGCCCATCTGCCGGCAGGTGCGATGCACGGGCACCTACATAGTAATTCGCACACCGCATATACCTACGCTGGATGTTGCCCTTGCAATCGAGAATTACCCTATATCTTCGAAAGGGTTTGCCAAGAGACATTACGAAGATATGTTACACTTCACGTGGCTCCCAATTTAAGAAGCGTACTCCTGGAAGCCTTGAGACATGCTTTGTATTGACCACCTAGCTCTCCTAATATTGTTGCTTACCCAGTAATTATCCCACACCTGACCAAGGTAGTAGGAGAGTATGAGAAGAGATTTTGCCCATCTTTCTCTGACTCCTCCCGTAGATTCCGGTAAGCAACGCTGTCGACCAAGCCTGACATACATGATGTGAAGCTAAAGCGGAGGCGATCTTCCTGCAGCCTGGCCTGGCCCACGTTGGAAGGGCCCCATGCCCTCTGCCATTTCCGAACAAACACACATGCAGCCTCGTCCAGCACCGGCAGTCAAGCGCTAGCGCACACCAATCAGCAGGCGGCGTGGATGGGTGATTCGCTGGTGGATGCGATGTGCCACATGGGTTTCGATGCGTTAGGGTAGAGTGGAGGGTGGTCATGCCACCATGATGGCAGTTGGAGCTACGGGTAGAAGTGGGGAGCTTTGCCCCATAGACCGGCTGTCGACATCAGTAATAAACGGGGATCGCTGCATGGGTGGCACCGATCACTGACTGACTGTGCTGAGGCATCACAGCGTTAACACCCTCCGTGGCATCCGAGCTTCATCCTTGCCGAGCCTGTGATCTCTTCGTGACATGCTCGACCGCTTCCGCGGGACCAGTCAGGTTCAATATCACGATATCATGTGATGGCGTTGGAGAGTTACGCCATGATCATCAAATGTGCACTAAGTACCTGTTGCATATGTAGGATGTCGAGTCTCCTATTTGCGTAGATGTTCTCCGATAGCGTGTAAGTCATATGCAATATCGTTTCTTTAATCGTACACGTGCATTCCAGTCTGCGGTCAATTTGAAAGAGGCACAATATTTCGCTTATCAAAGAGCTTGGTACGACTTGCGACCTGACGATTGCTCGGTCAAACTATTCCCACTCAGAAGCAAGAGCAGATGTCTATTCATCATTATGTTTTATTGTGCTTTTGCTGTACAGCATGGGTGACATGTCCTCTAGCATCTCTATCGCTCCCATATATGTACAGTACCGTCCAATGTTCCGCAATGCAAAATGCCCATGGCAGTGATATCCATGCTTGCAACTCTCTTATAGGGCCCACAGCCCAAGCATGCACGTTCTCCAAGATGTGCAGCCCGAGCGTTGAACGCCAGGTCACCTGTAAGGCGCACCTCGGCCTCGTCAATCGCATCGAGCATGCTGAGTAAGTATCGATGCATCTAATAGCCTCTTTGCTTGTTGATCTGCCATATTGCTGCCTTCGCCCGCTCCCGCACATCCAGCTCGCTGTCCTCCTGCTCCAAAGACTCAAGTTTGTTTAATAGCCCAAGCCTCTTGAGCTCGACCGCCCGCTGCCGACTAGCATCCTCGTCGGTTGAGTCGTCCTGCCAGGTCAAGTTGGCAATGAGGTGGCATAGAGCGACGCGGACATCTTTGTCCTTACTCGTGAAATGCTTCCCTAGGTCTTGAAGCAGTTTTGTCTGTGAGATGACGATCTGCCTATGCCGCGGAACGCTCGCTGCCATATGAACTAGGATGAAGACGACAGCCTCGATGATCTTCGCCTGAGGATAGAGAACCCGAGAGTCCTTGTTGGCAGAGAACCTTCGGCTGAATGGGTGGAGAAACTTGACTTGCAGCTTGGATTCTAAGATGCCGAATAGGCGGTCCTGGCCCAGCTGACTAAAAAGGTAGTCTATCATCTCCGTGTTGTCACGGGATGAATCCGAACTCGTGCCGGGACGGACAGGCCCGATGAGATTCCTGATAAAATTCAGACCCTGTTCCTGGATGGCGAGATCGTCATTCCGTGCCTTCCGGACTGGATTTAACTCGGCTTCCCGGAGCACCGATATCTTTCTTTCAGCTTGCCGTAGCCTAACCGTCCTTGTTCTCTCGTTACTAGAGCGAGGAGTACCAGACAGTTGCCAAGGCTTGCTGTCCTCCTCGGATTGATCCATCTCCATGTCCTCGTCCAGATCATTCGGAGATACCTGACTTCCGGGCCGCTCGCTCTTTGTCCGCGCGTAGAGAGCTTCGTCTTCAGTGTCGTCGCAGATCAGTTGTACTAGCCATCCGGACTCGAGCTCCTCAAGGCACTCCTTCTTGAGGTCCGCCGCTACACCGTCAATAAAGTGTTTTAGTGCCCAGAGCGCATTAAGACGCAATGCTGCATTTAGTGAATGCGCGTGCTCGCACAAGACTTTCATAATACCAGCTTCGTTCAAACGCTATCGTGCCAAAATTAGCGATTCTCGTTTGCCGAGTATAAATTCAAAGGGGTTCTTCGACTTACCTCTCTCATCGGACTGACTTCGGTCACCAGATTGCAAATGGCACCAGTAGCTGCAATCTGAACATCGATTTCCGGATGGCGTAAAAGACGAAACATTGGTATGGCTACCCCGTGGTCTTCTAACGATGTTCGAAGAATACTCACTGAACGCGCCAGCATGCGGAGGGCGTTGCAAGAAGCAATGATGACCGAAATAGGATTGACTCCATAAGGAGCATTGACATCGACTTCGGCACCCTCATCCTGACCTTTGGGAGACATGCCCTTTGGCGACTTGGCTCGGTCCTTGTTATTCCTTGGCTTGGAAGGGAAATGGAATAGTGACTCGACCATGTATGGGACCACCTCTTGCTCAACGAATGCCTTCCTGTACTCGTCCTTGAATGCAGAAAGTGCTCCAATCGCCTTCAGAGCGTTCTCTCTGACTCTAATGAGGTGACTGTGGAAAGGCGGTTCGCCGTGTGATCCCAGGCGACACGTAGGTAATCCGATTTCGCGTTCCACTTGGCTTCCATCTTGTGGTGTCGGTGACCACGGCCGTGACGCCTTATGGCTTGGCAAAGGCTCATAAGCATCTTTCAACAGCTTGGTGACTACCTTTACCGCGTGGCTTTCGAATGCACATTTTTGCAGAAATTCACTGTCCGCGATGAGTTTTGCCAGGACTGCCAGCGTGCGCTCCACAATCGCCCAGTTCGTGGCGGTCTGGGGGTCGACGAAGGATGTATCATTCGCCGATACAGATGTGTCTATCGTGTTGAGCGTCTGGATCAAAAGCGGCACGACAAGCAGGCCCATATCTGTTTCCCTTGTCCGATTTGCAAATCCGGCCTTGAACAGAGAGGCCAGTACGGAAGCAGCCGTAACCCTCTCCAATACAACGCTTGACCTAACCAGATTGATCAACCACGGAATTAGGGGGCTTTCGGGATCCTCGATATCTAAATCTCCACTCGTAGCGAGAGGCTCGAAACGTGCCGAGTCCCAGCTGGGTAGATTCCCAGCAGACTTGCTTATCGTAGTACGGAAGGACAACAGGTTGTCTCTTGATGCTGAAGTTCCCAGAGGCGGGAATGGAGAAATCTGAGATGCCATGCCTTTCGCTTGGTAGACAGGGACGATGGGTAAGAGATAATCCATAGCACTTAGATCCTCTGGTTGTGGATGGGATAACCCGGCCATCTCGTAGGCATGTAAGCAAGCCCTAACCTCCTTTGCTGGAGGGGAAAACTCCAAATTTGGGAAGATAGCAAGCATGGCGGGAGAGTATACCAGCATGGCGGCTCTCCATGGTGAATCCCCGATGATTGCGGTTAGAGCTTCAAGTATGACCGTCAAGTCCGCACCTCGCAGCGCCGGCTCGGGAATCAACTCGGCAATACCATCCTTCTGAGCCTGGACCTCTGCTCCAGGAACGACTTGCCCTCGGGCTACCACGAAGCTTGCCAGTCTCGTCCCCAAAGCGTCAACTATCCCAGAGTTGGCCAGTGCCACCTGATGTCGTTCCTCTCGGCATAACCTGCTGATGAGGTCTGCTACCAGGTTTATCTGGGTCTGAATCGTCTGACTTGAAACTTCGGTGGTCAAAATAGCGTGGTATGCGTCTAATAGTTGGGAGGCAAAGACAGTTTCGGCCAGGCTAGCGGTGTCGAGATCTGAAGAACCCGTGGCCTCTGCAATATTGATGAGTGCCCGTAAGGCAGTGACGACCACTTGCGGTGGATTGTCAATGGGAGATATGTTGGCCTGGACGGCGGAGAGGGCACCGGCAGCAAGCATCGGCGTCAGGAAAGCGGCGCCACCTAGTAATTTCTGTCAGTGCCTGAAAAGGGCCATGTTATGATAGTCATACCATTGGCGAAGCTTGCGAGGAGTTGGAGGGCATGCAAGCGGGCTGTCTCATCTTCTGAGAGCGGTCGAGTGGGCGGGATATGAGTGCGGCTTTCCTTGCCATTGAGTTTCGCAGGTGCTCGGCTCGAGGCCAATATCTTTACAACCGGTTCCAGCACACCAGCCTCGACCCATTTCTCTTTTTTCTGAACATGACCAATCACTTCGTTCTTCAGGGCTTGTAAGGCATCACTCTGCTCCCCATAGCTTCGAGCGACCCGGATTTGCGATAATATGGGCGGACTTTGAACCCGCGCCATGGAGGGCAGAATATGGCGCTGCTTACGGTGCGACAATGCAACGCCGTGGGCCAGCGGTGAGGTATTTGCGACAAAAAAGATTGGTCTTGAAAATCTGTCGCAAGTAGGATATACGGTGGCGAACAAGTTGAGTGGGAAATGAGTTCGTTGGAGATGGCAAGTTGCAAGGGCTGGCTGGTATCGCGATAAGGCCGATCGGCAGGTTCGTCTACGTCGTAGAAATGCTTCTGAACAGACACGTCAAGTGGCCGCGAGGAAGAGATTACTCAAGGGAAATAATACAAGAAAAAGAGGCGCCAACAAATGCGAGTTCGAGGCCGTTCGTTTGTTGATGCGATTCGTAAGGTTGCGACAGCTGTGGGAGAGGTCGAGATGGTATGGTAATTACTGTACAAACACGCAGATAGAGTAGGCAAGGTAGAGAGGCACGCGGTAGATGGCGTCAGGGAATTTTACAAGCAATTCCAGTAGGCACCTCACGCCTGCCTTGACTGACGGCAGGAGAAATTCGGGGAACCGAGCTAGCGGGAAGCCGGGGGTCGGCCAGTGCAGCCTCCCCTCATCCCAAGTATGCTGTGGCTGTAAGTGTGGCTGGCTATCTTAATAAGTCGCTAATGATTGACAGGATCGCAAGGAACGACCATAGAGCTGCTGCTCTTTACATGGAGTACACGTTTCCTAACACATGAGACAATATATCAAGCTCTTGCAAGACGCCCTAATTTCTTTTTGGAAACCTTGACCTTGGAGGTGGTTGAAGCAGTCCACGCTTGAACGTCTATACCAAGAGAACGACACCAGTTTCATAGATAATTGCGTTCCTAGGTACCTACACATTAGATGGCTAGGTTCGTATCATCAACAGCAAAATTGTAAAAGCGAAAGAATATCTTGGTCTAGCTTACATTTACTACAAATACCCCAACTCAAGACTAAGGTGAAGCGCCTGCACAACCCTCTCAGGGTTGATGGGCTCGGTCAGGTAGCTGCTTTGTAGATGATCAGGAAGTTTTGCAACTACGTCAAAAGCAAGTCACCAGGCCTATGCCCAATTTTCGCTGTTTTATGTGCTCCAGTGGCCCTTTACTTCTCCAATCAAGCGGTCAGCCCTGCCCATGTTGGTGTCGTTGTCGAGCAGTGCAGCCAGCGCGTGAGTGGCTTGACGACTCGTTTGGAGGCCGCAGGTCCACCTCCGCTATCTTCGGTGAAGAAGAAAGTTAGACCTAAAACTGACTTCAACTTGTTCCTGGCACTCATCCACACAACCTAGCCCAACGGCAGACTAGCATCGCCATTAAGGGGCCCCCGGAGCAAACTATTAGACACCATGAAGCCCACATAGATAACACTGGAGGCAGTTGGGTTCGATAAAAAGATATCCATGTCCGTCTTGCGAGTGCTTGCACCGACGCGAAGTGTTAGGACGTTGATGCAACAACCCCACGTGCAGTCGCCGATTGACGTGACCACCCAAGATAGGGCCGCCGGTAACGCCTCAGACCGCCATCGTCTTCGATTCGACAGTCTTAACCGTCACTGAATCGCTCCGTGAGATTGTGTGTCTTAGGCGACAAGATCCTGTGTAGCGGCGGCGTCGGCGAATCCGCGCACCGGAGGAGACTGACTAGTGGAGCCTTGCCTCCCTGCCTATCGAAGTTTTGATCGGACCTTGCGAGCCTCGCAGCGCAGCCCCTCCACTCCCAATCCATTCCGGCTCGGCGGCGCGCGACAATTGGGAAACTTTTACCACCTCATCCCGCCGTCCAAGGATGAGGCGGAGATCATGTTGACTCGATCTCCTGTGCCAGCAAGGTCGTCCAATGCCTCGCCTGTCAGCTTTCACGCGTCCTTCCATTATGCGCCCGTATCCTCCCCTCATCAGTCTCCCCGGGTGTCGACCGCTCTGTCGCGGCGGCCGTCGACGACATCTTCGCCCAAGTCGGTCACAATGACCACTCCCCCGCAGCCACGACCCAAGAAGTATGTAGCAGTCGATGCCGCGACGCAGTATTCACCGATGGAGCCCACGGACTACATAGCAAAACCTCGCCCAACCGCCTCGCCTTTGATGAAAACCCCAGACGAGCCTCCACCAGCGCCTGCCCCAAAACCAATGGCACTCGCAAACGAAGATATACAGCAGCAGCCTGCAGAGGCCTCTTCCTCCTCGTCAGACCAACCTCAGATCGTCAAGGCCGCTGCCCCCCATTTCTCTCCTAACAAAAGACGGAACTCGCAAGGTCCAGGCGGTCCAGACGGAGGCCCATCCGTCGTAGGCCAGGGCACTGAGGCACTTGCCAAGCGACCGAAGCCAAGTGCCGCACCACCAAAGGTTCTGCCTCAGAAGTATGAACTGTGTCCTGTTGAGGACATGGTAGTTTTAATTTCAAACATGCTGGCGGAGCTGATTGAGACGAATGACGCGTTGGCTCTGAAGAATGGCCACCTAACCAGATTCCATTCTCGGTATGTTATGGTGAACCTGTAGTGCAAGAGATCGGGCTTTACTCACACTCAAGCAGGACAGCACCTGGTATCTCAGTGTCAGATTATCTACACAGATTGGCGAAGCATGCCACACTATCCCCGCCCCTCCTGCTCTCTATGGTCTATTATATCGACCGACTATGCGCATTATACCCAGATTTCACTATAAATACCTTAACCGTTCACAGATTTCTTATCACGGCCGCTACGGTGGCGGCAAAGGGTCTATCTGATTCATTTTGGAACAATTCTACCTATGCAAGGGTTGGTGGTGTTAGAGTAGCAGAGTTGAAGCTGCTTGAACTGGAGTTTCTCTATAGAGTGGACTGGAAGATCGTACCAAACCCGGAGGTGTTGGTGGCTTATTATCGGGGCCTCGTTGAGCGCTCGCCTGCATATGCACTGCAAGGCGAGGAAGCCCTACAAGGCGAGGACGGCGAGGGGGAAAGCGAGGAAGTGGACGACGAAGGAGAGGCAGACGATGAAGACGAAGACGAAGAAACAAGCGAGGAAGAACGGTCGCCGAAAGGCAAAGAACCAGCAGATGGTTAGGCGCACCGGGTTGCTCTGAGCGGCATATACGCTCCATTCCCGGTGTGGCCGTAAAGTCCCCTTCAAATTAGTTCAGGTGAACAAGAAGAGGGTGTGAGAATATTCCAGTGCATCAGGTTGCACTACAAAGGGCCATGAAGGCCCCCAATTTACGTGTTCTGACTTCGGAGCAGGAAGCGCTCTAGCAGGGAATCTGGAGAATCATGTAAGGACGATACCATACCGACAGTAGCCGGTGAACGAGTAAATGGATGCATGGAAATGGTGGTGTTTTTTGTTATGAAATGTTTGTATTGCATATCTCGTACTCAATAAACTAAAAATGTTCAAACTCAACAGCTCTATATCACTCATGTCCCGGTGTTCGTCTGATGAAATATCGATGCCTGATATTTTAGGCGCTAGTAATTCACTGGGTAATCACCCACCCGTCCATCCTCCACTGGCACCCGCGAATCTCGCTGGATCCTAGAATCCCAACCTACCATTGAACCTCGAGTCCTACTATCCACCTCGAAAGCTCGACGGGAGCAAACGAATTCGAGATGAGGGGCTTCACGATACTGTGGGTGCTAGCCACGGCTGCGATTGCCAGCGCAGAGCCCCAAATTGCCAGCATCTACATCCAACCAGTCTCAATAGCTGGTCTGGCTCCGAGTCCTCTAGCCGACATCAAATACGACGTCACCGATGTTTCCAGCGCCGAAGTTGTTTCTTACGACGCACCGGAACTCCCAGAAGGAGCAGCTCTAGTACGAATCGGCGTGTTCGATAGCGCCACGAAGCAGTGGGTAGCTTCAACGTCTGTGGCATCTGTTGAGAATTTTGGTAAGGGCTACTCGCCCGCCCTACTCCTGACTATCGATGGCAGGGGCGACGTCCTTGGTGCAGCAGTCAAAGGCGTCCGGATTGATGCAGGACAGACAAGGGACTTTGGACCGCAGGCTGTGGTGCAGGTGACGAAGGCGGGGAAGCAGCCGGAGCTCAACAAGCCCGTCGTCTTGAGTCCGGAAGGAAAGAAGGTCGTCCCAGAAGAGAAGACATTCTTGCAGAAGTATACAATTTTGGAGCCCATGATGCTGAACATGTCGCTAACAACTCACAGATACTGGTGGTTAATTGGCATAGTTGTCATGCTGGCAATGTCAGGCGGAGGGGACGGGAAATAATAGACTATATTGAACGCTCATCTTACGCCCATTTCCAAGCTTGAATGTCGTGCCCAGAGTAGGATCGAATTCAGCGTTACTACGAGTTGTGGTTGTTGACCATCCGCAAGAGTCTCAAGACGTTGGAGGAGCTCTGCTCCCTATCCTGTCTCAGCTGATCAGCCTATGGGCCGTTGTCCCATTAAATTGGTCTCTGTTTCTTCTTGCCGTCTTTCTCCTCTTATTGCCTTATCTCTATTCCAGCGATCAAGTGATAGCACATTGGTTTTCTCTGATCTTTTCTCAGCTTCTATTTCCTTGCCCATATCGTTCACGTGCGTCTGCAGGTGAGAGACTGCAAGCTTGAGGCTGGCACTAACCCCAAAACTGTTAGCGCATCTGGTCGTTGCTGTGAGCGCAGACCCACAGACCAGCTTAAATTCAGAGGGAAACTTGCGACTGCTTGACCTCCCACCCTTGCACCCTACACCTCCATTCTCACCTTCCTCCCCTCCGATCTAAATAAACGACTCCCTCTTCCACTGTTTCGAGTGCAAGATACTTGTCGATCTCATTCCCACCTACTTGTCACAAATCCAGAACATCCTCATACGGTCACAATGGCTACCGAGAACGGCACCACCCTTCCTGAGAACCCCGCCACAGCTCCTGGCGCCACCGAGGAGACTGTCTCGGCTGAGTCCAAGGGTAAGGGCAAGGCACTTGCAACAGAGCAGGAAGCTCCCGCACAAGACACCGCCATGGATGAGGACGATGACGACGAGGATGAGGATGAGGATCCTGAGGTAAGCCACATGTTCTCCGTAATCATACATTGACACTGAAACTAAGTTCCCCCCAGACAGCCGAAGCTGGTATGCCTAACACCCCCGACTGTGTGATAACTGTGTAGGCAACCGACTGACTCCACTCAGCTGACGACGATGACGACGAGGAAGATGGCATGGACGAGATTGATCTCGACAATGTTATCGGACGTCGCACTCGTGGCCGTGTTATTGACTTCGCTAAGGCTGCGGAGGAGAACCCGGCGGATGACGACGAGGACGAGGATGACGATGATGATTTTGAGGGCGACGAGGACAAAATGGATGAGGATTAAGTCCGCGGCTGCTTGATTATCACTTCGGCGCTCTTGGGCGTCATGACGACCGGCCCTAGAGAGGCACTGGTTCATAAAAGGACGGTTAGGAAAAGCATTATATGATCTCTGGATGACCGATATCTACATAGGACCTTGAAATGGGACTAAGTGGTGGCAGTTCACCAAGGTTGGCTTTGGCTTGGTCTCTGTTGTCGGCCTTTTTTACTGGGTTAACAACACATTCAGGTATGATGAGACCAACGAATGATATACGACGAAGATCAGCCTCACAATTCAAAACTGGAACCAAAGCAGTTATCTCTGATGCACAAGTGATTTTGTAAATCGCGGACTTCTTTGCTCGCGTGCGTACATGCTGCTCTCCTCTTGTTACTGCGTCCAGATGGACTTTTATCCTATCCTAGTAGACATCGATACACTATCCGTGTTGCGCTGGCTTAAATCTATATACTTGCTTAGTTCAATTATAAGGATAGGTTGTGCTGGATTCTAGAAAATGGCCTGCCTTCCGTTTGATGTTTGCTTTGTTTTCATTGGCATGGCTCTATTGACGGACTAGTCGAGCTGGGGGAGCCACTGATAGCAGGCGCCGAATAGCGTATTACAGTGCCGGTAGCCCAGAACCCGGGCCCCTATCCTCCCGCATCTGGCAGCACCGAGTCTGTGCTGTAATTGGCTAGCAATCTAGGGAACCTGGCCTTTTCGACAGTTGGATGGAGCCCCAGAACTAAAAATCTGGCCTGGAAAGCAGATTAAAGGGCATGTCTTCTAAATCTCGAATCCTTTGATGGGTTCCGCTTCGCCCCCTTTCTGCTCTTCAGCATCACAACACTTCTGAGAAAACCACACATCATGGCTCAAAGGTATGGACGGTTCTATTTTATTCCCTGTGCCAGCGAGAGACTGCCGGCTGGGCTCCCCGCAACGACCCGGCGATCCGCTTGCTTGCGCCAAGACATCGTCATCGTCATCGTCGCCCCGGTACCAGCATGAACTTGCTGGCTCGAGGGTCGGCTGCGACGTTGCTACGGCTCGTGAGATGCGAGCGCTAATGACTGGATCACATGCTGTTACTTTCCCACAGTTCTCTCGTTACTGACGATGTTGCGATAATAGATTTGGGGCCTCGTCGCTTCACCAGCGCGACTCGCGCAGCGCGTTGTTCGAGGGCTACACGGGGTCCGGATCCGACAGCACACGGAGGGTCAGCCCCAGCCCAAGTCGAGGCTATGGCTATGGCTACCCTGGCGGCAACGGCGCAGCGAGTCATCTAGGCGTTGAGAACAAGGGTTTTCGGCCAGCGACGCCGAACAGGAAGTCAGTACCTCCGTACAGTATCGCGACGGGAATTCGGGAGCTAATGTGCAACGCAAAACCTAGGGGTCAATACAGCGACGCCGTCTTGAACGAGCTGGAGAGCCAGAATGACTCGCAGGTCGAGGGAATCATGGGTAAGGTCAAGATATTAAAGGAGGTAAGAATAGATGATTTGGTCACTTCCCCTGCGTTTGGGCTAATCACGGTTGTCTTCAGATGACGGTCGCGATAGGCGATGAGATTCGAGACTCCTCTGCACTAGCAGAGAAGATGAACGACACTTTTGATCAGACGCGCCTGCGGTTGCGTGGCACAATGAACAGGATGCTTTTGATGGCAGAACGAACTGGCGTGGGCTGGAAAGTGTGGCTTGGCTTCTTTGCCGCCGTCTGCTTCTTGTTCATCTACGTCTGGTTGTTCTAGATTATCGCACACCTTACATAGAATGGGAAATCAAGGGGCATTCCTGCAGGGGGGCTTTGATTTGCAAGTCAGCACCGAATATCGAACATCGGGCGACAAATGGAGTTGCGGGGTTTATCAAGGATCTTGATGTCGACACACGAACTAATATAAACTGGAAGGGACGTCTTCTAATACAGTGTTGTAATGCGTGTACGAATGTACGAATATTCGTTTCGGATGTATTCATCTAGTGGCTAGCTAGTACATAATGCTACAGACCAAACGCCTTTGGCGAATTTCAGTCCTCTGTCATGGGTATCATGGATCGTCGTCTAATTTCTTCGTCGAAGCTGCGGACTGCTCCCCGCCGCACTACTTCCGTCTCGCGATAGAAGGCTGCTGAGATCGATATCGCTTCGAATACTGCTTCGTGGCAAACTGCCTCTGGGCAGAGTCCTCGGCAAACCTCCCCTGAAGCGAGCTGTTTGAGGCGCTCCGCCGCCGTAATTATGGCTCACGTCCTGGCTACCATCTTCACTGCTGCTAAGCTCCGCTTCAGTATCAGTATGTTCATAGCCACCACTCTCGGCTTCGGGGATGTCATCGTCAAGGTCTGCATCCATGTCCATATTCATGCCAGGTTCCGCGTTATGGACAGGAATTTGCACGAGGTCATCTTCCTCGAGCATCTGAGCGCGGTCCTCCTCGTCAATGTCATCCTCAGCCCCGTAGACTTCTGAGTCGGGCCCCTGACCACGAATCATCAGCTCCCGCACGCGGTCTTCCGTAGCACGCACATTCCGTAGTTGGTCCCGAATGGCTCTTTGCTGCTGCTGCTGAGCAGGACTTGCTTCCGGCCTGTCCTCATCGTCTGCCCCGCCAGCTTCGGAGTCGTTTTCCTCGTCTTCGTCACTATCCTCCTCCGCGCCGTCAAAACCAAACCCGTCCGTGTCTGCATCAGGGATCTCGTCATCCAGGTCGCGCCCACCCTCCATCATGCCGTCCTCATCCATGGGCTCGCCGTCGAGATCTGTGACGCCCATGTCATCGAGACCGCCGGCGGCCGCGCCCTCAGCGTCCGCGAGCTGTTGGGCGAGCTGCTCACGCCGCATGGCCTCGGCGTGCTCCTCCGCCTCGCGGCGCTCCTCGCGCATCTGGAACAGCGACTTGGCCACGCCGGGCGGCTTTAGCCACGTGCTGCCGAAATTGCTGACGTTGTGCTTGCGCCGCTCCACGTACTGCTCGTCGGCGCGCAGGCGGGCAAGGGCCGAGCGCTCGAGAGCTGCCTGGCCGGGTCGGCGGGGGGCCGGGCCCGGACCTTGAGCTGGTGTGTCGGCGGCGGAACTGTCATGTTGTTGCGTCGTCGAGGCGAGGAAGGGCTGTCGGGATGATGTATACCAGACGGTGTGGGGCTTTTTCGCGTGTTAGCAGTGAGTATTGGAGCTGTCCGTACATGGAAAGCTCACGTCGTGCGGAGAGAGGTCTGGTAGTATGGAGAACATGATACCCTGAGGCGAATCGAGTAGAACCCTTTAAAGCTCGAAACACAAATTACGAAAGAGACTCAGCGATGAGCATCATATATTAATTGGGTAATATGGCTATGAAAGCTCAGGTTCAAAAGTGCTCGGGAGTCTCAGGTATCGTGGATGGATGCGCGTCTACACATGCAGCGAAGAGACAAACAATGCGGTAACCACGATACTTCGGTACTTAACCCCACATTAGGATTTAGCGCAGCCGCGCGGTTATGTAAGATCGTGTACACATAGCCAGTGACAAGGATTAGAAACCTAGCCGGGGGTCGGTCATCTGTACGAAGCTTTAAAGAGCAGGAACGATGTATCAAAGTAACTTAGAAAGGTGAATTCTTGGAAGTCTATCCAAGGCCAAAATGCTTTTGCGCTGGGAAGGAGAGAGCTGTTCACTACCTAGAGGTATGACAGGTAAGACATGTTTGGGTGGTGGTGCTTACCGACCTTCCCTGAGTGATTACTCGGAGGGCCTCTTACACATTCGATTATACAAAGCAGGTCTTCGACAAATCACCCCTCTTCAATTCGACCACTCCGGTGCGTTGCAATTCAGGCACTCGGTTCGTAATTCCTGAGATGGTGCCACTTAGGCGGTCAATATCTGGGCGTAGGGGTCAGGGGTAGCGCAAGGGGCACGTTTTTATGAGGTAATGGCAATATCCTTCCTGCAACTCTGCTCACGGCTGGACGCTTTCTTGACTCTTAGCGCATGGGCGTTTGAGCCGCTTACAGCGGAACAATCTCTTCTGTCTTCTGGCCTACTAGGAACGGACTTTTTGTCAATGGACGGCGTGAATACAACCGTGCAGGCCACTGCAGATTTGGCTTCTCTGACCTAGCTTCGTTTTGCCTCGGGAAATATCGGAAGCTGGCGACTTGCGCTTGTTGGACTTGACCATTTGTCGCCCAGTTCACTCAATTTGGGATGACAAAAATTTTCACCTGACAGGCTGTCGCTGCAGGCCTGGATCACTCTTACTCAGTGATTCAAGACCTTATGCCGGGAGTCCGGCGGTAGAGAGGTTAGGTTTGCCCTCTTAACGCAGTTCCTTGGCACCAACACGCCGACTTCGGATTGTTCAGCATCTCTGTTCCAAGTCAAGTGGATGGCCTGCATCTGCAAAGCGAATAGAACTCCACCTCGAATGGCCTGATACCATGGAAATTGGAATGCAGCTGTTACAGTCACCTTGAGGAGGCGAATGTTCAGCATTTCACCCTGCCGCCGGAGTCGCTGGCCGCCGTGGACTTCTCACCAACTGCAGTGCAGGCTCAAACTAATGTACATTTGAAATGGGACCATCAAAGGTGGCAACTCCGTCCGCAAATGCGGTCAAAAAGCGCCCGGATCATTTCAGAGGCATAGCATCCTACATATTATTATCGTTCTTCAACGCACAGTCAACCAGACACTAGGGGCGTATGCTGGATTGCACTGCACTGGATGTATGCGGGTCCCTGTAAGTCATCCCCAGCCCGAGCATTTCAAGAGATTAGATCTCGCTCTCAAGCATATGTGACGTAGCAGTTTCAGGCCAAGGTAGCTTACGCATGTCCGCTTAAGCCCCTCAATGGAGCGTTGCTCGTCTTGTACTCGTGCTATGGAACTTTGCAGGGAGGTGTACTATGCCGTACAGCGGATTGAATAGACTAGAGTCTGCCCGCCCTGTCTGTGCGGCGAGCTTGATCTCGAACTGCTGGTCTTGCAGCGAGGTGCAGCGGGGTTTGCTGGCTACCCCTGCTACGCAGACATCGCTAGCATTGAGGCATCTGGTTGGTGCTAGATAAGAAGGGTCTTCCTGAAGGAAGCGGATCTCATTGGCTGTGTGAGGTTATTTCATGTTGTCGAATCTTTTACAGCAACGCATGTCGGTCACGAGGCCAGCAAATATGCCGAGCCGCATATTTCCTCACCAGATGGATGCAGGTCTCTCGCCCTGTTCGGTTGAGCTGCAGCACGCCGTGCAGGGTCATACTGCCCTGGAGACGAGCTTGGGAAACACAACATCGAGGCACCATGTGCCAAGGCCAAGAGAAGATCATTGGCCGATGAACCCTTCTCCCCCCTTCTGTTGACGGCCAGTGCTACAGCTGTAACGCAATTTGAAAGTCTAAACCAATCATCAGACGGCTGTTCACCAGAAGAGGAGCCAGGCGGGGTCGATTGTATTCCCCGTCTAATTTCAAGAGCTGGATGATTCGTAGCGACGGTGCAGGTCCTCCTCACTTCTGTCCGAACTACTGGATACGGCACCCTCATCGGCCTCAATTGACCCCTCACCACTTACCGCACTGTTGCTTCCTTCGCGGCCTAAACGATGGGGGCGGTACAGTTGTCGGCGAAATTCCTTACCAGCTTAATTATAATACGATACCGGCCTGTGGGGTCTTCCAAAAGGACAGAGTAGAGCGTCAGGGTCTCGATATTCTGCCGCGACATCGGCCCTGGATCTTTGAAAAAAGACGATGCTGATTGGTGGCGGAGCTATGAAGAGCTTTGGAGCTTGACTCTCCGCCCTTAGGGATTTTTTTCTGCCACCATCCGGCCAGACAGGGATTCTTTTTTCGAGGCTTCTGAATTCCTCGCACTTGCAGGCGCTGGTTGCACCACCCTGGTACGCATACAAGCCGGCACGGCTGGGCAATCCCTGCAAGCTGCATGCCTCGGTGTGGGGTGCGTTCTCTATGGCTTTTGAATAGCCATTGCGTTGTAGTTTCTCTTACACGAACGTTTTTGATGCTCAACTGCTTCGCCAGTCTCCTTTCTAATCCGCTGCCAACGCGGAACAGGCGTTCCAGCTAGCTGAAGGTGCCCGGGGCACAGGGCAGACGCCCGACGCCGGTGATGAAGAGATGCGCCTAATTGAGAGAAACATGTTGGTAATACACGGCAATTGCTTCGCCAAGGAGCGTTATTTTGCTTGCAAGATGACCATCATATCTGCTCATGAATCTGGGAAAGTCGGCTCACTGCCCGGAAATCCATCTCTGACATGGTCTCTGCTTAATACACCCCGACTGTGGACTCGACGAAGCTTATATTCATTCATATTTTTCTTCTCTATTGTTTGATTCTATACCTCTGTCAGGGAAATAAACATCCATTCGTCAAGAGCATAGTAACCTCCTCAACAAGGCTCTCACTGCCCTACAGTAGGTGGAGCTACAGTAAATAACAGGATCTTTGGGGTCCTCGAGCAAGTGTATAGTTGTCATTGTTTATTACCCTTACGGATGAGCAGGTTGGATTGATAATGCATGTTAGTCGAGACAATTTTTCTCTCCTGGCGGCTTCGGCCATTATCCTCTGACGCGCCAGATACTTTTAGCATTGATCTTCGAGCCAAGCTAAGGGCTTGACCTCTTTGATGGGAACTAGCAAAGGGAATCCTAACGACCCTAGCTTTTCCACCACGGATAATAGTAGGATTACTACAGGATAGATTGCATCAGCTTCCGCCACCGGCGTCGCGAGTCGGAGACAAGCCTATTTTCGCTCGGAACCGCCTACGCTGTATGTAAACGCCGGTGGCAGAATAGTCAGACCCCCTCTATGCTGCCTTGTGAAGTAGTAAACTAGCTAGAGAGCTTGGCCGGCTGGCTTGCCGTTGCAGAGACAGCATGTAGGATGTAGGTATGTATGGAACCTTGCCCTTGCCCTAGCCCTTGCAGTGGTCTGTCTTTTTTTCGTCATTGATTATTTTTACAGCAAGCATCATTGCAGCTTTGCGGCGTTTGCTCGCCTGCATACGGGCTTTGGCTGGGGTTGACTCAGAATTGCATCCTACAGTACGTATGGCCCGGGGACACATCGGTGCCGTCAGCAGCAGGCCGACTGAATGGTAGGATCCCTGTAAAAATTGGTGCCAGGAGGAACAAGGCATGCATACATACATACATAAATACGTGCATTCGCACCACCCATGCTTGGGCGAGTGCGTCTTTTTATGATGCTGCTTGACACATGTTGAAGAGGTGGGCGACAAATAGGAGGGGAGGGGAAGCTGCTCAACGGCCCACCGCCCGTTCGATCGGTGGTCCAATTGCCAATTGCTTGAGTGATGGGCAAGGCCCTAAGCCGCGAGATGTCCACATGGATCGCCAGATGTGTGAGTAGAGGACAGGATGACAGCACCACCAAGTAGGTACACAGTCTGCGCTGGCAGACAGGTCATGAGTAGATGTACCTTCCCACTCGGATCTGTTGCTTGATCGATCCCTCATCGAAGGTACCTAGGCAGGAATGGAACATCGCGCCCATATCGGGAGGTAGGGGAAGGGCAATCACCCTTTACCTTAGTTTAGACACGTGCAGCAGTGAGCATTGTCAGGAGGTAGTGCACATGCAGCCTCTCATCATATGCCTCTCTCTCTCTCATATTGTCTCCCTCCTTATGTCTTCTCTCCACTTCCTTACCAATTCGCTGGTTTCTGGTAGGCCGACCAGCCAGCAGCTTGCGTGGGCGGTGGGTTCCGTACTTTGTCTGGCCGGTGGTCGCAGCTCTCCCACGCCCACGCCCGCCGCCTGTCCCCCCGAGCCCCCTCCCCTCCGTTGGCCCTGGCTGGCAGTGGTTAGAGGTTAGATACCCACAACCCATGGGACAGTTCACTGAAATCTCCCCACCTCCCCCACTGACTGGCGCTGTTCGCCTTAAGCTAAGCGCTAGCTGCCACATGCCTGCTGGCGACCCTCGATCTCTTTTTTCCTCCCTTGCCCTTCCTGGGCCCCCTGCCAACCAGCCTAAGGTAGTAAGTGACCTAAGGTAAGTAGCGAACGGCAGTAGCCTGGTGCTGGCTCTCCGCGAGTCGGCTTCCCTCAGAAACCAATCCAATACACCCGAATCGGCGGGTTTGCTTTGCTTTGCTTTGCTGTGCTTTGGGGACTGATCCGAGGAGAGCGCAGAGACCAGAGTAGACCAGTCCAAAACCAAACCACCCACTAGATTATCCCCATCCACCAGGCTTGGCCACTTGATTTTCACACCCAGGCCCGGTCAGTCACTCAGTCACTCACTCAGTCACTCTGTCAGTCTAGCCATAAAAGCTAGCTTGCCACCCCTCTACCCTACGGAACGGGCTTCCCTCCTTTCCTCCCCTACCGAAAATTATCTCAGTCAGTCAGTCATACAGAGCTGCTCTCTCAACCTGACTGCAAGACTCTCTGTATTCTGCTGAACTGTGCAAACAAAACTGAAAAAGGTACCGGTAAGTGACTCAACGCCGCCATCACACCCCCTCCCATACATATCCCACACCTGAAGAGTCGACCCACGTCCAATGGCAAGCCACGGTTTTTGGAGAGCACGGAAACGATATACCAGGCTACAAAACAATTCAACATTCGAGGTCCCGGATCCAGTCCTGGCAAAATCAAGCGATGATTTTGGACTATGAGACAGAAGCATGTTATGGGTTATCCTCGGCAGTACGGGCGCAATATATAAAAAATCGAGGCAGCAAGCGATGCGAGTCAAGACGAGACAAACCAGATAAAACCAAAACAACCAGAGATGCATGAGCAATCAGCCCGTCGGCCATGGCAGGTGAAGAAGCCCCGCGCTTGCCTGTCATAAACCGACCTCAGCTGGGCTTCCTCCGGGCAGCCGGGCGCTGATGATCAATTAACCCCGGGCCTTGTTTCCCCCTGGAAAGTGCCTGCCATGTCGAATGGCATGTTTGATGTGGTTTCTCCGGCTCGCCTATCGCCTTGTTCTGCTTGGGGGGCCATTTCGGAGTGTAAGGGCAGAGAACTATCGCCCTATCAGCGGGCTGCATCATAGCCGCATTTGGGGCCGGAAACGGGGGTGGCCTAATTGGCTGTCGTCATATCGCAGTGCAGCGCAATGCAGTGCACATCCCACGCTGCCCCAAGCTGCTTGAGCGGTTTCTCTATGGGAGAAGAAAAAAACTGCGGGCAGCTTCCAGGTTGCTCGTGTGGTTCCAGATGTCCCGCACTATCCTCATGCAGATTCGTGGGCTAGAGCTACCTACCTTTCGAGCTTGCCCCCCCGGCTGCTGCCACAGGTAATGGCTACTGCTGCATCGCATCGCATCTTTACTACTGCTGCTGCTTCTGCACCATTACGATTACGGAAGCGGGAGCAGCTACATCGCTGTCAATGTGACCTCACTCACCTGGTGGACGACGCCAATTGCACTCGAGAACATCATTCTTTATCGGTGCTTCCATCCCATCCACCTATCATGCAGTGAGTGGGCTTTATCAATGCCTGCCCGCGGAAAGGACGACAGCCTGACTGGAATTCGCCTCCAGGGCAAATCTGGGGTGTTTGCATGAGCAATTGGCCTCCACCCACTGCCAACTGGGATGAGCCTCGGGATACATACAAGGAAAACATCTGAACCACGAGCCCAGCAGGCGCTATTTAGCAAAAACTCTCAATTCTCGCTCTGAATTGACCTTGCAAGCTTTCGGAAAGCACTCCACATCTGCTCGCAAGATAGACTTTCGCTTGTCGCAGGTCTCAGCTTTTAAACCCACCCCGCTTTCGGTCTGCCGTCACTTCCTGTGCCCGCACTACTAATCACCTGGCTGCCATTGGACTGTGGGCTCTTCTTGCTCTTCGTGCTCCCCAAACACCACACCTTTCACCTCTTGAATAATTTTCCCACACAATCCAGAGACAAGTCAATTAATCTGCTTTGCTACCCACAGATTCCTGGTCCTCCCGAGCGGTGCTGCCGCTCCTCCGAACCGTATCAGCCCGCAAGTCCTGCCTCTGCGCAGGCTACCCTCTCCGATCCTCTGATACCCGCCCCGCCACCTCGAGTGTCCTAGGAACGGTCGCCTAGCATGGGCTTGACTGCGGACTTTGACGATCGACAAATACATACCGAGGCCGAATCTGAGGTTTATCATCCTTATGAGTACCAAACAGAGAACAATGATTCCTGGGCGGGCGCTCTGCCGGTGAAGCAGTGCGTATTCTCCCCCGGTGTAATGCCATTGGCCTGGGTTTTTTGTTGACATGAAACTAGGGGTCTCTATGACCCAAGCTTCGAAAAGGATGCTTGTGGTGTCGGCTTTGCTTGCCACATCAAGGGCAAGCCCAGCCACAAGATTGTTAGCGATGGTAAGTGACTCAATCTGAGAATCCTTCTGTTTGCAATTCACGTAGCTCACAATTGTGTAGCACGCAACCTTCTTTGCAACATGACCCATCGTGGAGCCGTTGGCTCTGATGCACGAGATGGCGATGGTGCAGGTGTTATGACATCGATCCCCCACAAGTTCTTCATCAAGAACTTCGAGCGAGAGGTCGGGATTAAACTCCCTCCTCCAGGCCAATACGCCGTGGGAAATTTGTTCTTCAAGCCGGACAAGGAGACCCTGCAGGAGTCCAAGAGGCAATTGGAAGATATTGCTGAGACCTTGGGCCTTCGGGTTCTGGGATGGCGAGAGCCTCCTGTGGACTCTACTCTCCTTGGCCCTGCTGCTGCAAGCCGTGAGCCCATCATCTTGCAGCCTTTCGTCGTTCTTGCTTCTGCTTACGGCTCTGGGGATGCCCCCGAAATGACGGATCCCGAGAAGTTTGACGAGCGACACTTCGAGATTCAGCTCTACGTCCTCCGAAAGCGTGCCACTCACACCATTGGTCTCCAGAACTGGTTCTATCTGTGCTCCCTATCTAACAAGAACATTGTTTACAAGGGACAGCTTGCTCCAGTGCAGGTCTATCAGTACTACCATGATCTCGTGAACGCCGACTATGAGGCTCACTTCGCCCTGGTCCACTCGCGTTTCTCCACAAACACTTTCCCGTCGTGGGACCGAGCTCAGCCCCTTCGGTGGGCGGCGCACAACGGTGAAATCAACACCCTGCGCGGCAACAAAAACTGGATGCGTGCTCGAGAGGGTGTCATGCAATCGAACGTCTTTGGCGAGGAATTGGAGCTGCTATACCCCATCGTTGAAGATGGTGGCTCTGATTCTGCTGCTTTCGACAACGTTCTGGAGCTTTTGACCATCAACGGTGTTCTCTCTCTCCCTGAAGCCGTCATGCTGATGGTTCCCGAGGCGTGGCAAGGCAACTCTCTCATGGATCCCAAGAAGGCTGCGTTCTATGAGTGGGCTGCGTGCCAGATGGAGCCCTGGGATGGACCTGCGCTTTTCACATTCGCGGATGGTCGCTTCTGTGGTGCCAACTTGGACAGAAATGGTCTACGACCGTGCCGTTACTACGTCATGGATGATGATCGGATCATTTGTGCTTCTGAGGTCGGCACTATTCACGTAGAGCCTGAGCGCGTGGTCCAGAAGGGCCGTTTGCAGCCTGGTCGCATGCTCCTGGTTGATACCGTTGCCGGCCGCATCATCGACGACAGCGAACTGAAGGCTGCTGTGTCTAGTAGACAGGACTTCCGCTCCTGGCTGGACAATGAGCTCCTTAGCCTTCCCACTGTTTTGGATACCCTGGCTGAGCAGAAGGCTGTGGACTTGGCTCCTCGCCCAGACGAGATTCCTCTCCAAGAAGACCCTCTTCTGCACGCTTTTGGCTACACATTCGAGCAAGTCAGTCTTCTACTCGCGCCCATGGCCTCTGATGAAAAGGAAGCTCTTGGATCTATGGGTAACGATGCCCCGTTGGCCTGCCTTTCCCAAGCTCCTAGGCTCCTGTACGAGTACTTCAGGCAGCTCTTTGCTCAAGTCACCAATCCTCCCATTGATCCCATCAGAGAGTCCATTGTCATGTCACTAGAGTGCTATGTTGGACCTCAAGGAAACCTGCTCGAGATGGACGCTTCCCAGTGTGGCCGTCTGCTCCTGCCTAGCCCAATTCTCTCAATCCCCGAGTTCAATGCCATCAAGAACATCTCCAAGATTCACCCTGACTGGACTGTTAGAGTTATTGACATCACCTTCCCCAAGAAGGAGGGAGTCGAGGGCTACATCAGGCACCTGGACTACATCAACAATGAGGCTACTGCTGCCGTCGAGGCACGAGACCGCATCATTATCCTCTCTGATCGCAACACCTCAAAGGACCGAGTTGCTGTCTCCACTCTCCTCGCCTCTGGTATGGTTCACCACCATCTTGTCAGCAACAAGTGGCGATCTATGGCTGCTATCGTTCTCGAGACTGCTGAGGCTCGTGAGGTTCACCACATGACTGTTCTTCTCGGCTATGGTGCTGATGCCATTAACCCTTACTTGGCCATGGAGTGCATCCTAAAGCTGAACAAGGAGAAGCTCATCAAGAAGAAGCTCAGCGATGACGTTCTGATCCGCAACTACAAGCATTCTTGCGACGGTGGTATTCTGAAGGTCATGAGCAAGATGGGTATCTCGACTCTTGCCAGTTACAAGGGAGCCCAGATTTTCGAGGCTCTTGGTGTTGATGACACTGTTGTCGAGCGATGCTTCCGAGGAACTGCTTCCCGTATCAAGGGTATCACCTTCGAGCTCATTGCCGAGGATGCCTTCCGTTTCCACGAGCGTGGCTTCCCGTCTCGTTACACTGTTGGTGTCCCAGGTCTCACTGAGTCTGGCGAGTACCATTGGCGCGATGGTGGTGAGGCTCATATCAACGACCCTTCTTCCATTGCCAACATCCAGGATGCCGTCCGTTCCAAGAACGACAAGTCCTACGAAGCATACTCAAAGTCCGAGTATGAACAGATCAAGGCCTGTACCCTTCGAGGCATGCTTGATTTCAAGTTTGAGGAGCGCAACCCTGTTCCTATCGACCAGGTTGAGCCCTGGACAGACATCGTGCGCCGTTTCTGCACTGGTGCCATGTCGTACGGTTCCATCTCTATGGAGTCTCACTCTACCCTGGCTGTTGCCATGAACAGACTTGGTGGCAAGTCCAACACCGGTGAAGGTGGTGAGGATCCTGAGCGATCCCAGAGACTCCCTAACGGTGATACGATGCGATCTGCTATAAAGCAAGTCGCTTCTGGTCGTTTCGGTGTCACTTCTGCCTACCTGGCCGACTCCGATGAGCTTCAGATCAAGATGGCCCAGGGTGCTAAGCCTGGTGAGGGTGGTGAGCTTCCTGGCCACAAGGTATCCAAGTCCATTGCTCGCACTCGTCACTCCACCCCTGGTGTCGGTCTGATCTCTCCTCCTCCTCACCATGACATTTACTCTATCGAGGATCTCAAGCAGCTCATTTACGATCTCAAGTGCTCCAGCCCTCGCTCTCGCGTGTCTGTCAAGCTGGTGTCCGAGACCGGTGTCGGTATCGTCGCCTCTGGTGTCGCCAAGGCCAAGGCTGACCACATCCTCATCTCTGGCCACGACGGTGGTACCGGTGCCTCCCGATGGACCGGTATCAAGTACGCCGGTCTGCCTTGGGAGCTGGGTCTTGCTGAGACTCATCAGACCCTGGTGCTGAACGACCTTCGTGGCCGTGTCGTTGTCCAGACTGACGGTCAGCTACGTACCGGGCGCGATGTGGCTATTGCCTGCTTGCTTGGTGCTGAGGAGTGGGGCTTCGCTACGACTCCTCTCATTGCCATGGGCTGCATCATGATGCGCAAATGTCACTTGAATACCTGTCCTGTCGGTATTGCCACCCAGGACCCTGAGCTCCGCAAGAAGTTCCAGGGTACCCCCGAGCATGTCATTAACTTCTTCTACTACATCGCCAACGAGCTCCGCGCTATCATGGCTAAGCTTGGTTTCCGCACCATCAACGAGATGGTTGGCCATGTTGAGGTGCTCAAGGTCCGTGATGACTTGAGGACTAACAAGACTGAGAACATCGACCTGTCTCTCATCCTCACTCCTGCCCACAAGCTGCGCCCTGGTGTTGCTACTTTCAACGTCCGCAAGCAGGATCACCGCCTCTATGTTCGCTTGGACAACAAGCTGATTTCTGAGGCTGAGTTGACCTTGGACAAGGGGCTCCCGTCCAGAATCGAGTGTGATATTGTCAACACTGATCGTGCCATGGGTACTTCACTGTCCTACCAGGTTTCGAAGAAGTATGGAGAGGCTGGTCTGCCGATGGACACTGTCCATGTTAACATCAAGGGCTCCGCCGGTCAGTCTTTCGGTGCTTTCCTTGCTCCTGGTATTACTCTGGAGCTAGAGGGTGATGCCAACGACTACGTTGGTAAGGGTCTGTCTGGTGGTCGTCTTATCGTCTACCCACCTCGCTCTGCGGTCTTCAAGGCTGAGGAGAACATCCTGATCGGTAACGTTTGTCTATACGGTGCCACTCTTGGTACATGCTTCTTCCGAGGTGTTGCTGCCGAGCGATTCGCTGTCCGTAACTCCGGTGCCACTGCCGTTGTTGAGGGTGTCGGTGACCACGGTTGCGAGTACATGACTGGAGGTCGTGTTGTTATTCTGGGAAGCACTGGTCGCAACTTCGCGGCTGGTATGTCTGGAGGTATCGCTTATATCCTTGACATCCACAACGACTTCCTCTCCAAGCTTAACACCGAGATGGTTGAGGCTTCCGGCATTGAGGATCCTGAGGAGATTGCCTTTGTCCGTGGCCTGATTGAGGATCACCACCACTACACCGGCTCTGAGCTTGCTGCTCGTATTCTCGTTGACTTCAACCGTGCTCTGCCCCGCTTCATCAAGGTCCTTCCTGTCGACTACAAGCGAGTCCTTCAGGAGGAGGCAGCCAAGGCTGCTGAGGCTAAGCGTGCGGAGTACAACCTCCCTGTTCTTCCGGGTGTTGAGGCCAAGAAGGACAAGAAGGAGGACAAGTCTGCCAAGCTTGCTGATATGGAGGAGTCATTCGGTGACAAGGCCGCTGAGAAGAAGCGTGCTCTTGTTCTCGACAAGACCAAGGGCTTCATGAAGTACCAGCGACGCGCCGAGAAGTACCGTTCGGCTAAGACCCGTACCAAGGATTGGGCTGAGCTGTCTCAGAGACTGGACGAGGACGAGCTCAAGTACCAGTCCGCTCGATGCATGGACTGCGGTGTTCCTTTCTGCCAGTCTGACACTGGTTGCCCGATCTCCAACATCATTCCCAAGTGGAATGAGCTCGTTTTCCAGAACCAATGGAGAGATGCACTCAATAGACTGCTGATGACCAACAACTTCCCTGAGTTCACTGGTCGTGTCTGCCCTGCTCCTTGCGAGGGTGCCTGTGTTCTGGGCATCAACGAGGATCCCGTTGGCATCAAGTCTATTGAGTGCGCGATCATTGATCGTGGCTTTGAGATGGGCTGGATGATTCCCCGACCTCCCGAGGTACGAACTGGCAAGAACGTTGCTGTCATCGGTTCTGGTCCTGCTGGTCTCGCTGCCGCTGACCAGCTGAACCGTGCCGGTCACTCCGTCACTGTCTACGAGCGTGCCGATCGCCCTGGTGGTCTGCTCATGTACGGTATTCCCAACATGAAGCTTGACAAACGTATTGTCAAGCGACGTACCGACTTCATGGCTGCCGAAGGTGTCCAGTTCAAGACCGGTGTCGCAGTTGGAGAGGACGTCACCCTGATGGATCTCAAGGCTCAGAATGACGCAGTTGTCATCGCCACCGGTGCTACTGTTGCCAGAGACCTCCCCATCAAGAACCGCAACCTCGAGGGTATCCACTTCGCCATGGAGTTCCTGCACAAGAACACCAAGTCTCTGCTTGACTCCGAGCTTGCTGATGGTGCCTACATTTCTGCCAAGGACAAGCACGTTGTTGTCATTGGCGGTGGTGATACCGGAAACGACTGCATTGGTACTTCCCTCCGACATGGCGCCAAGTCCGTTGTCAACTTCGAGCTCCTTCCCCAGCCTCCCAACGAGCGTGCTCGTGACAACCCGTGGCCCCAGTGGCCTCGCATCTACCGTGTTGACTACGGTCACACCGAGGTGCGTCAGCACATGGGCAAGGATCCTCGTGAGTTCTGCATCATGTCTGAGGAGTTCGTCGACGATGGCGAGGGCCGTGTCAAGGGTATCAGCACCGTACGCGTTGAGTGGACCAAGTCTCCGACTGGTGGTTGGGACATGAAGAAGGTAGAGGGATCCCAGCAATTCTTCCCTGCCGACCTCGTCCTCTTGTCCATGGGTTTCTTGGGACCTGAGGCTCGTATCCTGGGTGATGACATCGAGAAGGACGCCCGCAAGAACGTCAAGACTCCTGCTGGCAAGTACTGCACCAACATCGAGGGTGTCTTCGCGGCTGGTGATTGCCGCCGCGGTCAATCTCTTATTGTCTGGTAAGTTCCATCTATTCTCAACAAAGCAAGTTACTCAGCACTAACGTCATTATAGGGGCATCAACGAGGGTCGCCAGGCTGCTCGTGAGGTTGATCTGTACTTGGAGCACTGCACCGCCCTGCCAGTCACGGGTGGTATTATCAAGCGCACTGCCCAGGAGGTTTTCAGCGCTGCTGCTTAAATTGGGAAATTATGGACTGAACAAGAGAGAAGGCAGCATTTGTACGACCTTGTAAGCCTATCACGGTAGCATATTGCATGTTTCCCCTGCGGTGTACTACGAGCAGGTTCCAGAACGGTTTGGATGGCCAGGTCATTTTTTTTCTTCTGATTTCTCCCTTTTTGCTCGTCTTTTTTGATACCACCAAAGAGCAGCACACATAAGAAAAGTTTTCATCGGAGATTCCCAGGGGACGGAAACGGGCACGGGATGGATGGATGGATGTCTTCATGAAACGGATGGCGGTCTACGAATGGAATTGGCGAAGTGCTTTCTTCGGGACGCAGCGTTTCGTGTTGTTTCGTTTTCATTGTCATGTCATGTCCTTGCACATTTGCATATATGAGTTTGCTGTTATTGTACATACTGTTGTTGATATTTATATAAAACCTTAAAAATCATATCCCAAAATGCCCAGTTTTAAGTGTGATTAGCATATCGTTTTGAAGAGATAGTCAGTCTCGGTGTCGTTGTTTGTGACTGATAACCCAACAATTCAAGTCTATAGTGACATTATATCTTAGACCTCAAACGTTCATAGATGAACCAGCCAATCCATTGATATAATATCCAGGAGAGCAGACATGGAGCACTTCTTGGTTAGGGATAGCTTCTCATTCTCGTATCATTGCACGTGCCCACTATTATGATTGCTACAGCTTCGTTGCAGGTTACCGATCTAAGTGGCTGCTTGTAGGCTCAAGCGGCGATCTGTGGGCAGGTTTGGCTGGGACACGTGCTAAAGTTTGACTCTTGATAGGCCAATTGGGCTGTGGTAGTGATGAAAATTGGAGGGGTTCGAAGCTGAAAAAAGGCTACCCCCACATGACAGTGACGCCGGTAGCAAATTCTCGCACTCCGCCCGGCAGGCTAAAGCACTCTAATAGCAACGAAGACGGCCGCTACCTCGCTTCGCCTGTCTCCATCCTATGTCATAAGATCAAAGTCGACGGCCCAGACGAGCCCACGAAAACATACCAAGAAGCTTTAACTAGCTACCTTGCTTCTTTAATCTTCATCATTTGTGTATAAGCTACGTCTTATTGTATTGTTTACCTGTCTAGGAGCCGACACACTCTTATCTACTAATCAATTGAGCCTTCGACCAATTGCTATCTGCATAATATTCCACCAACCAGCTACCCACGGGTCAATTGCTTGACGACGCTTCCTTGCAGACACCTAGCCCACCATGCGCTTCGGGAAGACTCTCCGGTCTTCCATCAACGAGCCATGGAAGGGCAAGTACATTGACTACACCAAGCTCAAGAACCTGCTGCGGGAGGACAAGTTCGAGGACGATGACGTGCCGTGGACCGAGGACGACGAGAACCGCTTCTGCGACGAGATCTTCAACGTCCAGCTCGAGAAGGTCGCCCAGTTCCAGGAGGAGACGGTCGCCAGCCTGCGCCAGCGCGTCGATGCCGCCTTTGAGAAGCTGAGAGAGCTGGCGCCGCCGGCCGCCGAGGGCAAGTCGAAGGGCGACATCACCACCCAGCGGCTGAAGGAGCTGGAGGCGGAGCTCGACGAGATCACGAACGAGGTCAAGGAGCTCAAGAAGTACAGCAGTGTGAACTACACGGGGTTCCTGAAAATTGTCAAGAAGCATGATCGCAAGCGGGGTGATCGATACAAGATCCGGCCCATGATGCAGTACAGCTTATCCCAGCGGCCCTTCAACTCCGAGCATGCGTACAGCCCGCTGCTGAACAAGCTGTCGCTGATGTACTATGCCATCAGGCAGCACCTAGAGGAGAATGCACTGGCGGATGCGCTGCCCACGGATGCGGACAGCCAGGCCGAAACGCACAATGGCGAGCGGTATACTGCACACAAGTTCTGGGTCCATCCGGAAAACCTCCTAGAGGTCAAGACGTATATTCTCCGCCGCCTACCGGCACTGGTGTATAGCAATTCGTCTGCCAAGGAGGCTGACGGTATTGACGATCCGACACTCACGTCCCTCTACTTCGATAACCGCAAGTTCGACCTCTACCTGAGGAAACTGGACCGGGAAGTGGAAGCGTCGTCTCTCCGATTGAGGTGGTACGGCCAGTTGGGCTCGAAGCCTGATATTGTGCTCGAGCAGAAGACCATCCATGACAATGGAAGCAGCGAGGAGCGCAAGTTCACCATCAAGGAGAAGTACATCAAGCAGTTCCTGAGCGGCGAGTACAAGATGGAGAAGAGCGTGCAGAAGATGGAACGACAGGGCCAGAGTGGGGAGGACGTCGAGGCGTTCAAGACGACGGTGGACGAGATCCAGGAGTTCGTCAAGAACAACAAGATCGAGCCGATCCTGCGGGCCAACTACGTTCGCACTGCTTTCCAGAAACCGGCGGACGACCGTGTACGAATTGCGATTGATACTGAGGTCGCCTTCATTCGAGAGGATTCGCTAGACACTAGACGTCCATGCCGTGACCCCGGCGAGTGGCACAGGGCAGACATCGACAATAGAAACATAACCTACCCTTTTAAGGACATCAACCAGAGCGAGGTTTCGAGGTTCCCGTACGCCATTTTGGAAATCAAGCTCAAGGAGGACGGCGTCCACAAGCGGCCGATCTGGGTAGAAGAGCTGATGGCGTCACATCTGGTTCACCCCGCGCCTCGGTTCTCGAAGTTCGTTCACGGCGTGGCCTCGTTGTTCGATGACTACGTGAACAGACTGCCATTCTGGCTGAGCGAGCTGGATGCGGATATCCGTAAAGACCCGCAAGCTGCTTTCGAGGAAGAGGAACAACGGAAGGCCGAGCGAGCCGCTGATGAGCAGGTTGTAGGGAGTCTTCTGGGGTCAAAGGCTGTCTCATTCCAACCCGCAAGAAGCTCACCAATGGCGAAGTCATATCTCCAAGACAGGATGGCTCGAGACTCAAATGCGGGACTGCCATATTCGTCATCTGATGCTCACCTACCGCGGACCAAGTCACCGGCAACCGAAAATGGTGACGCTGGTGACGAGGCGCGGAACTATGGGACATTGTCTTCTGTGCTCCCCAGCTTTTCGATGACCAAGTACTCGAAGGCGAAGAGAGCCAAAGAGGCTCCCCTTCCAGAAGGAGTCAAGGAGCCCGAGACTTGGATCAAGAATGCTGGCCCCTTGAAGATTGAGCCAAAGGTATGGCTTGCCAACGAGCGCACGTTCCTCAAGTGGCAGCATATCTGCATCCTGCTTGGTGGCCTTGCTGTAGCGCTGTACAGCGCAGCCGGTGAGAGCCTCATCGCAGAGTTTATGGGCATTGCGTATATCCTCATTGCTGTGTTCGCTGGACTCTGGGGCTATTACATGCTGAAGACGCGACGGGCCATGATCATTGCGCGCAGCGGCAAGGACTTCGACAACATAATCGGGCCGATGGTTGTGAGCGCAGCACTGATGCTCGCACTGATCTTAAACTTCATCTTCCAGGTACGTAGCAGATGTTTGTCATGATTAACCGAACCATCTCAACTATGATGCTAACAAATTTGTTTTAGTATCAAGCAGCAGTTGCAAGAATGGAGAAGGACGCCGTAGTCTTTGAAAATAAGACTGTAGAGATTGATAGAGTAGAGCTGCTCTAGACAGACCTTGCATGACCGGGGAGACTCTTGGATACTGAAATACCATCAGATCATGTATTGGTGTAATAGATAGCCTTTGCATCGAGGCTCGGGAGATGTACGAACTTGTCATACCTTGTACAATGTCGGCAGATAATGAATAGGCATATAGCGATAATGTGAAGAGGCCCGATTAGAAGCTATCGCGGGCAGTTCCTGTAACGGTTGCACGACCCTGGTCACTTGTATGTCTAGCAGCTGCAAGCAAGCCGGCGTGAGTTCTGAATGGACCACGCAGACTTCCAGACCTCCAATAAACACCTCCGCAGCACACAATTAGCACGTGCAGCTGGTTGGGCAGGATGAAGAAAGTACAGCAAAACCGAAATGTGTGGAATACGTAGGGTGATTCAATGAGTTTAGGCTCTGAGATTCGCATCGCTCAGCTGGGAACTGCAGGCCTCCTGCATTGCTGTTTCAAGAGTGCTGCAAGCATCGCCACAAGGCTGCGCGGAAAGCGTCCTGTCTCGTGCGCCGGGCGTCTCCTCGCTGCGGTATTAGTCCACCCTTTCTTAGAGACTACGTAACCTGGACAGCTGGGAATGGAATGATTCACTTGCCATTTCATCTCAAACGCTTTTTGCTTCCTTTTTCTGCCTGAACTAACGGAGCTACTCAACCTTTAAAGACGCAAGGGCTTTATTGATCGCCAGTTTTTCGACGACCGCTCAACCCTTGGACACATCACGCTTTCACGGCGCAAAGCCACACTTCTTACACGTATGCTGGCCGCCCCAGCCTTGGAATCGTCAGTTTGGAGATGAAGAAACTCAGATAGTCCTCTGAGCGGCGACATCGATTTTCAAATTCTTTATGTCGCAAGCTATCGTTTTCTTATGACAGCTTGCCCAAAATGAGTGACGAGAGAGAAAAGAAGGGCGGCTTCTGGGACCTGTTCCGCAGCAAAACTACCACGCGCAGGGGCAGCCGGCTGGTCAGCAAATTTCTAGACCACCCCCGTGAACCTCGGTTCATTCTTCTAATACCCGCCATGCTGACTTCTAGCATAGGAAAAAGAGCCGCCAAGGAGAGCAAGTGAGGGAGATGCGGCAAGTCGTCGGCGACGAACATCAGAAGGCCCGGATCGCGTCACCAGCACTCGGCGCCGGCCGCGGCGTCCTATCTCCGGCGATGCCAAGGGCAAGGGCCGGGAGGGCCCAAACGGCGCGCCCTACGATACCGGCCCGCTGACAGAATGGCCTCCCTCCGGATTCTCCAGCGAGGAAGAGCTCACGCTGGGCCACGCCATGGAGCTTATCTCGAGAGGCGTGCCTGCGCACAAGGGTCACAAGCGGCCCATCCCTCACGCCTCGGAGAGCTACTACGCGCTCTTCGCGACGACGGCGGGCAACCGTGGCGATGACACGGACACGGCGAACCAGCACGACTCGATGACGCAACTCATGACCCTGCGGATACAGGGGCCTGGGTCGCCGACGTATCCCTGGGAGACACTGGAACAGCCCAGCTACTCATTCTACTTCGGCAAGCGCCCCGGTACGGTCACGCTCAACCAGTGGACAACCTTGTCAAGCAAACTACCTCCTGTCATTGCGCTTCGCGACCCTGGCGTGATGCCGCGAGAGGTCGACCTCGAGCAGGTTTTCCGGCGCCTGAAGGAGCTGGAGGCAGGGCTCGAGGACGACGACGACGATCTCATGTACAGGAACTTGTACAAGAGGCTTCTGAGGGATCCAGACAAGATCATGAATCCGCACAGGACCCTTGACAAGCAGATCACGGATCTGATCATGGTGCTGTCACGGCCAGACTGGTTTGACTTCACCAATCCGAGGAATCAGATTGTGACGAAGTTCATCTTCGACACGGGACACACGAACCACCAGCAGTATTTGAAGTTCTTCCACCAGCTGCTTCTGAGTCTGGAGCTGGATTTACGGATCAACTCGAGACATCACAATGACTGGTCGAAGGAGAAGTTGCTACAGCAGTTGCCGCCGCGGCTCCAGTGGAATCTTGCTTTGTCACGGAGATGGCGCGATAACGTGAGGGTGGAAACATATGGGAAGACAGCCGGTGAAGGTAAGTGTCCGCAAGGTCCAACTTCTTTGGCTGCGTCGTTGCTTACACCCAGTAGTGAAACTACGCTTCAAACTTAAGAGACGACAAATCAAGATGATCAAACGCTTTGCCCAGATGATGAAATGGCCGAACCTACACGAGACCCTTGACACCTTGAAGCGCCGGGACACTGATTCTACTTTGGATGGTATTAGCTCACATGCGATGGCTTTCTTTAGCGGCTTGGTTCTCCCAGGAGTAAGTACCCTTCATAGTAAATGAGCTATGTGTTTCTGACTTCTGCCAGACTACATTCCCCTTTCTCCTGATGAATTCCCTGATCGACATCGATCCAGACAAGGCCACCGATGACCTAGCTCTCCTCACCCACTTGCACCCATTATGTGGCTTCCAGTATCGTAATAGCTACACCTACTGGACGTCCATGTCCATTGTCGGTAAAGTGCTCGCGCCCACCTGCCACGAGATCGCTGGTTGGGTTGGACCGGCTCGTCCCACCGTTGACCTGGGCCGGTCTCAGATCGCCCGCATCCGCACCCGCCAGCCGCGCCAGCGCATGACGGCCGAGGACGTGGCGACGATGAGCGAGCGGTCGGACCCCCTCGGCCCGCCCACCGAGGTGTTCCCCGTCAAGGAGTACACGCTGGTGGTGCCAGACACGGACGAGATCGTCGACACCGTGCGCATCGAGCTACTGACGCTGCGGCCCTGCGCGGATCGCAACGCCTCCAACGAGCCCGCGGACGCACCGCGCTGGTTCGACGCCAGCATCCAGTTCGCCATCGATGGTGTGAGCTGGCCGCTGCGGCTGGCGTACGATGTATCGTTTGTATGCGCGTGGCCGTGCAGCGATGGTCCACACCCGCTGTTCTTCGACTACACGTACATGGCGGTCAAGGCGGACGAGATCACCGGCATCCGGGACTGGGCCGGACTGTACGGGGGCAGCAGCAAAGCCGGCAGCAAGTCCGGGAAGTCTGCGTCTGATCTACTGAGCGCTAGGTCCAGCCCGGCTGTGGGCTTGGGCCCGTCCAAGGCCAAGACACCGATCCATTCGGACCTCAAAAGCGATGACGACGACGACGAGAAGGTGTTGGTCATTGAGGCGTTTGGGGTTGCAGACAATGAAGTCCTGGCCCGTGCCTGGTGCGCGCACTGGGGCTTGAGTGCGGTGGTCGCGGATATTGGCAAGACATGGTGAGTCTTTACGTTCGGTGTCCTCCTGCAGAGATCAAAGTAGGCCTCTCCCCTGAAGAGGACCAGTGTTGCTGACTTGGCTTACAGCATGGCATGTGCTATCCGAGAGGCCTTCGCGGCTACACTTCGGGTGGTAATACTTGTGGAGGACCTGGATTCAGCTGGTGATGATTGATGAAAACGAAGTTGGACGCGTTTACGATAATGCAATGCGACGACATTGGCGTGATGTTTTATGGTTAATCTTCTGCACGGGGTAAGGGAGGGAAGAGGATGATGATGCTTGATGCCATTCATACGGTCTAGGAATACCCCTGAACTTGAAAATTGGGGGAGTTGGAAGGATTATTTTGCCGTATTTTCGAGTTTACGCACCGAAGAACGGTAATAAGTACGCGTATTCGAGCAATTTACATCTGCTTTCCACTTTGAAAGAAGCCTTGCCACCATATTCCCAAGGGAGGAATATCAAGTGACTGCGAGTCGTTCGAAATATGCTTCAGGGGCTACATGTCAAGGGGTATCTAGGCAGTGAATACGATTTTACATGTCCGCACATAGCGAACCCAATGCGACCACAGAGATTTGGGCAGACACCGGGATTATAAAGCGCGTGTACTGATCTACTTCGCGCCGACTCGTGAATCAGCCGGCAGGCGTGTTGCGTCGGGGCTAATTCGATGATATGTCTGGCGAAGGGGAAATATGTATAGGGAAGAAAAAGAGGAAATTTTAAGCAGCCCTGCCATTGAAGCGAGCTTTATGTTAGTCGGCGGTCATGTGACAGCGAAGTATCTCTATCACTCCCAGTCTCTAATCCTCCGTCAGAAGTAAAAATCGGTTCTTTATCATGAATGATTGCCGATACTAAACAAAGAGTGTCTTAGTTAGTTTAATTTGAGGCCCTAGAGATTCTGCTTATTGTTACAGCTTCACTCACTCACAGGTAGTATGACGTTGATGAGTGGCGGTTATGCCCATACCCTTAACGAACTTACGTCTATTATCCTAGCAAAGAAGCACTTTCGAGCCATGTTATGAGGTATAACAATAGATCTACCTTAGCTCATATCAGAACCGCATCTGATATGTAGTCAAGAGGCTCGAGCCTACTGCAGCTTCACTCGTATCGTCGCTGTCGGAGTGTTCGTATCAGTGCCTCGGTGAAGGTGCCGTGACAAGCGTGCGACCAGTCATGTTTGCAGAACCCCCACCATTTTGGATGTTATCCCCATAGAGTCCCCTAAAACACCCCGACTTGTCGACAGGGACCACCAGAATTCGCAAGGCCCAAGCAGGCAAGCGGCGGTTCACGATAATGTCACAATCATGATCCCTGGTCATTGTGATGGTAGTCACATGGGCCTAAAGCAAAGATATACTCTTAGTATTCAATAGAGATCCGGCTTTTGTGGCCGTTTGCTGAAAGTACCTAACCTAGAAGTTGTAGCTTGTAGGTAGTCCGGATTTGTTCTAGCATGTGCGTTAGCACCCGGTGCACTCTACCCAAGTTGCTGGCCGCTCGGCAGGTTCGCGCCTGCTACCGTGCGGTACCTTAGCCTGGCAGAAAAGGCTGACGTGTAGTTGAACTACCAAATGTTTCAATGTCCACCAAGGAGATTTAACACACTGTTTGCACCACCACTCTCACTTCGCTTGGTCAACAAATCTGGCAACAGACCTGCGGAACCGTCTCCGTGGCAGCGTCCCAATGCTCTCGTTTTAAGACGCCATCCCAATTGACCATGTCTTCCGCCGCGCCGCCGGATCCTACCAACTCAGCTTCTCAAGGTTAGTCCAGTGGTTCGCAGCATACCGGATGGGCAAGTTACTGACACGTAGTCTGCACTACCTCAACAGCCCCCAAGAAGAAGAACAATAAGAAGAAGAAGAATGCCAACAAGGCCAAGGCCGCAGCAATCGACACCGACAAGGATGTCAAACAGGCCGACAATGACGACCAGTCGGGTGATGAACCAGACACCCCGGTGGTATGCTCTCCTCAGCTCCTACCCTCTCAGCGCGCACCTTCTTTTGCAGACAATGGCTAATGCACTCTCGTAGAACGCGACGGCGAAGGATTTCGAGCAGCCAGCGAGCCCCGTCAAAACCGAAGCTAAAGCAAATGGCCACGTCGAACCACCAGCCAGCAACGGCCACCCCGTCTCCGCGGACAGCAGCGAGAAGGATAACGACTCGTCCGGCGCTGACACCAGCGCGAAGCTCGAGGCCATGACACAGGAGCGGGAGGCCCTGCGCGCCGAGGTGGAGCAGCTCAGGAAGCAGCTCGAGACGATCCAGGAGACGCACTCGTCCGAGGTTGGCCAGCTCAAGTCGGACCTCGAGGACAGCGAGGCCGCCAAGGAGCACGCCGAGACGCAGTACCAGACGCTGCTGGGCCGCGTGGAGAAGATCAAGGAGACGCTGGGCGAGCGCCTCAAGCGGGACAGGCAGGAGCTGGAGGAGGCCAAGGACCGCATTGAAGAGCTCGAGGCACAGAACGAGGAGCTCCAGAAGGGCGCCAGCGCCTCGAGCGACGACGCAGGCAGGCTGCAGGAGGAGCTTCAGGAAGCGACGCGTGAATTGGCGAGCCTGCGCAGTCGGAGTAACCTCTCACAACAAAATTGGATGAAGGAGAAAGAGGACATGACGAGACAGCTCCAACACTTCAAGTCGGAGCTTGAGTCGACCGGTAGTGCCATGGGCGAGTGGGAGGTCATCGCAATGGAGGAACGTTCGGTTCGAGAGAGTCTCACGGACAAGGTCTCTGATCTCGAGGAGCAACTATCTACGATCAGGGAAGCCTATGAGAGGGCTGCTGCAGAGCGTGATACCCAGTCCCTGACGATCGATGGCCTCCAAAGGGCGCTCCAAGAGATACAAGAGGCCCGAAGGAAAGAGCTCAGAGAGATGGTGGAGTCATCCGAGGAGCAACTCCAGGCCATGAAGAAACGCGTCCAGGACGCAGACGCAAGAGTGGCCGAGGCCGAGGCGGCAAAGGAGACGCTGTCCAAGGAACTTGAGCGAACGGCACCCTTCGAAAAGGAGGTCAGGGAGAAGAACCTGCTCATTGGCAAGCTACGGCATGAAGCAATTGTTCTCAATGACCACTTGACCAAGGCGCTCCGTTATCTGAAGAAGACAAAGCCTGAAGAACAGGTCGACAGGTATGAAAGACTTCATCTTCTGAAACCTCACCCTAGAAAAGTACTAATATTCGTCAAGGCAAATCATTACAAACTACCTCATTCAGTTCCTCTCTCTGGATCGATCAGACCCAAAGAGGTTCCAGATCTTACAAGTCATTGCAGGCTACCTGAACTGGACAGAGGAACAAAAGGAGCAAGCTGGCCTCGCCCGGCCCGGCACGGCGAACAATACTCTTCGCCTGCCGTCCTCGCCTTTCCACCGTACGCCGAGTACGCCATCACTGAATGCAGAGTTCTTCAGTGAGCCTACGCCTTCGTCGGCCAAGGAGTCGTTGGCAGATCTGTGGGCAGGGTTCCTGGAGCGGAGTGTGGAAGAGGGAATGGGAGATGCTGCGTCAAGAAAGGACAGTGTTTCGAGCATAGGCACCACGGGCACTCCACGGCCAGAAGCCAAAGGGCGTGAGTCTTCATGAGGCTATCCAAGGGATTCTCATATGAAGGGGATCGAATTGCATTTTCTAGGGTAATTGAAGGCACGAACCTCACAACATTTACAAGGCGTTCTTCTACAGGTTCAGGGTGCTTATTTTTATGGCATGGGATCCTCGTCCGAGCCGAACTGTGTCGGTCTCAGTGTAAGGTTTATCAGCACAGCACACCAACAAAAGATATGATACAATACTAGGATGTGATGTGTCCCTATAAGGCTATAAATTCTTTGCCGTCTGAAGTGATACGCTCTATATGTTCCTTATGAGTCGCCTATTTTGTCTGTCTAAATGTCGATTGCAACGGTTCGAGCACGGCATTTGCGTACGTGTCCGCATCCCGGCTCATGGCTTCCATGTTCACACGATTCTGCAACGCATCATTGACGCCCTCAATCACCTCGCGCTCCTCCATGACCTCGCCCATCATGCGCACCTCGTGGTTCCAGTACACCTGCGAGGCGCCCCGCAGCTCCTCGTCGCGGCTCGCCGTGTTCTTGACGATGCCCGCCGCGCTGATCTTGCTCTTGACCGAGCCCAGGGCCCGCGACAGGCTCTCGAGGCGCTCGGCCGTCGACGGCGGGCTGGCAAACGCCCGGTTCGTCGCCGACAGCCACAGCAGCCAGCCCAGCAGCGCGTCGAGCCCCGCGAGCGCCAGGTGCCGGTACGTCCGCGCGCGCCAGAAGAAGAAGTCCGTCTCGGCGAGGCGCAGCGCCCGCGCGTTGCCCTGGTACGGGTACACACTGACGGCGTAGGCGTCCGCGAGCCCCACGGCTGCGGCGGCGATGGTCGCCGTCGTGCGCCACTGCGCGCCCTCGCGGCCGCTGACGAGGGTCGACGTCACGAGCGCGAGGACCACGAGGTTGAGCAGGTGCGGCCATGCGAGGGCGGGCAGCGCGTAGTAGAGGTATGAGCGCGGCTCGTCGGCGGCGCAGAAGGGGCAGTTGGCGAGGACGTCCGGGCCGAACTGCAGGTAGAGCAGGCGGCTCTCGAGGTTGACGAAGCGGGCGCGCAGGGCTTCGTCCTGTGGCGTCAGGGAGTTGTTCGGTCTCAGCGCAGATAGGCGGGTGAAGAGCACATCCGTCGGTATCTGCAGTCTGGACTGTGTCCTGGTGAAGACATTCTCGGGTGCGAGGATGGGGATGGTCTTGATGAGGAAGAGCACCGCGATGACGAACAGAATCGCGAGGGATCTCGCTGCTTTGGGAGGAAGAGGTCGTACGGCAAGGCCCTGGACTCGTGGTGCATTACGAACCGAGCGGTAGTAGCTAAGTGCTCGGGGCACGATGATGGGCCCGAAGAAGATGAGGAGAGACTTGATGCTAGGGAGTAGTGTTAGTCGGCTTTATAAAGGGCAGTTTGATTTGAGTATGTAGCGGCTTACCTGCTCCATGGAATTGCCATGGTTATTGTATCATTTCAAAGACAAGCTTAGGTGAATTCAAGGACAGGGGCAGATACTCGGAGGATGTATCTGCATCCAGATGCCAGGTTGCGTTGTCAATCAATCTCACAAGGCTGAGGACAGCGTTGAAGGGAGACCTGTTGACAATGGTCTTCTATTGGCGATTAGGCACGGCTGCAGTGGGGTATGGGGCCTAGTCTACAGTGGGGCCAACGGCGGCCACAGGCCCATCTATCTGCACTTTCTCGCCCTTAAATTTTTGTCATGCTTCACTTCTACAACTCAATACAAAATATCTTAAGCCCTCAAGGCCAAGCGTGAGAAACACTGCAGGCACAAGCCAGCAGCATCCTTTATTTTCGCTAGTCAAGGTATTGTTCCTATCATTATGCTATCTATAGTACAACAATGCTATAGTGACGCTGTTGTATTGAAGTGACCGCTTGGATGTCTTCTCAGACTTCATCTCTTCTACCCCATGGGCACTTTCGAAGCTTTAGCACACCTTCTCAATGGATGCTCAAAGTCAATATGTTGCCCAGAGCGAGCCCAAGTACTCTGCCAAGAGTCATCTCACGTAGTGTTGCAGAGTTTCAGCTTACCGGCCATGAAGAGCTTTGCGTCAAATTGTTGAGAGACATGCTGTGATGCTGATGATGCCTTGTAATCAGTCTGCTATGCTGTTGATGTCGTTGAATTCCTTCTCATGAAGCCTTTTCTCCCTTAGCCGCCGCTTTCGGTGGCTTTGCCGCTGGGACCTTTGTCGGCTGGGGCGTCGCCTCTCGTGAACCTAGGATCAAGCCAAATATCGCGACGATTGTGTCGATCAGCAGCGAGACGACCCCAGTGCAGGCCACCTGCCATGATGCAACACTGACACTCCCTAGCGGCGCCCTGGGGAAGGAGAGTAACCACTCTGCATAGTATGGAAACCATCCGTAAGGTAACCAGAACATCGGCTGCTTAGCGAACCAGAAGGGTATGAAGTATTGCAGGCCTCTCGTCGAGATCCATCGCACCGTCGTCACGATCTTGTCGAATTGTGCGCGCGAGCCGCCAAGTGCAGTCTCTGATCAACAACCCTGATTAGCTATAATCCTTCCAAGGCTAGAAAAATATGGGAATGGGTTTGCGTACTCTTCTTCTCGAGCTGCTCTAACAGTTTGTCGTGATGTCTCCGGAGCTTCGCCCACTTTGCGAACTCATCCTGGCTGCTCGTAGCGTTCAGGTCTCTGCGGACCTTGAGGTAGTCCTGCTGTAGCTTGCGTTGCTCCGCATACTCTTTCGAAGCCGTGCCTGGGAGGGCATTATAAAAGCTCCATAACTATAATCAAAAACAAGAGTATGTCAGCATAGTTTCCCGCAAGTCCGATCAAAGAGGTAGTAGCTCAAGGTCTTGGGCTGCATACTAGGTCGTTTATGGTCGCTGCGCCGATGGTGTTGACGGCCTGGACCACCAGCTCAACTGCGAGAATAATGACGAGAAGAGGAGGCATGGTTGCTGTCTGACGGAACTTTCACAAATATGCAGCGATGGAGTGATGCTCAGATCGTCATGTCCGGGTACAGTTGTGGGCTGTTGGACCGTGAGGCTACCAATTCGTGGCTTTACTTGGGCGCCAGGGTTTAGCGGCGCAAATGGACCGCCGCCAGCTGACATCACACTTTAGAAGCGTCTGTGCCTGAGGCTGTTCAACCAACACACTAACACCACCTGAACGTATCACAGTGAGCTCTAGATGCCTAACAGGTGAACAACTAAAGTTGTGGGCTGCGCTTTCCAAAATCAATGCTGATGGGCTGTCACTGTATATCATATTCACACCACAGCTTGAGTTAAAGGGCTGATGGCTTGAGCAGGAAGGTGCATCATGTCCCGGGCCATCGAGAAAGACATAGCGGCGTCACTGAAGAAAGGCGATCCCGTCGAGGCCTACAGGCAAATATCTGAAGTATTGAACTCAACAACCGGGTCATGTGAGATTGAGATCCTCGGGAAAGCTCACCCTCTACCGCCAGGGACATACTTACTCCAGGATGGTCCGGCAGCTGCTATTTCGAAAGTGGCCCTGGTTCAGGCATTTGTAGTTGCCCACAATATCCTCAGAGACCATCTCGATGGGCAAAGAGCGGTACCAAATGAGGAGTTGCTTGCCGCAACAAGTGTGGCTCTTCTCTTGGATCCTGAGCACCTCACGGCGGCGAACATCCGGAAGAAAGTTGTCCTGGCTCGGCTATCACAGACTCATGAGGCTCAAGCTGCAGAGCCAAATGGTCTGCAGGTCATGGACAGCGAGAGGTGGTTCGTTGACAACCTCTTGATGAGCCGCTTGCATAGGCATACCAAGTCTCCAACCCTCTGGAGCCACCGCAGATGGCTCATGCATAAGAAGAGCTCATCAGGTCAAAATGTCGACGTGTTAGGCGATATCACACGAGTTGTGTTAGTAGCAGCGGAGCGACACCCAAGGAACTACTATGCTTGGACGCATGCCCGGAGTCTAGTGAAGTTCATCTCAGATAAGCCAAAAATTTTGGCTCGTGATGGGCCATCACTGTTGACAGTAGTCAAGTCTTGGTGTATCAAACATCACAATGATGTATCTGGATGGTCTTTTCTCCACCACCTGCTGATACTCGAGGGAAATGCAGGTCGGCAAGGGGCTGTGATCACTATCTACTGCGAGATTCTGGATCTGGTCAAGTCATTTCGTTGGGCAAACGAATCTGTGTGGACGTTTATGCGTACCTTGGTCGCGTCAGGGGCTGTGGGAGAGGACGGCACTGAGGCGTTCTTCGAGGTAGCGACAGGGCTTAAGAATGCGGTACCTCAGAGCTCGCAGGACTGGAAAACACTCGACGCAGCTGAGACCTGGTGTCGGCAATACAGACGCATGTCTGAGACTTGAAGTGGTGTCCTTCAATGCTTACGTACACATACCAGCAGAGTGCTAACGTGTGGAATGGCAAGCCATTCTTCCTCGGCCTTGGCAGGCATAGCCAAATGAGGATGACATCGTTAGTCTGTAAGAGACGCAGACGGCCTGCCTTGCTGCACGGCAAAGCTGGTATGCTATCCTTTTCGCGCCCTTGGACGGACCTTGAGAAAGTGCTGGAGTCACTGAAGGCCCATACGAAAGCTCAGGGGCTATTGTGTGAATGGTGCTCACGATAAGCTTCCCCGTCCTCGTCGTGGCTATGGTTGCAATCAGTTTAATTGACCCGGACTGGCATACCGGCGGTGAACGACCAAGACTGAAAAACAAACGGATGCCGAGCGAGATCTACAGGGACGTCGTCTCGAGGTCGCAATTTCAATTAAAACCCCGGGTCTCCAGTGTCCTGCAAATCAGACTCTAGGAGATCTTGGTGTGGTATCTATGGAGGGCGCCTTCCCAACAACGAGATAGACTGGTCGTGATGAGTGCCATCTCAGCAGCAACGCGGATTGCACGTGTAGATTAGAGGTGCTGATCATCGACTGATATGGCACTAATACAGTGACGACTTCGAAATGTCTTAGCATTGCTTGCGTGTGTTATAGTGTAGTGGTCCCTGGCCATCGTGGGGCTGTGAAGGACGGCATCTCGAACACGCCCGCCCATCAGCCCAAAAAGCCGCGATAGGCCAATTCCCCTGGCGCCTCTGGGCACACCCTTGGAGATGCAGCATACACACACACATGCTGTAAAAGGGCATGTGGAGGCGTCATGGGCGCCTGCAAGGGTTAGGAGATATGGAGGTGTAGCCATTGCCCCAATTGGGCCTATGGACGGGCTATCCTAGCTCTCTAGGTGCTGCCAGTTGTCGGGTGTGGTAGCAGTGAGCCCCTTTCTTTTCAGCTTCAACTCCAGAACCCCGTAATGCCGATGATGGCTCAAATCGGCAGTGTCATTCCACACGTTGGCTCAAGACATCATGCAGCTTTTTGTGTGCTGTTGAAGAAAAATGAGTGACGTCGTGAGAAGTGATAGAATCGTAGAAATGGACGGTTTCTCTCGTTTCTGACACAACCAGTGCTGCCACCTTCTAATTTCGGAGGGTGCAGCGATCATTCAGCCGAGAAAGCCCGCTGCCCTGACCAGCAGCACGCGGTTGAGTACGGGCATTATCATTAATATACCAGCACACAAAAATGCGTGGCATAGCGCGGGATGGTATTCTCGACAAGTCTGGTAGGCAATTAATGCTACATACATGTATGCACAAGTAAAGACGAGCACAATAAGAAGCTATGAATAGGTAGGTAAACAGCTTGAGGGCACGCACGCCACACGGGAGCAAGGGCGGCGTCCAGGTATCGAAGAGAAGCAATCTGGGCATCATCCTTGGACGCATCTCCCAAGAGCCCCGAGCGTCTCAAGACACTCGTAAAGGCAAAGTCGGTCAAAGATGAAGCTGTTCCTGTCAGTTCTACCTTGCAGGCCTAACATTGTATGGGAGTCTAGGAGTCTTTTCTGAACGTGGGTCTTCGTGTCGTTATCATTCTCTACCTCTGCAAGGTTGCCCGACTCCCGAGGCCCTGCGTTTTTGCTGGGCCCCCTGCATTGAGGATTCCTGCTTGGCCCAAAGCAGGTCCCTGGCACCAGCTAGGGCGCTATCTGCTGGGCTTGGCAAAGGGCACATGAGATGAGAGAGAGACCGAGAAGCTCCGGTGCGTTGCAGCAACAAACACAGCAGTCTACCACGATACTCCTCCAGTCGAGCCTTTTAGTCAAATTTGATGTTGAAGATCGGTGGAGGGCTCTTGAGGGCTCCCGAAGGCTCTCAAGGCAACTCTGAAACGCCGTGCGCCCTCGAGCTGGAGAATTGGCCCGCAGAAGGCAGATAGGCGGTGGGCCATGTGGCTCGACGATCTTCATCCCATCTTCGAGAATCTCCACGATTGCGTACATGCACAATTACTGTGTGTACACTGGAGACTGGCCCCTCTCTCTCTCTCTCTCCCTACGTGTATCTCCCACTCAGGGCGGGCGCGTGGGCCTCGAACAGCACTGACATTGGGTCGTTTTGGGGGAGCGCTTGCTCTGTGCTCAGTGCTCAGTGCTCACTCAGGTGCTGTGAGGGTTTCGAAACCAGCAGCGAATGAGAGGTGCAGCGAGGACACGGACATGGACAAGGGCACTTTAATGAGGTAGATCGCAGTTTAAATATCTACTTGGCGGAGACCTGTTACCCTGGTTTCTAGCCGCTCAGCTGAGCGGTGGTCCTGACGAGCCCACAGTAACTGCGCATCTGCCTGCAAGGGACAGACCGCCATAGCCGTGCTAGGAGATACACGCGGGCACCCGCAGGCGTTGATGACGGACAAGGTCGAAGCCGGGTAGAGCTCAACGTGCCCTAGGGCGCCCTAGGCCCGTAGCTTGTTAGCGCAGAGCCACGGTGCGCGCGCGCTAGGCCTGCTTGGGGGGCTGGCAAGTGATATCGTTGATGAAAGAGAGACAGAGAGACAGACGAGCGAGACTCGAGATGCGGAGGGAATGCTACGGTACCTGCACCACGCCCCGTCGCGGTTACCACGATACTCCATCCTGCTCAGCATGCGCCGCACAACGCCGTGTACTGGGCGGTATATCATCAAACAGAGCTGCATTCCCCCTCAAGTCCCTCATCATCTGCCTGCTCCAAGCCGCCCGCCCGCAACGCTTCTCCTATCCAAATTCCAGCTCCTCTCCCACTAGTTTAGGGCCTTGGTGTGATGGTGGTACCTTGACGTTGACCTTGCCTTAGTCTACTGTTTGGGTTCCCACTCTCTCTACATATTCCATCCAGCCATCCGTTCGATCTATTACATAGTAATTCTCTCCTTCCTCTCGTTCCATTGACTCGAAGGCTGTTCCCTTTCCTCGACGCCCTACTGCGCTTTTTCCTTTGAGGTCTTTTTCGGCATCATAAAATAGACCCTCACGTTGTTATCATCATCGTCAATCTCAGCATCATCTGATCAGTGCGGCACGCTTTCGTCTAGCTTGTCGCCCGTCTCCTTGTCCTTGCTTATCACTAGTCTCTTTGCCTGTGGCGCTCGTCCTTTTTTGTTCCTCGTATTTGCCAGCGCTAGCATACATAGCATTGGAGTTCGCCGAAAGAACCGCGTTCTCGAATCCCAATTGCATACACTCAAAACAGCATTTTCTCTCGTCTCGTCTTCCTCCAACGGTTCTTTGGAAAGGGAAGGGGAAAAAAATACGTCTTTGTTCTCTTGCCCAAGGGAAGACTCGGACCGCATGCACCAATGCTGCCCATATAATCTCTAATCCTTTAATACTGCCAGGGGTGGCAGAGTCTGGTACTCTCGGCCAGTTCGGTGTTGGCCAGAAGAGAGTCTGAAGTGAAGAGGAGGAAGTGCTTAGAGGACCCAGCCGGAGCGTCACCATGCTCCGCGTCCTCGTCTTAATACAGCTGACGCTATGGGCAACCGCCGTCCACGCCTTCTTTCCGTGGATACCCGGGTACCTATGTGATGAAGAAAACAACTGCGAGAAGCAGGACAAGAGGGGGCAACCCATAAGCCTCGGGGCTCCATTGAAGAAGGCAAACACCCCAGCAGGATCTGTGACCTTCAAGCTGTCACAGAGGGTCTCGGGCGTAAGTATTGAGCTGCTCCTTCAGCATGTAAATCATTGCTAACATGAGCTTCCTAAAGGCCAATTTCCGATCTTCTGTAGGAGCTGCACGACAGGCCGACCATCTCCGCAGGAAGAAGGCTTCCCTCGAGGTTTCTCGCGCGCTGAACCATCCTGCCGAGGTGGTTAAGCGTGACAACAAGTATGCGGTGGTGTCTGCAGTCGCGCCTACACAAACAAACAGCGTAGGAATCAACCAAGATGGGACCGATTTCTCCTACTTCATTGAGGCAGGAATTGGTTCGGCCTCAACGCCTCTGTTCTTGCTTATCGACACGGGAGCAGGCACCAGCTGGGCTATGGGCTCAGGGTGCAAGTCTACCGCGTGTGGGATGCACAATTCCTTCGGTCCTGATGACTCGACGACATACAAGGATTCATCCCACGTCTTCTCGATAGCATATGGATCCGGATCTGTAGCGGGCACATTAGCTGAGGATTCCATCTCAGTTGCCGGCCTGAAAGTCACCATGACTTTTGGCATTGCCAATACCACGTCTGATGATTTCACACATTTCCCCTTCGACGGCATACTCGGTCTTTCCATGAACAAGGGTGCTACAGATAACTTCATGGCCTCTATCAAGGAAGACAATCTGTTGGGCTCGAACATCTTCAGCGTGGCATTGAGCCGCAACTCGGACGGCCAAAACACGGGAGAAATTACGTTTGGTGCTACCAATCCTGATAAATTCACCGGAGACATTACATACACATCTGTCTCGTCCGGGAGCAACGGCGACTGGGCTGTACCCATGGACGGCTTGTCTTACGATGGCAAGGATGCAGGGATCAGTGGCAGACTGGCTTACATTGATACCGGTACTTCATATGTCTTCGGTCCTCCCGACGATGTTGCTGCTATCCACAAAGTCATTCCCGACGCATCCAGCTCCGACGGGATCACATTCACCGCTCCTTGCGATACAGACAAGCCAATCACCGTCACGTTCTCCGGCGTCAAGTACACCATGTCCCGAAAGGACTGGCTTTCCGCCCCTTCCGGTTCTGGGGTTTGCACCAGCAATATCTACGGCCACGAAGTCGTCAAGGGCTCGTGGTTGCTTGGGGACCTCTTCCTCAAGAATGTCTACGCCGTCTTCGACGTAGACAAGACTCGTATTGGTAAGGTTCCCTTGATTGTGTCATACCATCAACAGCACTAACAGCCTGCAGGATTTGCTTCCAGACCAGTGATTGCCACGCCGACCACCACATCTTCAAGTGTTGTGTCGTCCACAACTGCCCCCGAATCATCGGAGACAACATCAACTGATGGTGATAAACCATCTAAAACCGCTGGTACAACGATCACTCCTGTACCAAGTGCATCGAGCGGCACAACAGGCGGAGTTCCGGGCCTTAGTGGGCACGAGACATCAGCGACTGCTGTGGGTGTCGCCCAGACCCAGGCCGCCTCAGCTACGGCAACTCAGGACTCCTCCGGGGAGAACCTAGGATCTAACAAGTACGCTCCGATCATGTGCATTGTTGCGGCTGTCGTCTTTATGGCGTAATCTAAACTATAATTCTCACATATATGGGTGAGATTACACCTGTATGAATATGTGTTCGAGGATCAATCAGCTCGAAAAAGAGAGCTCGACATTCCATCAAAAGCACGCTTGCATTGTTTCCATGTATTTTTACGTTGTGGAGGGATGGGAAAGATCCCTCAGTTATGATGATACCCACAGAAAGTAGGGCAGAGAGCCTGGATGTATACGAGATCGATAAGGCTCTGAAGAGGCACTGGACCTCTTCAATTTGTATGTAGTAATATGTAATCAAACAAATATGATTCGATTCATACAAAATTGTACTCTCGATGCCATCTTTCAAAATGAAGTGTCGCTTTGTATTGGTATCTAAACACCCCCTTACCTGGTACGTAGCTACGCGTATAATTTCTAGGTAGCGTCAGGTGACGGCCCAGGACCCCTGTGGCTGATCGGCGTAAAGCCAATTGAGAGGAACGGCTGGTGAGAAGATTTGACTTCTCTTGTCCCCAGAGGGAGTTTCAAAAGAAAACCCAATCACGGCACCGGTAAACTTTCCCCCAGAACGTCTACGGCCAGGAACAAAGCTTACAACACTTTGTTTCGCTCGAAGATGCGCTCGCGATAACTAGCCAAGGTAGCTATGGCCAAGGCCAAGACTTACGATGGCCACAGGGACGCGGCACGCAGCGCAGGCGCCGGCAGCGGCGACAATGAAGAGGATATAGGTCTGCTGTCTGCGGACGCCGGCCTGGACGACCGCAACGTAGCCGGCGACGATGACGACGATATCATAGTGCACCCCGGGGGCGCCGTCAGCCCTCCCGATGCTGCGGCGACAGACTCCCAGATCCCTCGGACACCACGAACACCAAACCGCGTGCGATTCGACCTCACGCCCACCGTGGCCAACTTTCCCGCCCACGGCCGCAGCAATGGCTCTGCAAACGGCCACGCGGGCGGCCCGCCGCGGGACAGCTTCGACACGGACGACGGCGACTTTGACTTTGACGACGACCCGCTCGGCAGCCCCGGGGCCGCCCATCGCACGCCGCTCCTCACAGACATCGAGGCGCCCTCGGTGGCGCTGGCGAACTCACCGTGGATCGACGGCGATGTGGACAGCTGGGCAGAGGCGGAACGGGCGCGGCCCAAGAGCGGCCTGCGCTCGGCGTTCATGAATATGGCCAACAGCATCATCGGGGCCGGCATCATCGGGCAGCCGTACGCCTTTCGGCAGGCGGGCCTCCTGGCCGGCGCGGTGCTGCTGGTCGGCCTGACGGTCGTCGTCGACTGGACCATCTGCCTGATTGTCGTCAACTCCAAGCTCAGCGGCGCCAACAGCTTCCAGGGCACCGTCGAGCACTGCTTCGGCCGCACCGGCCTCATCGCCATCAGCATTGCACAGTGGGCGTTTGCGTTCGGCGGTATGGTGGCCTTTGGCATCATCATTGGCGACTCGATACCGCATGTCCTCACCGCTATATGGCCGAACCTACGCGACCTTCCAGTGCTGGGGCTGCTGGCGGACAGGAGGGTGGTGATTGTTGTATTTGTACTGGGAATCAGCTATCCCCTGACGTTATACCGGGATATTGCGAAGGTGAGAGATTGTGATCAAGGTTTATATATGACATCCAGCGTGCTAACAATCTGTAGCTTGCAAAAGCGAGCACACTTGCCTTGATCAGCATGCTTGTCATCATCCTGACAGTTGTGATACAGGGAGCATTGACTCCCAAGGCGGAGAGAGGCTCATTCTCCACACCTCTTCTTACGATCAACGATGGCATATTTCAGGCGATCGGCGTTATCTCCTTTGGTAAGTTCCCGATAACTTACACTTGATCATTGTGGAGACTAACATTATCTGCATTCAGCATTTGTCTGCCACCATAACTCTCTTCTAATCTATGGATCTCTCAAAACGCCCACGATCGACCGCTTCTCGCGCGTCACACACTACTCGACCGGAGTGTCGATGCTAGCATGTCTGCTCATGGCCCTGGCGGGCTTCCTGACCTTTGGCGACCGCACGCTGGGCAACGTGCTCAACAACTTCTCCCCGGACAACACCATGGTCAACGTGGCGCGGCTGTGCTTCGGGCTCAACATGCTGACGACGCTACCCCTCGAGGCGTTTGTCTGCCGCGAGGTCATGTTCAACTACTACTTCCCCGGCGAGCCGTTCAACATGAACCTACACCTCATCTTCAGCACCAGCCTCGTCGTCTCGGCCATGGCCCTGAGCCTGATCACGTGCGACCTGGGCGTCGTGTTCGAGCTCGTCGGCGCCACGAGCGCCTGCGCCCTCGCGTACATCCTGCCGCCGCTGTGCTACATCAAGCTGGCGACGCGGTCGTGGAAGACATACCTCGCCATGGGCATTGTGGTTTTTGGATGCGTTGTCATGGGCATCAGCATGCTCCAGGCTATCGGGAAGATGATCAGAGGTAAGCTCTCCCTACGCCAGGCACAATCAAAAACAGCCCCTTAACTAACGTCATGGCAGGAGAGGGAGGTAGTGCTCAATGCATGTAGGCATGCCGCTGTACTTGGTCATGGTTACGGTGTCCGGTTAGCGCTTTTGGCTTCCAAACCATCGGTTCGCATCGAACGAACAGAAAAGGAGCATTACGATTTCCAAGCATGTATCGTGGGAAATGGCCCCCAAAAGACAAGACAGGGCTTGCGGCAAAAGGAATAGACTTGCATAGGCTGGGAGCCCAGGGATCTTAGACACACATGTATACATACATTAGCTCATCCACGCGGGACATGAATCAAGGGTCATTTGTGGTGATCCCAAGCTCTCAGCCCGAGATCTGTATATATTGTAGGAGCTTCCCACAGCCGTCCATCCAGCCAGCCAGCCCCCAATCGCTGACGTTCCATCCGTCAGCCGAAACGCCGCCTGACTTGGATGTCTAATCAGACGGCCACCACGCGACTGACTGGTGGGCAGCTAGCCCTGTTCCAACACCGGCTGGATCCGCTCTTCAACGTGCATTAGGCCCGACAGAGAGCGGCACCCTTACCTACCTACGTGCCTACTTACTTGGCTTAGACATCCCGAAGTGTGTCCAGCGTGACGAACAAGCCTGCGGGGGTGCTTGTCTCGCGTTCTGCAGCGATCGCCTATACCTGCCTACCTGCTTGCAGCGGCTGTCCAATAAATAAATCCCCGTGAGGGTGTTGGCAGGCGAGGTAGGTAGGCAGGTCTGTGTAAGACACCCAGCGGATCCTATCCATAGTCGAACAGTACTGCAAGATGGCAAACTTACCTGGGTAGCGACCTCCCGTAACGAGAGGGTGGGCTGCCTGCCTACCAACTTCATGCTGGTGTGGTGTGGTGACTCTCGCCGTGGTGGTTTCACCCAAGCAAGCTCTTTCTCACATGCATAGGGAAGGCCTGGGGGACTTATAAGAACCCCGCCTGCGATCCTCTTACACTCCCGTAGGAGGCGAAAAAGGCAGCCCCTCCTCCTCTATTATCAGCACCACCTCACTCACTTGCTGCTTACAGCTTCAAGTTACTCGGCCTGATATTGACAGAACACTCCTGCCGAACAGCAGACGAATACCAGATTACTTATCTTCCTCTCGCAGCCCCCAAAGGTTTGACAACATGCACGGAAGTTCCTGCCCCAAGTGCGGAGCCGCCTCCGACGGCGCCTCCAAGTCCTGCGGTTCCTGCGGCGCGGTACGTTCACCTCTACTTGTGTCCCATGTCCCAAACGTCCTGATGTCTTTTACACGATCGTCAAAGACGGGGCTGCACGGAGTGCTGACATGCTCATGCTTCCACAGTCCTGCCCCATGTAGACTTCTCGTCGGCCTTCCTACAGTTACTACTCGGCCCGGCAGACTTTCCCGCAGATCAAGCCCACCGTCATCTGCGTGCAAACGAAGCTGAGGTCGCTAGCCTCGCGGGGGACAGTGTCGTTCACGGAAGGTTTCTACAACCCTTGAGCTGGCTGGGGAGGAAGGGACACGGCGGGAACGGCTGCTTTGCTTGCTACGAGTTTATGACACAGAAATGGATATGACCGCTTCCTAGCTTACCCTGCTACTCTTCTGCCTTTTGCAGACAATCCAATCACTTACATGCATACATACATACACGCACATATCAGCCTCGACGACGAGGCCATCGTAATCGTCTCCTAGTGCGGCTAGGCGCTAGGCCACTGACACTGACGTGCCCCAAATTTGAAGACTTGCACTCTGAACATGGTATGATATATGCCGTGATAACCATGTCCGCGAGCGCGATCCAAGTCTTGCTGCCACCCCTCCCTACCCCGTGATACGGCCTGGTTCCCGTGACCATTCTCTATATTGTCTCCGGGGCAGCTATTCATTCATGAATAACATAGGCACACGGTGTCTTGAGAATACGGTAGCACAGACAATTGAGGATCAGAAATGAGCACGAACGTGGGCCAAGACACAAGCTAGTAATCGTGCACAACACAAAAGCAGCACTCCCGGTCGCGGATGCTCGGTCCCTTGGTGGGATGCTCTCTAAGGGGCATACAGAGAGGTTGGGCACGGAGACATCGCGGGCTATAAAGTATGCAGCCAAAGAGGACTTAGAATTCGGATAGCAGAAGAATGACAAGCCAAGATAGATAAATAATGATATAAAAAATAATAGCCGACGACAACAACGAGGATCTCTGCGGTCTAAGGGGCGAGGAACAGAGAGAGCTTTCAAGAGGAAAAAAGAGAGATTTATGATATAAGCCACCTGCCCTGAAGGGGCTGGCGACAACCATCGCGAACCCCTTACACAACACAAAAACACGAGTATCTTCTCCGTCTTCTTCTCCGGCCGTCTTTCATCCCCCCGTCTTCCTCCACCATCTCAAACTCTCCTCTCCCCTACTCACATGACACACACACACTCTCTCTCACACACAAGAATACCACACAACACAACACAACATGCCTGATCCTCGCTGTTGTCAGATGCGAGCAACAACACCGCTTCCGTTACCAAAGTCGGGGGAAAATAGAATTAAGCCCCCCCGCCGTGTGTGTTAGGCCCAACCAAAGATGACACGCCGGTCCAATGAAGATAGATGAGAGCATGTAGCGGCAGCACGCAAGACGATATCAAACTCCATCCGAAAACCAATGCAGGCGAGTCCCCTCACACCTACACCAAAATCCCCATGTCCTCCCCGCACAGAATAAGAAACCTTCCCCGATCATCCCTGATCGGTATCGGCGGCAGTGGTGGACAAGTTGATTGAGATGGAGGAAACGAATGCCCGCGGGAAAGATGATGGATTACAAGGCGGAGATATTCGGGCGAAGGGAGTCACGATTACGCTAAGGGCGAGACCCCTTAGAGAATCAGGCACTTCTTGTGGCTGCCGGATCTCTTGCTACGAGACAGCAGGGCAGCCCGAGTAGCGTGCTCGAAGACCTCCCTGACACCCTCGTTGGTCTTGGCCGAGCACTCGAGGTACTTGTAGGCACCAATCTTCTTGCGAACCTCCTCACCCTATTCGCACACATTGGAATTAGCATCCTATCATCACAAGCACAAGGGCGCACAGCTCATGGATCGACGCTCTTTGACTATCGGGTAGACTGTGCGAGTCGTAGTCTGGGAGCAACTTGGGGCTTACCTCTTCAGGAGAGACGGGCTTCTGGCTGGTCTTGCGAAGCTCCTCGATCGTCTTCTGGTCGTAGCGCAGATCCTTCTTGCAGCCGACCAGAATGATGGGGAGACCTTGGCAGAAGTGAAGAACCTCAGAGATCCACTGCAGGAGAGAGCACGTGTCAGTGGGTAGCTTATCAAGAGACGGGGCAGGCGGCGAGCCTCCCGGGGGTATCTGGGACTCACCTTCTCTTGAACGTTATCCAGGGAATCAGGAGAATCAACAGCAAAGCAGATTAGGATGACGTGGGAGTCGGGGTAGGACAGAGGGCGAAGACGGTCGTAATCCTCCTGGCCAGCCGTATCCCATAGCGCCAGCTCGACGTGCTTGCCATCAACCTCGACATCGGCGACGTAGTTCTCGAAAACGGTGGGGACGTATACCTATTTCTGTCGTTAGAGCGTTTGATGAAAGAGATGGAAGTGTTATTGGCTGTGGTCATGCGTCGATGGCCAAATGGGTGGTTGGTGTTTTTGGAGGACGAGGCAGCTGTAGACTGCGTTTGTTTTGCTGCCGATGCCAGGGGAGGACGAAGATTTGGGGGGATGAAGTCGACATCGATGATTTGATGGGAGCAGCGAGCTTTATCTTACCTCGGGGAAGGTGCCCTTGGAGAAAACGCTGAGATTGGTGTTAGCATGGATAGTGTTACTGGGATTGAGGTCTGGTTTTGCTGCTGTTGTTGGTGGTGGTGGTGATGGTGACGGTGCGGACGGCGGAGGGCTGGCGGGAAGTGGAGGAAATGTTGAGAGAGCGGACTTACATCAACAAACAGGTCTTTCCGCAGGCACCGTCACCGACGATGACCAGCTTTCGGCGGATCTCAGCCATTGTGTTTAGTTGTGTGTCGGGTAGTGGTGGTTGTGGTGGTTAGAGAAGAAGGGGTCTAGAAGATCGTCTCGGCTGGGAGAGGAATGCTTTTTCCTTTTTCCTTTTTCCTGGGGAGGATGGGGGCTCCCGACGACAAAAGTGGCTGCAGAGGGAGAAGGAGCCTGAGATCGCGATGCAGGCGAAGATGTGGTCGTCGATTTGAGGGTGTGTTGACTGTTGACGGATGGGGGAGATGGGGTTCTGTCTGGAAGCAAATAACGGGGGGGAAAGAGGTTTGAATGGACTGGATTGACGCCAGAGAGGAGAGACAATGACAGTCGGCGCAGGTGCAGGGCAGTGGAGTTTTGGCGAGTGGAGTGGAGCGTAGAGCGTGGAGCGTGGAGCGTGCGTGAGTTGACTGGACTGAGTGCCCAGGCAAGTACGGGTAAGTGTACGTGCGTTGCTGCGTTGCTTGTGGAAAGTCCAGCCAGGCAGCTTGACTGACTGACTGACTGACTGACGGACTATCTGCTAGTGAACAGCAGCAGTCGCACCCAAGTAACAGTCAGTGGCTGTTGGGGGTTGGTTGGTGGTCAGTGGTAGGTACCTGAGGCAGCTCGACCAGGCAAGTCCTGTTAGGCAGGTACTTTCCTACGACAAGTGAGGAAGCTTAGACCAGGAGGAGGACTACGAGCTGCAGGCATTTAGGTTTACATACATGAGATACGGTGAGAGCGGACCGGAGGAAGGACAAACAAACGCCAGGTTCTGCAGGTTAGAAGACCCTGACCTCCAAACGGAAGAGAATTGGACGAGCTTTTTCGGGTGTTGAGCTATCATCTGCGTCTTCAAGATGACTTGAAGACTGGAGGTGGCTGTTTCGTCCGTGAAGAACCGCGAGGAGATACTTTCAGTTGTTCACTAGGGTAACGTTCCTGCCCGTCAAGGTACCGCTCTAACTCGCAGCCTGAGGCCACCGGTGTTCAATTACAGGAACACTGCGTTACGCACACCAACTCGTCGGCCCTAAAACGGGGTACCTTTAGTTTCGTGCACCTATCTACCTGATAGGTATCCAGATACCGGTTAACATGATCCTCTATCTCATAACAGGCTGCGGCGCCTCAGCCAGGGTGGATAGAACGACATTACATAGCACAATAGCTGCTAGCTACTGCAGTAATGCTGCTCAGAATGAGGTGCCTTCTGAAGCATGGGATGCCGGGCCAGATAACAACAATCACAAACCACATCTGGCGAGCCATTCGCGGTGGTGCGTCACTGGATTCCGTGTGTGGGGGGCAGCGCCAGGCCACCAACACACCCACTAACACACCCGCCTTTGTTCCCCCCGACCGCTCTCTACTTGGGCCAACTTTCCCGGAAGCACAGCTGGTCAGGGGCTGCGGCTGCTGTCAGGAGGCAGCCGCCGTCGGTCTCGCTGAGCTGAGTGGCGAAACAACCTTACCAGCAGGCCTACCTAGGATCTAGGTAGGAAGTGCATGGCCCCGGCCTCGAGGAACATGCTGGTGCTAAGACAGCCACTTACCTCGGGCAAGATCCCTAACGCACAAAAGGTATTTTCTCCAGCGTGCCCCCGTCGTCAGCAGCACCCGTCTTGTATCCACTGAAGAAGAGCGGTAACAGCCCTGTAAGTGCTCCGTAGTGCGCCCGCCGATATGCAAGGGAGCTCTTCCCCGTGCAGATTTGCTCGCTCGGTTCGGTGCTTCGTAAGGAGGAGCGCTGCGAGGGCAATACTTACTTCGAGCAGCAGCTTCACATGCAAAGCGATAGACACTTCACCAGCAGGCGAGGCCGAATGACGCTGGCTGATAGAGACAGACACCGGGCGCTGTGACGATGACTGACAGCATCTTTTGCAAGCTGGTCTTATAATATCATCAGCCCTGGAGCTGAGCAGCCTTCTGCCTTCAACGGATCGAGCTCCTGTGTTCCTCCAAATGCAGCCACAAAAGCTGATGGTCCTGATATTCCTTACAACAATGAAATGACTCCCTCCTAGCAGTACTATAAACGCTGCACCTCTCTCTTGAGTTCTTGCGCCATACGGCGGCGCCGTAATTACGCACCTCGCATGGCCTTGGATCTTGCGGGACCCTGAAAACGCACAGCCTGACCGCCTGTATCCACCGCGATGCAGAAGTAATAACGAACGGCGACGCTACTAGATCTACTGGACGGGACGATCTAGTCAAAGACGACCTATCGTCAGACGCGCTCTGCTACGTCTCCCGTCTCCTTCTTTTCCTTTCAGAAGCTGCTTGTTCTGGAACCAGCATCGGCATTGATCGCAGCAGCTCCGAACCACCGAGCTCCTCCCCAGTCCAGTCACTAAGGTAATCCAAACACCAAGATGTGGCTGACACAGGCTGCTTTTGGGTGGACACGCGAGCAGGCGAGCAACCAAAGCAGAGAGCAGAGACTAGACAGCAGAAAAGTCCTAGCCGTGCCCCCCAAGCATGTAGGACTTTTCCCATGTCAGAGCCGCACGGAAGCCAGCCTGCCTCGCCTGCCTCGCCTGCAGTGCATTATACGGGTCTCAACTGCAGCCCTGGAACTGCCTTCCAATCACCAATGTCTTTGCTCGGGGGGCAGCTCTCCCTCGTGTCTGGCTGGAATTTTCTAGCCCCGGACCATCCGATCCAGTAGATCGCCATGCATATCTACCGATAGGTAGCCTCAACTCTGCGGAACGGATCCAAGATGTCATCTGATCGCTCCCAACGGCTTTCAATTGCACAGACTAGACTCGCTAGATCTCCTCGGCATCTGCAACGCATCTTGCTATTTCTCCACTGTGTCGACCTCATTCCTACCTATCTGCTCACTGATCCAGCGTCTGGAAACCCCATCCTGCCAACAAACAAGCTGTGCTTTGGGTGTTAGTGCATCATGCAATGCAGTGGTTTCATTGAGCATTTCTATGGTTGCTAAACGACGCTTGTCAACACGCTCCCAGATGAGATGCAAGCTGCTCAGAGACCGTCTCGCCGACAGTTTCAATGATATTCTTTTATTTTCGATGCAAAATGACGCTTACTCAATCAGATGGCGATGGCTACTTACAACTACATCTTGAATAATGGTAAAGCTCCAAGCATATCCAAGTGTGCCCAGACAGTCCTATGCAATAGGACTGGTCCCTAGATGTACGCGCAAAACATGCCTCGCTTTACCCTAGGACACCCATGAATCGACCTGTTGCCTGCTAGAACATCATCCAGTCCCGAAAAACACAGTCGTCCTATATTGTCCCAGAGAAGTCGACTTTGTAGAGTTCAGAGAGACGGGAGATTAGAACACCAATACCACTCATTGCTACTGGTCAATGTGATCTATGATATTGTTTTAGCAAGACTCGGAGATATAAGAACTCACTCGAGCTATCTGTGAATTCCACTTCACAATTTTAGGAGCAATGCAGTATAATTGACATGGCTTATAACACGTGCCAGCATAACTGTCCAGCTCTGAAGTGGTATTGTAATTCCCACTGTAGCTGCAGTGCTAGCAACTAGGGGAGTGCTGCTAGCGTCGCAACCTCGGCGGCAGAATTTTCCGAGCACTCAATGCCAGGACCCCTGGTTTGGGCCTAGACATTATTGGAGCATCAGAGCATCGCAGCAAAAAAACTGTCGAGCTCCCCCATACGCGACAGCCAAACCGCACCCATACCACCGCGGCACCGCATCCCAGACCACCCACGATGCTGCAATTGGCGCGGCGGACGGCCATGGCCGAGAGGCAGGTCGTTCGGCGGGCGCTGCGCAAGAAGGCCAAGGACGTCGAGGGCAAGGGCAGGAAGAAGGAGCAGACGCGGGAGAAGGCGAGGACCATGATCCAGATCAAGGCCGACCTGCAGACTGCGCGGGAGACCAGGCGGCAGGACTGGGAGATGGGCCCGCTCGCGCCGCGCCGAGACATACCCAAGCTGAACGAGAGCAGCCGGACATACTACGGCTCCGTTGCCATGGAGCGTTCCACGGTGAAGGGCGTGCTGTCGAAGGAGGAGCTCGATGCAAGGACTGCCTGGGCAGGCGGTATCAAGTTCCTCAATCTTGCCATTGGCGACAGAGTCGTGGTCATAGAAGGCCCCTACAAAGGCAGGATAGCCCCCATCAAGAGGATTGTCAAGGACTCTGCTCAGGTCCTTTTGGACGACACTGCTATAATGGTGAGACCCCGTTCTCCAACCACCAACAACTCGTCCCTTTTGCTGACCGAAGTCGTGCATAGTCAAATATCACTGTCCCTCCGTTCCTCCGGAAGGTTGACTCCGCTACTAAAGCCGTACAGCTCGCCGAGGCACCAGTCCCCATCTCCGCCGTCCGGCTCGTACACCCCGTCAAGGACGAAACAACCGGCGAGACCCGCGACGTGATCATCAAGGAGCTCGTGCACGGCTCCTTCTATTTCGACCGCCAGACCAAGCGATCGAGCTGGGCCCGCATTGTTCCCGGTCTGAACATTAGGATTCCATGGCCCAAGGTCGCGCCGAAGGAGCACGAGGACCACCCCGTGGACACGCTCCGCATCGACGTGGAGGAGAAGACGTTCGTCCCGACCCTCCTGCGGCCCCCGGTCCCTCGGGGCGTCATCGACGAGTTGCGCAACCGGTACAGCATCTTCCGGACGCGGCACGAGCCAGAGTACATTGCGCGCAAGGAGGCGGAGGCGGCAGAGAAGCAGGCGCGCAAGGACCTGGCCAAGACCATGAACACGCCTCTCAAGGAGTTCAACAAGAAGCAGCGCGAGCTGCGCAAGGCTCTGGGCCAGCCGGTGCTGACGGAGGAGATGCTCGAGAAGATCGGCCAGGTGATTGCCAAGAACAAAGAGAACGCACTGGAGGCGTCTGGCGTGGCTGCCGTGGAGAGCGGGCTCCCTGGTGCGGAGGCCCTGGAGGAGGAGATTTTCCACACGGAGGCTCCAGAAGCATTCGAGACTGAGGCGGAGACCAAACCACCCACCTCCTCATAGCATGTAACATATTAGATGATGTATATCACTGTGACATAAATCCGTTAATACACGGGGCCCTGAACGGGCACTATATTATTTGTCAATCCTGATCAAGTGATCCTCATTTATCAACCCAGTAATGACAACCTCTTGAACGCCGTGATCACTGGTGGAGCTTGCTTCACCCTGCTGGCCTCCAGGCTCTCCTGGAAGACCGCATCAGCCCCTGATGGGTGGTATATCGGATCCTCCCCTTCCTGAGCTTGAGGTTTCTCCTCCTCACCGTTGCCAAACACCTCCTTGATAGCCACCCGACAGGCCTCGACGATCTCATCCATCAACGCCTCAATGGCCCTCGCCCGCTCCGCCATGCCCCTCCTCATGAGCCCAAACACAAGCTTCTCCACCTCGCCCTTGGTCTCCTCCACGCGCTCCACCAGCCGCCGCACGCTGTTGACGAGGTACTCCTCCTCGTAGACGGTGCCCTTGCGGCCGCGAGCCCGCTTCTTCTCCTCGCGCTTGCGGTTCTTGCTCGTCGCGCGGCTGACGTTGCTGCCCAGCGTGCCCACGCTGCCGGACTTGCCCGTGTACCGCGTGAACAGGCTGGCGCTCGTGCTGACGCGCGACGAGGCGGCGATGGAGACGTCGTCGGGCACGTCGCCGAGCCCGGAGGGCCGCTCGCCCTCGTAGAACGCCAGCGGGTCCTCGGCCGCCTTCTTGCGCAGCTCGGCGATGCGCGGCACCTGCGCGCGGAGCTGCGCCTTGCAGTCCGCGAGCAGCTCCGTGGACGAGGAGAGGGCGTCGGCGAGACCGGTGTCGATGGTCGACTCGAGGAGCTCGGGCCGGTTGCGCAGGACGGCCAGGCGCATGGCGTCGGCGAAGTGGTAGCCTTTGCAGAGACAACGTACGGCAGAATCGGTGGAGGACAGGTACTCGTCATGGATCCTCGCCGCTGAGGCGTAGTCTTTTGTTTCATAGAGTGCCTCCGCAAGAGTGCCGGCGAGGTCTGCGAGCGCAGATCCAGAAAGGGGTGGAACTTGTTGTTGCGCCGTGAAAAGGCACTCACGCCATGCACCAGCACCAGCAGCACGATAACAGCTTGTAGCTTTCGCGAAGTTGCCGAGGGACTCGTACGCCAAGCCAGCATCCCTGAACTGCGATCTCGATTCGAGATATGCCGCATATAGGTCGGTCAAATTCTTGTGATGTTCCGGCTCATACCGGTACAACTTGAGGGCTATTTGATATAGATTATGCTTGGTGGTGTAGTTCTGGACCTCGTCAAAGGCGTGCAAAGTCTGCAGATGAGCCAGAGCCTTCTCACGACGGCCAAGATGGTCGTCAATGGTGAATCTTCGCCTCAAGTCCGACATTTGATGGAGGGTCTGAATGAAGGGGAGATACTCTCTTGGATCCCTCTGCGATTGCTGTGCAACAAGCAATGCAAGATCCAAGTTATACAGCCCCAAAGCGTGGTCATAGAGCCGGTTGACGTCTTGCAAGAAACAGATGTGCTCAACGGCTCGCTCGGCTAAGCTGTCGTCTTCTTGCATGAGTTCAGCAACAACCAGCAGCCCGTCGTCAAGAGCTGGTGGTGTTTTGCAAACATGCGCGGTTATGATATTTTGCAAATTAGTGTCTTGCCGTGTTCGAAGAGACTTCAGGACGGCATCACAAATCGTGTTAACCTTGGTTGTTGCCAGAAGCGTTGGTGCAGCTGTAGCGGTCTGCCCATTTGGCAGAACTATGCCTGCATCGATCTTCTTTGCAGGCTTGGTATTTTTGTACATGGTTTGTGTCACATCTTCCTCTCTGCACGATATTAGCATGATATCAGCTGATTTCCCCCCAGAAAGAAGCATACCTGAGAGATGATAGGAAGAGATCAATATATGTGACGTCTTGGAGCTGATCCAGAAATAGACCGACGTTGGCCAGGAATTGCTGTGGTTGGTGATCATATAGGATATTCATATCCACGCGTTGCGTTCGAGCGTAAGCGAATGCTCTGCCATAGTTTTTCTCGTCCACAAGCTGCCGGATTCCGGCAAGCACCATGGCTCGAGGGAATATTGTCTCCAAGTTGCCTCTCGGCATTTGTAAGACCAGATTCATATTTGTTGGCATAGCCGTGACCAACCTCGCACCTCTTTCGAGGCTTCTGCACCTCTCATCGTTTTCGGGGTCGTCTGGTGGGACTTCTAGCTCTGTTCCTGTTAGTGTAAATGGATATGACAGCGCTAGGAGAGGCGCCTACCTTCTATACTTGTGAGATGGATGAATTTGAGAAGGTGGTTATTTGTCGTTAGGATAACGTGGTCCTGAGTGAGAAGAAACGAAGTACAGTTCTTCGTGAGAAGACGAGAATTTGCGTAGAGATGACCATTTCTTGACAGGCCAATTGCTATGGTTTCTTCTTCATGCGTCGTTATTTCCACCCACGGAAGGAAAATGGGGAACTTGATTGACGTCGACTCGGTGGTTCCAGTGTCGACTCTGAAGAGTCTCCCGGAACTTGCCTGCACATATGCTCCAGCATCATCATTATGGCAGACTACCATCCTTAACGACTCGATAGGTGTTGCGATATCTGTCTCAAATCGTAGTGATTCAGGGGTATCAGCCTCAAAAAGGAATCGGGATAGCTTCTGGTCTTGGTTGTAATGAAGCAGACTTAGTTCTCCTTTTCCGGCGAAAGATATCCGCAGCACACCGCCGGACAGGACAGCGTCCTCGGATGTCTCGAAATCAACTTTACTGAGCAATTTTGGGATTAGAGAACGCGGCCCTTTGGTTTGCCACTGGTACAGGTCAATGCCGGTTTGGTGTAGTATCGCTAGGGCTGAGTTATCGTGGCTGAAAGCAACATCCACGATATTTGACTTGGCCTGCAACTCAAACATCGCCATTGGTGGTGGTACATTGGCAGTCCTGAAGGCTGTGACTTTCACGGTCTGGCCGTCAATGACGGCAATCGCACCATGGTCGTGAGGCGGCTTCATCGAGCCCCTACAAGTGGTAAATACGTATTCTTGTTGGATGAGGTCATCTGTTTCATGAGTTAGTGTGAGTAGACATCGGAATACAAGGCTGCACAAACCTGATGCGGCAGTGGCTAGACGAAGAGGCTTCTCCGGATGCCAAGATATGAGCGGCTTTGGCGTCTGTAGAGAAATTTCCTGCTTCAAATACCAATGGTAGTTGCCCATTGTCCAGAGTTGAATAGCACTTTTAAGTATGACAGCCAGGACTGTAGAGTCTGAGTTCCACTCAAGAGTGATACTCTCGCTCAGTGCTTCAGGGGCTCGCAGTGTGAATTGGCCATGTTTAAGGCCATTTCTCTCAAAGAAGATGACATCCACACGATCCGCGAGCCGCTGAATCACGGCCATGAGGTTGCCTGCTGGTCTCCAGCTCAGGCTTCCCTCGAGCCCGTCCACTGGCTCACTTACACTGTCGAGGACACCTTCGCGGGTATAGACACGAATGACTCTCCGTGACCCAGACACGATACTGTTGATCGCAACATAAGCACCATCTCCCCTCCAACTAATAGTAGTTCGTCCATCGTCACTGGCGCTAAGAACGCCTTCGTCGACTTTCTCCGGTATCGTGGGATCACGCAGGGCTTTCGCACCCTTGCCCTGGAACTGGGTTTCTTTCTTTCCCCAGCCAACAGAAACGTGCTTTGATGCCTTCAGGTCATCCGAGGTCATCGTCGCCTCAGCAATAGCGTCAAAGCCCCGACTCATAAAGACCAGAGTATCTGCACCAGTCGAGATAACGATGAGTTCTTCATCTGGTGACCACCGAGCTGTTTTTATGCCAGCATCTATCGAGCCGACGATCTCGATATGGACGCCATCTGGAGACGGGAAGTCTTCCTCTTTGACAATGACAATGTCACCGCCAGCAAGGACAAGACAGGCTGTCTGGGTATCGCCAAAATAGTGCAGATTCACTATCCTGTCGACCAGCAGGTCTGGGTTTGGGCTGGGTGCGTCCCATGCAGCGATCCTCTCACATTGTCTAAGCGCCTGTTAGGCATCTTCACACATGAGGCTTATGAAGCACTTACAGCTCTGGGACCTGAGGACTTGGATTTTCCACAACTCTGAGTAATTCAATCCTTGCGTCGTACTCGGTTGGCCCGCAAGCAACCAGAACTTCGTCTTTCCCAGCATCCCAGCATGTTGCCGTTATGTCGGACGGAGCCCTGACCACGCTGTGGCGGATATTGCGCAGGTTCCGCATTATTGACTCCCGACAAAACACCAGGCGGCTTTAGGAATTTGGCTTGAGGTCCAAGAGGTCAATATATTCACACCGTCTGGTAGCTTGGCCTGCCGAAAGTGTTGACCGGGGTCTCTCTGTTTGTGAGCAGCTCTTTGATGCCGACTTCAAAAAATTGATAGAGGCACGGTGCCTAACGACAAGACGGCACGGTATACCAGGGGACCCGACCTTCTGCTCGGGTACTTCTCGCGCTACTTGGCGCTTACCGCAGTGTCATTTATACAGTGTGCACTTATGCAGCCCACTAAAAACAACGGTATTACTTGATGATAATGCACCACTACGGCGATCCAGTGGCGCCTGCAAAATGCAAGGAGATCAAATCACAGGCCAGTCTACTCCCTCGGTAGCGGCATCTTCTCATAGGCTTGTGCTCTGCGGGTTACTGGTGCCCCAGCCTTCCACTGCCTTTCCCATTCTTCCTCCTCCATCCAGGCCAGAAAACGCGATCCCCAGTAGCACCTACAGTGGAGTGACTTATCGCTATCACCGCCTCGGCTCTCCCCAGCTCCATTAACCGAACACGCCCGTGTCGTGATTCCTCCATCGCAAACAACTACAAGCTTGCACGAGGATATTTCACTCCATCAGCACATTCAATTGGGATCAAAGCTATCGGCCTGAGCTACACGACGAGGAGCCTCTCACGATGGACGTCGCGTACAATCAGCACTCGAATCAAGTTCGGCGGAAGAACAGGTCCTCAACGAACCTCAACCACCTGTCCCTGGCCCCGCTCACCTCGAAGCTCCCCCTCAAGGATCACGACGCCTTACCTGACGATCTGAACGTCCCCACGCCTCGCAGCACGTCTTACCTCCGGGGCAAATCAGCTCCCACTACGCCAGGGCTGTTGTCCAACTCACCAGCTAGATCAAGCTCTCACCACCGTCACGCTTCTACGCCTGGAGCTCACCTCCCCAAGAGCAAATCGGCTACTCATCTAGCTTCGCGGGGTCGCCAATCGAGGTCGGGCAATGCGTCGCCGGGTCATCATCGCAGGAGGAAAGACGATTCGGGAGCTCTGTCGGCAAGGGACCGGAATGATAGTGATTGGCTGCTGCGGGCTGGAGCTTTGATCAGTAGTGAGGCACGCGAATCAAAGGGTCAGGCTTGGCTCGTCTCTAGAGCCAGCTCTACGAGTCTCACGGGGATGCACGACGAGGACGAAGACCTGTTCGAGCGCGAGCTAGCAAGGGAGAGGGAGCTTACGAGCCGGCACACCAGCCGACGAGGCAGCTTGGGCATACTGGACGACGAGACGCCCAACGGCAGCCGACTTGGCAGCCGATCCCAAAGCCGCGCGGGCAACCGGAGCCAGATGCTCACGCCGCTAGAACGGCATTCCATTGACGGATACTTCCCGCATCATTCACACCTGGCAGAAGAGGCTCACCTCGCAGGGCCAGACTTCGTGAACTTGGACGAGAAGCTTGAGGCCATCGATCAAGACACCAGTCAGGAAGACGAGGCTCATGTGCGGAGATTAGTCAAGCGAAACAGCGCTGGAGTAGGCACTTGGTTCGGTAATGTCCTAGGTTGGACACTCTTCTCGGTCGAGGAGAACGACGAAGAGTCTGAGACTGAGGGCGAGGCAAGCGATGGTGAAGTGGAAGAGATTTCACACTCGCGCAGATCCAGTCTCAGGCAGTTTGAGGGTGTCGTTGCAACTTCGACCGAAGAGCGGATGCCCCCACCGAAGGCCGACGAGGGTGGCTGGCAAGATGCTGCCTGGTTGCTCAGTGTGGCATCAAAGGTTCTGCTTTGAGTCTCACGGATTGGAGAAGGCCCGTCTGCGTGGTCTCGGCAAGAGCAGAATCCGTGCACCCTATCAGCGTCCATGCAGGTGACGAATGAGGCAAGGTGCCGTGATGGTGCAGCGAGGTCTCCCGGCGTTGAGGAACCCTTAAAGTCACATCACGAGGACTTACCGTCTTTGGCTTTGACTGTGCGGCCCTTTACTCGATATGAGGCATAGGGTGTCCCGGCGGAATCGTGGGATTGTTACGCCAAGGTACGACGAGGTTACCTCAAGTGGCAGGAATCGGCGTCGCTCAAGCCTTGAATATCAACCTGCCTCGCTCTCACCGCACGTGATCGTCGGTGTCCATCAACCTCAACTCGTTCCTACGTCGGCCCATTGTCGTTTTGAGGTCTCATGATAGCGTCACAGTGGTTTGGCATGGAAATTTCTAGCACCACGGGAGACACCTGTGAGCAAAATAGTGTCGACCGGAACGATTAAAATAAGCCGTGGCCCTTGTCTTGATAGGTCCGGCCAAGCCGTGGAAAGGAAACTACTGGCTATGAGGTCGTCAAAAACCGGTTTTGAAGTGTAACTATGCAAACTGCATGCAGGTCCGGCGGGATGTCATAAAACTAGTAAGGTGATAAGAATGAAACGGTGAAGTTCCGGGGTCCAGTTTGACGAGCTAGAGCGCGAGAGTTTCGATGGTGACTAGGGATCGGCGCATGGCCGACCACAATGAGGGCGGATGCAGGATGGTCCTTCTCCAAGCACGACAAAGGAGGGCGCCGGGGGTTGTGGACGGAGGCTCTCTCACGGATGTCGATCACTTAGACATAATCGTTAGCTCGTAGACTTCCGATAAATGAACTAGCCATGTTGGCATCACTCGCACGGAATACGCCCAGATGTTTTGTGCAACAGCTTAGAAATCCCATGTTGTCATAAATTAGGGATGAGGACGGCTGAATTTTAAAGCCACCTCTGTGTCGTGGCCATTCAGTCGAGGCCGTTCATTCATGGTTGAGGTGAGATTATTGTAACGAAAGTCGGCAATTCAGCCGCGGGACTTTGGTGCTTGTATGTCTGCCGTCAGCTCGGTGAGCTGGGAGCACCAGGGCGGAAGCTGTTAGTATGATTCAATCGGTAAGTAAGGCCGGTCAGCCAGGTACCTCAGCGCTATAATACCTGTGGGAAGAGAAGGGTTGACAGGGATGTCCGAAATTTTGGCCGCCTTCCCCAAGAAACCTATAGGGCCTACGATTCACACGGCGAGATGCGTGTTTTAAGATCACCCTTGTGGAAAACGATCCAAACTTGTGGTGGAGCCAGGTTTCTGAGAGGCTGTGGACCGACATGCCAAACTAGCGTCTTATGTCTGACTTGATAGGGTCATGGGTGCCGTCAACAAGCGAGGAAGCCACCCTTTTTACATCCCGTTTCAACGCATGGGTACCCATACTGGTATAGACACGCGGGGACAGCCGTCTTGCCAGTAGAAGAGCGTCATTTAGAAAGGGGCTGCAAGGCCTGCTCAAATGGGAAGAAGGGAGGGCGGGCATGATGACAGGCCGCCGGGAACTTGGATAAGCCTCACACGCTGCTACAGACCAAAAGCCTGTGAGTGTGGGCCGCCCATATCAACGTAAATTGTTGTGCCGATATCCGATCCAGAGGGTTTAGCTGGAGCACTAGGAGGATCATTCCCTTGAAGCGTGTGCCGGTCTTGGACCCGATTCCGACGTGACATGGCAGCATTCATCAGGGATACCCAGGGCCTCGAGGTTCTCGGGGAACATGCTGGTATGGCACACATTAAAACAGATAGAGTATGTCCAGCCACGGGCACAACCAATACCGCCCAATGTCGTATGACCTGGGGTCCCAACACATGATCAGGTTGTACAGAACGTGGTGTGAAAGGCCTCTGCGAACAGACAGGCATCACGACAGGACTCCATAGAGAGTCAGCTTGCTGGTGGTTCGAGAGAAAAGGGCAAAGACGTGAGACGGCGTTTGGCGCTTTGGGGAAATGGCGGGCCAGCAGAGGTCTGCATCCAATAGGAGTTGCGCTTGGCGTGCAGATGCAGTGCAACCCTCAAATTCTCAAATGACGCTGCCAGTGACGTCGGAAAAACCAAAGGACCAGCCATGCATGGCGCCCCACTCTGACAGTGCTGAATGGAGCTTGAGCTTGGACCCGGCTCTGGCATGGGCGGTGGGCGGTGGGCGGACAGAGAAGAAAAAAAAAAGTTCGGCGATGCGATGAAGTGAGGGGTGGTGGGGTAATTCTTGTGACAGTTGGACGACCCTGGTCTGTTCTACTATGGATTAATGGGTAAGTAACGCCAGTTGGTTATGTTGTCGATGCAAAGTGGTCTTGTAATAATCGTGAAAGGAGAACATCTAGCAAGATCTGTCGTAAAGGCAGCCGGGATAGTTTCTATGCTCTGTAGCTAGCATGCGACGGTCCTACGGGTAAATGACTGGCGTGAAGCTGTGCGTATAGCGTCTGGAAACTCAAGAAACCCTAAGCCAAACAACCCAGCAGGAACATTAGCATAGCGTGTAATTCCTGAGACGTAAGCCGGAGCAAGCGGATTGGGGCTAAGGGTATGATCGCTTAGCCACAAGGTCAGGTCGGCATCCCATCATCGTGAGACTCGCAACCGGGACAGCCACCGCATGTCTCTCCAATTGGGAACTGCACGATGCAGCAAGCGACGCTAAGATGGCACGAGCAGGAACAGACGCAGAAGTAGATGGAGGACCCAGCCGACGGGTTGAAGACATCCACCAACAGACATGCTGTTGCGTTGCTTGGGTCGCCGTACAGTACTGAGGACGCTCGGGGCCTTTCGCTCCTCGACCCGGCTTACCGCACTACGGACTATGCAGTAGTTGGAGATATCTCGGGAGGCGCCATGCCCTCTTCTTCCCACCGTTTCCCAAGAGAATCTCATGCAATCTTGGAAAGACCGGAGTGGCGGACAGGGATGGCCTGAACCGCAACCCTGGAGCACAGCTAACGGCCGATTGCTGAGTGGCTTTACCTAGCGGTAAATTTTTCGTATGTGCACAGCACGCTAGTTGGTGGCATACTTTGCTCCCATATTTCGCGAGAAGGGGTCCTGCTTCGGCGGAGGTGATGGTAGGCATGGACCCTGCATCTACTTTCCCCCTCTTCGGGGCCTATTTAGCTTTACCGGAGGTAAATATCGATGCTTTCGTCAAATATGCTTGCCACAATCTAGGTAGGTTGCCCGGGGAAATGCCTCAAACACGTGTAGACGTGAGGTACGATGAACGCCGCGCAGCCTCGGTCAGCTCCTGTGCTATCGTGGCCGGTAGTGAGGCTCTAGACAGCTTTTGCGGTCCAGTGTTAGCCGCTCCGTCATGAGACAGTTGGCATAAACACGTAGTAGGTAGGAGACTGCCAGCAACCCGCATGCCAACTATCTGGTGAACTCAGCACACGATAATGCTTAGAGGTATATGGATCTTGACCTTGTTTCCCCGCCGTGTCGCTCCCGTGCTGCCGTGGCCAATCTGGTCCGACAAGAGTGTGCCGGAGATGGAATGATGTCGCATTGTCCCGATATCGCGACATCTTGAGATCCCGACAAACCTGCTTCCCTGACCGAGTTGCGTCACAGTCGAAGACTACGCTGGCGCGAGGCCGGAGTAGAGGGGTGCAGATCGAAGCTTAAGCTCGGGTGATGATGGCCAAAAGAGCCGGCTGAAGAGCTTCTGTGGAAACAATGGAAAAAGGGCAATGTCGATCATGACTCTATCTGACCTACGCCACTAGGCCAGATGGGCGACATATATAGGTATGCATTAGGGGGCTGGTGATGCCCAGGAGCGGTCCAAGACTTAGCCTTATCAGACCAGCAGCGCTCTTGCTGGTACCTGGCTTGCCTGACTTGCTTGGGGCAAGAGAGCGCCCCTGCTCACCAAGGACCTGTCCCAAAGTCTAAGGTTTGTTCTGGAAGGAACCGAGGAGAGGTACAGTACAGTAAGTACATTGTCATTCCGATGTGGGGACTTGACTATTGTAAGAGTGTGTCGTCTATCTGTATCGTCTACCAGCTCTAAGGAGGAAGAGAAGCCCCCCTACCTTGTTCAACACTCCTCGCCAATCTCAGCGCGGGATTTCGAAGGGATATGGAGGAGAGGTGTTTCCCACGGTTACTTGACACCTTCTCAAACCGTACAGCTTGCCCCCCGTTTCACCCCACGCTTGCTAGGGAAACTACCCTGCAGAAGTGGATGGAAGATAAACAGACGTTACGAATAAGGAAGAATGAAGCATCACAGGAGCCAATACAGTCCTTCTGCAACAAAAGGGCATCCACCCGGTCCGAGTTAATCTGCGTTGAGGACGGGTAGGGTGTAGGGCAGGTGTAGGGCAGGTGTAGGTTAGGAAGGAACCATATTGGGACATCCCTGTCACCTGCCCAGGTACTCTTCTCTCACAGTGATCACTGCCTTCACCACCTAAGCCTTAGTATGTACCAGCCAGACTACCTAGGTAGCGTTACTTACATACCTAGTGCCATGTCAAGGTGAGATAAATGACTTCAGAGATTCCCCCAAACCTCTCACCTTAGACGAAGCCATCTCAATTCCTGCCCAGGTTACCCAGGCACCTAGGGCGAAAACTAATTACCTAGGTATACAGCTCAGGTAAGCTAAGGTAAGGTCGACCTCAGCACGCTCAGGTAAGGCAAGCCAGGACAAGGGGGCCCCCGACTCCATGTTGGCGGCATGGCGTCCACAAATATGATGCAGCAGCGAGCAAGGGCCACCCCCAATGACGCCTTTGGCTGCCGTCTGGCGCGGCTGCACACTGTGGGTTCCACCGGCCGGCCGATCAGATGGGATGGCCGTGGCATGGGTGGTGCCTGTTTGAACTGTGTTAGATTCGGGGTTGCGGGTGCAGACGGTGTGCTAGGAAGGGGTGCATTACTCGAGCGCTCCGCTATGCTACACACCCGCAACCCGCAGATGGGAAACGTTCTGTCATTACAATATCTCGCTCCTGCGTAGGCGAGAGAGACTTGACGGTTGTCGGCGCAGTGCCGTATCAGTCTACCTCCAGGTAACCGGCTTATATAATTGGCATTGGCCGGTTGGCCCGTGGGGAAGGGGAAGGGGAAGGGGGCCTGCTCACATACCCACATCAACAGCACGGACGCACTGATAGACTTACATGCGGTTGAACGAAGAGACACGCAGAAAAGAGAGAGGGAGAGCGAGAGAGAGCACATGGAAAATCCTACTGGAAAGATATCTCACTAGAGAAATGACAGCCCACTTCAGAGTTGAGCAGGGCCCACGATCAAGTCAGACAGACGTTTCCCGTACCTCACCACATGAACTAGGCTGGTCAGGTAAGCCATTTAGGTACTGTGAATATAATGGGTCTTGGCTCGGATCTTCACTAGCAGGTAGCACGACCGCTGATGGCAGAACCGTGCTAGCTAAAGTTGAGTAGTGCAGGTGCAGCTGCCTTTTCATTCTGCTACCACCAGCACTTCAAGGGCTGGCTGCGTGGTGCCCAGGTGGTCTTGAAAAAAAACTCCAGCCGACCAACCCAATGGGGATAATTCGCTGCCTATCTCAGTCAGGGTGGTGTTGGCTTGCTTCTGGCGATTTCTTCCTTGCCGCATTACCTCAACTGCGACTATTTCCATAATATAATCTCCGTATGCGTATGCTTGCTCTTATAACCACTTCGGCGCAATCCACTTAGCCTACCTTCTTTCCCCTACCCTACTGTACCTCCTCTACCTACCTAGGTAAAGTACCTAGTCTAGGTAGTGTATGCAGCCAGACTAACAGCATCGACCCGCCAGTTTCCCCATCCGCACATCCACCATCCACCATCCACCATACATCTTCCCACTGTCTACCATCCACAACAACCCACGAGTCGACTGGCCAGCCGTCATCTCGTCTCTGAACAGCTGGCAGCTTGCTGGGTATTGCCGCGCCCCCCTTCAGCCCGGCCCTCCCTCTTCCAGAAAACGTCCATCGACCGACATACATCCTCTCAGCCTCCAAACCAAGGACGGCAACCTTCCGTCTTCTCCAGATCTCCCCTCCGTCAGCCAGTCTACCTCGCACCGGCAAACCTGCCTTGCTCCTGCGTCAGTCCCTGTCACTCCGTGCCTTGCTTGTCTTCCAGTGAGTACCGTATTCCCCGATCTACCCCGTCCACCTTTGATATGCCCCGTCCACGGCCTGCCCCTGTCCTGTCCTGTCATTGCGTCTTTTGCTGGACCGTTTCCGTTAATCATGACGCCCTTTTTGCCTCTCATCTCAACCCCGCCCCATTCTTTCCACGCTCGTCACCTGTGACAACACCACAGAATCTAGTGAGAGGGGAGAGGAGAAGGGGCGAGAGGGAGAGCATGAGAGAGAGAGAGAGAAAGAGAGAGAAAAGCGCCTCCCCGTTGCAAGTGCCATGCTTCGTCTGACGACGACGGCGACGCAAACCCGCGGTAAGGCGGTTGTTAAGCAGCATGTCGTTCGCTCCGCTGTGGCTGACCAGCTTCTTGTCGCCCAACCCCTTCTGCATCTGGCGGCTGTGCTGTACTATACTGTATCATACCATACTGTACTGTGCTGTTACCGTCCGTCCTTGCTGCATCACGCCTGCCCCTCTGCCCAAACTACCCTACCCCGAAAAATTGTGGGATCCACCTTACTATTCTGGGTCTACACACTTGACGAGTACATAAGGCTTCGGCTCTGCGTTGTCACCTGCCCTCATCTGGCGCTCGGGATACCTTCCCCTATCTAGTCACTCAACCCACTTTGCCCTACCAGGCCATCCATCTACTTGCCCTACCAGCCCCGACCTTGCCTTGCCTCGCCTGGCCTTGTCCTTCTCATAGACCCCAAGCCGCCGAAGTGAGACGTTGAAAAAGTTGTCACAGCCAACATGCCTAGTTCCGAAGTGCGTGACAGGCGAGGCCCTTCTTCTCCGTGCTTCAATCTTTACCGCTGTCTTGTCCTGCTCGCTCTATCTGTTCCAACTCCGTGACTAACTATGGGGCGCTGGGTTATAGGACGACGGATCAGCCACCATGCCTGACCTAGGAGACAATGTCGACATGGCGACCTTCTCTCAGATCCTAGAGATGGACGAGAGTGAGGACGAACGCGAGTTTTCCAAACCCCTCGTCCTTGGCTTCTTCGAGCAGGCAGAGGAAACCTTTGAGAAGATGGACACGGCACTGTGAGTTACCTCCCGCACAGAATCTTATTCTGTCATGTTGCACTGTCACCTACCTCCTTTTTGACTTCCTTACCTCGCATTCTTGCTTTGCGCCCGGGAGATTTATGCGTACCTTGCTGACACTGCTTCCCCCCTCTCTTTCTCTAGGGCTGCTAAGAACCTTAACGAACTCTCCGGTCTTGGACATTTCTTGAAAGGGTCTTCGGCAACACTGGGCTTCAACAAGGTCAGAGATAGTTGTCAAATCATCCAGCAATACGGCCACAAGTTGACCGTGGACGGCGCTCCCGAGCCGGATGAAACCGTCTGCCTCCGTAAGATCACGGAAGCACTCAAGGCCCTCAAGGTGGACTTTGAGGAACTTGAAAAGCAACTGAATAAATTCTTTAGCGGTAACGACGCCAACGGAACCTAGATGCGACAGAAGCGCATAGCACCTACTTTGTGTCTGTCAGCCGCGGTAGCATCAGAAACAAGGGCTCCACCTCGACAACTAAGCACGACCTCGGAGTTGACTTTTTAAGGGGCATTGGCTCCTCTTCGCGCCTATCGTTTTTCCAAATTCTATCTCCAGACGAATCCCCTACACAGCTTACGCACGACCAGAGAGATCCCTCTAACGACAGACCGCTATGGACAATAGCGCCTGGACTATGCATTCAGGCATGGACAGCATTTGCTTTATTTATTTATTTTGGTGATGCCGAATAGAATGCCTTTTTGGACAAAGAGAGTGTCAAGAGGCTGCCACGTCGTTGCGCTGGGAACAATAGTCTCTGCGGAGTGGGAGGCTGGCGCTTTTGCGGTGGCTGTTGTGTCCTTGTCCGCCGAGACGCTTCGTGGTGTTTGTAGCGGAATGGGATTTGACTTTCTAGAGCTGCTAATCTATCCAATATGAGGTGATACTGGCTGTGTTTTTGACGATACCTTCTTCGCCTTGCTCTTGTTGTTTCACCTCTCCAATTTCGTGAAGAGCTAGCTCGTCTACAAATATTGAACGGTATATCGACGTAAATTTCCACACAAGAAATACTTGTAGGCTTGATGAAGGCCCTCTATTGATCTGAACAGCTATCACCATCTATGAAATAGAGACTCCGCATGTCTTGGCAACACTTCTCCCCATATCGACTCCTGCATATTTGGGCGTGTATCGTTTCATACAGGCTTATACGCCCTGTGTCAATGTTGTAGGGGATATCGCCAACTGTGGGGTACTGCCACCGCCCATTTGGGTGTGCTTTCCAGGGTATCCTAGCCCTTGGTGGTACCCAATATGGCCTAAGCAAGAGAGCTAGTGCAACAGCGGAACCGATACCTACGCAACGGAATCAGCGGCCGGACCAGCAGGAGCAGCGGTTGTTGGCTCTTACTCCATATTCAACGCTGTGGAAATAAAACGCCGGAGGCTATCCTACAACCAAACCGGAGCAAAGGCGTGGGAGTCCTGATCTTTATTGCTGTCTGTTCACCTTTCTTTCCAAGTCTTCTACCCTAGAGATCTCGTTGAAGCAGTTGCCCCTGAATGCCACTACCTCTAGTCACAGCCTCAGCCTCAGCGCCGGCCGGCTACGTCATATGTGATTAGTCTATGCAGTATTGTAACAACAGGGTGGCAGCCATGGCTTCTACTCTTCAACAATAATACGCGAACTGTGCAGGATAGAGCTGTCTGATACCAATGCCGAAGATTGTACGCGCAGTCCACTGTGTTTAAGCTACTCCATCCTTTCTCCCATGATGCTATGGTTCTGCGCTTTTCGAGACGTCTTGCAAGCCCCCTCAGAGCCCCACTAGCAATACAACAATGGCTTGCATCCCACATGAACCAATTAGCTAACAACCACTCACCCAGATCTTTAAACAAACAAGCCCAACGTTTTGCGAATGAGTCGTCTGCTGAGGCGCGTCAAGATGCCTCCAAAACCCGCCCCAACGCATTTTCTTTGCATCCCTCTGGTTACTACAGTGTCTCGGCCGCAACTAGTCGAAAGCCTCGCAACGTTCCGCACGGATGTCACCAATCCGAAGAGCCTCGGAGGCTTTGACGTCCCAGATGGTGCGGTCCGGCCCGTGGGGACCCTGCATTTGACATTAGGGGTCATGAGTTTCCCTAAAGGCGAGGGGCTTGATAAGGCTTTGGAGCTGCTGAAGTCTATCAAGCCGAAGAAGATTCTATCCACGATCAAACCACCTGTGATGCCGGGTATGCCTACCCAACCGATTGACCCGCCCTCTGAGGGGTCCACGGCACCGGAGGCGAACCCGCCAGAGAACCTAACAATAACTCTGAAAGGTCTCAACTCAATGCACCAGGTTGAGAAGACTTCTATCCTCTACGCACCTCCCGAGGACAAGCTGGGATTCCTACAAAACTTTGGCGAAAAGATACAGGCACTCTTCAAGGAGGCTGGTCTGATGATCGAGGATAGCCGACCGTTGCTCCTACACGCAACGATTGTAAATATGATTTATGTCAAAGGCGGACGACAAAAGGGGAGCAAGGCACGTGGCAAATGGGATAAGTCAGTCATTGACAATGCTAGAGGAATCCTGGATAGGTACGAGGACTACATCTGGATGAAAGATGTCCCGGTGGAAAAGATCGCTATATGTAGAATGGGTGCCAAGCCTAGTGTGGTCGATGGCGTCGAGGATGCCGCATACGAGGTCGAGGCTGAGATTGATTTCTAAGGGCTTGGGGCAAAGAACTCCCGCTTCTTGCATGGAAGCAGACCACAGACAATCGACATACCAACTGCGAATTGTTTCAACCTGATCATTGGGATCTCCTAGCAGCTCTGGTTAACCGAAGGCGTCCCGGACCTATCTCTAAGACAAGGAAGATAGCTATACGTCCTCGATAGGACTGCATGGTCAAGGTAACGCAGCTGTAGGTTTGATGCTGCTATTGACAATACGCCAACGAAGTTACTCCGCACTAATAGCTGTTGGACCCACTATCAGCTTGCACAGCCGCCCCCGACACACTGGACTCCAGCCAGCCGAAGTGACCTACGACGACTTAATTGGCCCCGCCACACCACCCGGAAGGGCTGAAGTCAGCAAGCACCATCTGTAACTCGCGTGGGCGGATCTGAACTGAGGCGAAACCTACCTGTGTTCCAGGCAACGATATATATCAATAATCGTCTTTTTGCCGCCGGATAGGCAGTTGCATAACCAAATACCTTCCCATCAGACGTGAGGAATTGGAAGATTTTGATCATCTCCCACCATGCAGCGTCACCGTTGTCGTCCTCGTCGGGTTTCACGTTGATCAATTCATGATACTGCCCCGCATCGCAGCTTCAGCCCAACTGACGATCGACCATGAACAGCTCGTCCGACAAGCGTCGCGGGGCCGGCAACACAGGCGGTTCCTCCACGCATGTCCTGCGTACGACGGCGCCTGGGCAGGCCACCAGCTCATCGCCTTCGGGCAATAATACCTCGCGAAGCAGCATCATCGCACCCCCGCCCCGTGCCCAACTCGGTGGGCCGTCCTCGTCGTCCTCGTCGCCCAGTCCCGAAGAGCGGACTGCCCACGCACATGGCACCAACAATGGCAGTTCCACGCCGAGCAGCCGGCGCGACAGCAATGCGCCGAACACGGCAGCTCAGGCCGCTGTGGCGGCGGCTGCGGCGGCCACGCAGCTTGTCAAAGAGAAGGATCTACGGATCGCTGTCTTAGAGCGAGAGCTAGGCGTGATGGAGACGGAGTTCCAGCGTGAGCTGGATAAGCTGAGCCAGAATGAGAGCGAGACGGCGTCGTTCTGGCAGGCCAAACACAGTGCGCTGAATCAGCAGTTCTTGCGCACCGACACGGAATTGCGGTTGCTACGGGCGGAGCTCGATGTGCGTGAGGCTGAGCGCGAGGAGCTGCGGTCCGGATGGGAGACCATGAAGCGCGAAGTACGGGAGCGTGATGACGAGATTCGAGATCTGAAGGCTCAAGTCAGGGGGCTGAAGGAGTGGGTGAGCACAAGCACCAAGGCCGATTCATCGACAAGCGACGAGGTCTTCGGTGACGGCATGGCGAGACTAGGAAACGGCTTGCAGAATTGGATCATTGTCAACTTTAGGAGAGCGAAGCTCGGTATGTTTCCCCCCTTGCCTCCCAGCATTCTGGCGGTCTCGAGGACATTTGACTTACATGGCGTTGATTTAGACCTCTCCAGAACAAATGATGGCGCAGTCTTACAAGAGCTGGGGCAGCTAGTCCCCATGTACGAGGAGCTGGCACAGACGGCAAAGGTACATCTCTTGCAATCTGTCGTCTCCAGGATACTTGTAGATACCATATTTGACGTATATTTCGTTGGGTTGTCAAGAGCCGAAGCGCAGCAATTTGCTCAAATGGAGAGCCTACTTGCTTCAATAGGTATGTGCGAAGCACTTTGTCTTCATGATGTATCGAGCATCAATGCTCACCAGGAACTCCAGGCGCACCGGAAGCAGTCAATCAGTGGAGGTCTCAAACACTTACAATATTGCGAAAAGAAGCGCCGCAGAAGATGCAGGCGCAGACATCCCATGTTGCTGAGGAGGTCATCACACGAGTCAACAGGATATTAGATGCCATAACAGACACGAAGAGCACAGAAACACGGGATCAAGCTCTGCGGGTATTGGTCAACAGCTCCATAGAATTGTCGCGCCATCTTGGCGTGCAGAAGGCGGTGTTTCAAGTGTCGATGCCGGAAATCTTGCCGCATCAAAAGGTCATGTTCGACCACTCAACGATGGAGGACATCGGCGGCGAGGATGAGGAGAGTCTCATCCAGCGAGAAATCTGCTGTGTTACATTCCCGGGGATCATCAAGAGAGGAGATGAGACTGGAGGGCATCTGCAGTTTAGAAATGTGATATCCAAAGCGAGGGTACTATGTACCCCTGAATGAAATTTGGCTAAAGCGCCCAAGAAGACTACACTATTTTTAACGTCCTTCAGAAGGAAGGGAAACAAGAGGCTCTGCTGGACATGGGTTACGTTTGCCAATAAGTAACAGAGTCGCCCTTGATTGGGCGTTTCCTGGCAGAACTAGCCCTTGAGTTCAGGCTTGCATACTGTCTCACTACTCACCTCAGCTTTCCCAACCTACATGAGCTCGTCACTCTGACGAGATAACCAGCGAGAATTGCGAGAAATACGGCGCTCGCATGAATCCAAAATATCAACGAACGAAGATCATATCTCAGCGCCTCTGTCTCAAATCGCTTAACATCGGGAAACGGGTCTTATCGTATGATTTTCAAGAGCAGAATCAGCGCCACGTCAACGCCAACTAGCAGGGGAGATAGAGACGACAGTAATGTCTCCGCGTCAACATACACATCTCCACCATGAGAACTCAGATTGACAAGGATGTCTACCAATCAGCGGGCGGACAGTGCGGGCCGTCTGTCTATAGATGTATTAGCAAAAGTGGAGGAGATGCATGAACACAACCGCGACTGCATAGTACACATGCACAGGTGGGGGAATGCCTCCAGCTCTTCTGCTGGCTCTTGAGCCTCAATCTTCAGGGTCTGGGCCGTCTCCCGGCCTTCTGGGCTGCGACTCGTTAAGGCAGGCTGCTTGGCTGGCATATGAGCTCGCGTCTTGATTAGTCGACTTCGTATCTACAACAATACTGCAGTCATCTCCAACGAGTTCGAAGTTCGAAGCCTATAATTATCAAGCCAGATCAAATCTGAAATCTGAAATTTAAATCCGAATATTTTAGGGTATAGTCAGATCTTTCTGAGGAATTAACGCTCTGTAAAGATATTTGTTTCGCGGGATAGTCGCTGGTGAATTGAGTGGCTGTGTTCGTTGAAGCCTCTGGGTAAATCTACCGAACTTGAAGTTACTGAACGTAACAATGAGTCGCAAAATTCGGGAGCCTCAAAACATAAATGTTAGACAGACCGCTATATCCAAGACAATTTACAAGCAATCAAGGAAATAATAACCATATTCGGTATAAGTTCTTGCGGTGAGAACCACTGACACGGTTGATAGTCACTAGATGGCCAAGACAACCGGCAGCCAGCTCCGACTTTCGTGGCTGGATTCGCTGTGACACAGCGCTTTGTCGGTTACATAAGGCGTGATGGGAAAGAATGGGGAAATTTCTGGCGATTGGCAATCGCCTCTGACTGGGATAGACGAAAGATACTCCTAGAAAAGGAGGGTTGGCTCCCGTGGCCCAACTTCTGAGATGGTGTGCAGCCACTGCTTCTAGTGGAGAACCATATCCTTCCAGCCGCTGTGCCGTCCTGTTGAAGAGTGGGAAAATGAATCGCCCAATGGATTTTCGAGGAGGGAAATGAGTGAACCAGAGATATATCGTTAATCCCCAAGATAGTCTTGATCACAAGCGTTTTGAGACCGGACCAGCGATCCAGAATTTCAGAGTCGCGTTCGTGTTGGAGCCCAACGTTGTGATCTCCTCATCGGACATTTTGTTGTGAATCTGTCGTGACCCTCGTCTGTATCTCTGGAATCTGCAGGATTGGCGCCAGCTGCATGCACTGCACTTGCAGTAGCCACACAAGTGCGTGCAGTTCCTATGACCCGTAAAGCGTCTCGCCATCTCGGCCCACGGCTCATTTAGAACCACTCTTTCCCGATACAGAACTTCGAGTTGCGGGGACTGTTCTTTTCACGTATAAGTCTGACAGACCCGGATCATCGACATCTATTTAAACTTCGACCTTGTTGTAGCGGATAGAGGTGAACTACGCGTACAGCTGACCACCCCACCTTTCGTCTTTGAAATCTAGGCCGAGCGTACTGCTCCGTCAATATGGGGTCGACAAACAACTTTGACTTCACGTCCTTGCAAGAAAGTCTTCCAGAGAAAAGTGAAATGAACGAGAGCGGGCACTGGCAGATGTCTGGATCTGGGCCAAGCTCAGCTTTCCTGTGGGATAGTCTGGGAACTGCTGACTTCAGCGACACTGGACGCTCAATATCTTTTTCGGACCAGGACTCCGAGTATTCTTCGTACAAACTAAACAGCAACCCGTACTTAGATTATGATCTTGAGAGTGTTCCTTCAACAGTGGGGAGTAGCAGCAACCGATCACAGGTGCGAGCGTCGAGCTCCTTAGCCACATCAATCCCACGTCGGCTTCCAGGTCGAACATTCAACGAGCATTTCCAGGACCAGCCTGCGATTAGCTCTGCAATACGTCTCCCATGTGAATTTCATAGACTCACAGGCTGTCGGTCTAGCTTCCCAGCAGATGCGACGACAGAGTGGACAGAGCACGTGAGTGAGCACCTTCAATGGAACTTTCCTGAGGAGTGTTGGTGCTGGTTCTGCGACAGTCAAAAGTTCTTCGCCGCCGACCGTTCTGGAGATAGGTCATTCAATTTCTTTGAGCGCATGGAACACATTCGTGACCACATTGTCGAAGGCGAGTACAGTCCTCAACAGCGACGGCGCGATTATCCGCTCCTTAAACACATGGCGAGGCATGGGCTCATACCGAGGGATGTTGCAAACCGAGAGCTCAGCACTGCCGAGGGTCCAAGTCTCCCTAGATCGATGTCGCCGCATCTCCCATCAAACAGGGACAGACAAAATAACCGAGACAATCGGGTGTTGCATGATCAAGCGGGAGAAGATCGCAAGCAACGAAGGGAGAAGAAAAAAGAAAAAAAGCATCGCCATTGATATAGACAGGGTGACATATGGAACGTCATTCTGACTCACTGGTTGGATTAACATGAGGAAAGAACAACCTCCAATTCCGGCAGGTACTCGGATTAGTTCCGGAGTGTGGTCGGCGGCTCGGGCCATGAACCACGGAACGGAAACCCACATGATACCCTGTCGATCACCGGCGATCCGGGGCTGCCCCACAGGGCTTCTCGGCATTCGATTCTCCCCTGAAGCTTATTTTGCTGTCAATCGATTACTCATAATTTTATACCCGGGGTCCTTTTTATTTCACTTTTTTATTTTATTTCTGCCAGCTGTAAGGCGGACGCATGAACCCGCTGTGCGGCGTCGGCCAACATATTTATCTGCAGGCGGATTTGCGGACCACATGGGAAGGCAACGCGCGTAGGGCAGACGCGAGTCTGCCTCACCAAGCCCCTCTTTGAACTGCCAGGCACATTGAGAACGGCAAGCTGTAGGCCTCGGTACCACAGCTCCTATCGACAGAAATCCTTATTGGAGAAGCTTTGAATAAGCCCATGACGATTTTCCTTGGATGGACATGTCTATCAGTAAGAGGAAGAAACTAGTTTCCATCATACTCAAAGAGATTGAGAAATCGCACAGTTTGACAAACCACGATGATGGGGCAAGGTTGAGTCATTTAAGTCTTCGAGTGCTTTTCCAGTGTACCAAACATGGTCATGGGACGTAATTTCGACGGGGTTAACATGGACACATCCGGGGTTGTGACTTCTCTTCGGAATTTTCAATATGAGCTTATGCCGAGTCTAGCCATAGTGTTATCAGTTATTGCAGTATGATTTCGAAACGCGGTTGTTTCAGTACCGGCAACTCAAGTATTTAATAACAGAGCCAGAAGCGGGAATCTCTTATACGCCCCATCTTACTATATAACTGTCCATTCATTCCCCTCAGCGTCTCCGCCCGTAAGATAAGGCATCGTAGCTAGTGGCAAAATATAGACCGCCATTTCGTTGCCTTATTCCAAGTGTAGGCCAGGCAAAATTTTCAACAAGATCAGGCAGGCTGTGCCAGTTCCCAACCACCCATTGAATACCAGGCACAGCCTCAAAAGATAGTGTACATGGCGAGACATTACTTGTCCCGCTGAACTACTGCACGGCAGCCCTGAAAATGAGTACACCGTAGTCAAGTGACTAACGGGAATGCATACACCAGCAACCTCGACATCCACACTAATGCGAGATGCCACAAGTCCCTGCATGCCGTCAACTTGGCGCAAGAGACAAGCCTCACCCTAATACCATGGTTCGCCAACAGTGGAGGGTACCTCATGGCTCGTAGAGAAGTCATGCCCTCGAGATTGTCGACCCGTATGATTGCTCGGTATTGCTATCGGTGATACCAAAGCGCTGACCTGAGTTGTACCTCTGATATGCTATTGCTATAGCAGAAGAAGATTTTAGCACCCTGAGTAAGTCTTTTGCTACAGCTTTCATCATAGATTCATCTGCTACGGGTTCGATAACGTGTCAGCCACATATCTCGTGTTGACTACTTGCCTCGGTGGCGTTGCTTACCTATTATCCCCGGAACTCTCCAACTAATATAGCCAATACGGGTTGTTTGCTAGCTCTGAAAGCTCTTGACAAAGAGTCTCGGCAGAGCATTGCGCTTATCCCACCTGGCTTGTAGGGTGTTCTCAACTTTGATTTTGAGTCGCATTCTTCCTCGATCAGCTCATGTTGAATTCAGGATTGACTTCCTCTATATCGTCATCAATTCCCGACACTAAGTCATTCATAACCTTTATGTAAGGCTTCAGATATGGATGCCTGCCTCCCCTAAAGAGGGCGAAAAACGCAAGAAATCCATTCAGCAGTTCGCTTATGCGACTCGGGAATGTAGAGGAAGAAGAGTGAACTGCGGCGCCAAGATTCGAGTTCTGCCCCTGGTGGTTCGGATTTGTACCAAACATCGTCATCCCACTGTCGCCTGGTGTGTTCATATTGCCAGTTGTAAATAGTATTAGTGACATTGCCACGTTATAAACCTTCTCAACCTAATTCATTTCGCTTTAGTACATATTCATCCTCAGTAGATAAATGGGGGAATGAGGAAGGGAGAGGGATACTCACGATACCAACTCCGTGAACTTCCATGCTGCTTAGCCGCGATGTTGTGCAAATCTGCAACATATTTTGCGCAATCACAACGATGTAATCTGGTCGAAACTCGGACCTCATGTCACCTGCGCTAAGAAGGGTGTGCTTAAGACACAAGTCCCACATTCGGTGGTGCAGCCACTGTTGACTAACCAAGATATCGACTTCCTGAGTTTCTGTCGGCTCGGGAGCACCGGTGGAGGCACCAGTGCCACCGCTTTTCTCTGCCATACTGTCATCCCCTTGAGGCTGAAAATGAATGACTTGCATCTGGTAAAACCTGACAGCGTCCTCATGGGTGAAATTGGCACAATGAGCACCTCTTTCTACGGCACATCGCCCATTCCAGCAATCTACAAGGCGATCATCGATGAGGTCGTAGAGCTCAACCATTCTCTTGAGACCAAGGAGAGCTCTCGCGTCGGTCTCGTCCTGGGTTCGCGGTTCGACATCCGTGATCATTCGATTACGCTGAAAATCCAGGTTCGGATGCCGGCGAATGTGAATTTCTTGGCGCCGCTGAAGTGCCCAGGCCCTGTAAACATGATGAGCTTCGTAAACGCTTCAAGATATTTGCAACAAATCGCGAGGGAAGCTTCGATGGTGTTATACTAACCTTTCAGTCACAGAGAGAATCCAAAACGCCCTTAACCTTTGGTTTCTTTCTTCTTCAGTACGGCCGGAATATGACGAAGGATCCTGCAACCTCATCATTTCTGCCAAAGTAATAGCCTCTTGAAGTCGAAACCACGCTGCATTGTCCTGACCTAAGCCGAAGTGGCAACCAAATAGGAAATAGCTCGTAAGGACAGCCTCCAACGTAGGCTCTTGGCCGAAATCCGGAATGTTGCGAAGCGTGGCCGCTTCGCTCATCAAGTGACTTGCTTGAGCTTTCCGATGTTTCATAGAGCTGCGCTCATCGACTAAAATTGGTTGGATGAGCATGAAGGCACCCAAGGCAAGTAGCATCGCCCCAAACTGGGGGCAGCTTCGGTGGTCTTGAGCTATCATTCTTTGGTAAAGATATGAGCGATTGAATATCGGGGCTGTTGAATGGAGCCTGGTGAGATACGTGTCAATCAATGGAAGGAGAAATGATTCCTTGACAGTTGCTGGCCAAGATTGAGTTATGACACTATCGTTGACCTCGGACTGCATCATGAACCCTGAAAAGTCCACAATAGGAGGCGACGGCGACAGGAATAAACGCTCAGAAACCGTGAAAGCGCTCATGTTCGGCATCAAGGATGATAGTTGCAGGTCTCCTCCACGCTCGGCATCCTGGCTATCTTTCCAACTCTGCAGAACCCAGTCGTCCTGGCCGAGAGCAAACATAGGGTCGTTGGTGTACAAGTCGCGATGAAGATCCGGAGTGCCGGAATCACCAAGGGACAGCGCATCCACAAAGACCTCGGAAGGAGACACACCGGTCTGAGAGCTGGGTGTCGGGTCTGGAGGTGCCAAAGCCTCGACATTGTCCTGGTTCGCCTGGGATGAGGTATTTGACGGTGACACGACTGGTCCATCGATTCTCTCTATATGCTGTGTGGTGGGAATCTGGTGCCATTCCTGCTCTGAGGTCGTCCCAAGCTCAGCATTCTGAGCTCTCTTGAGTCCGGCGATCTGGCCTATTAAACCATTACCTGTTCTTCGCCCAGAGGATGGGAGAGTCTCGGTAGCATATTTGCGTGGAGGCCCTCTTCTCTTGTGGACGAGGTGGAATGTACACTCCAGGCTCTTCTCTGCGCAGCGCCCGCAAGGATGTTGCCGATCACACTGTGAGGAATAAGTATGGGATCAATGACAGGGTTCTATCCAAGTTGTCGTCTAAGCGACTGAGCATGGTAAAGCTATGGCACATACTCTTTGCTTGCGGACATTACATTGGTCACAGGCTTTGGTCTGAGACTGATATCGCAGGAAAGGAAGCTTTCTAGGTGATTGCTGCATGTTGGCAAGGCATCTCGCGCCATATGGTACGCGGTGAACGCAGCATTGGGTAGTCAGGACGGCGAGTGTTTGCAGGTTGGAAGTTTGAGTGGGTAGAAGAAGCATGGGAATTTCAGTGGGCGTGACAGCGTTCGAGTCAGTCAATCGGTGGCGTAAATCACCTGGATTGTAGGTGACAGCACACTATAAGGGCTCGGCTTAGTCATTGCTACCTAGGGAGATGTCGCTAGAAAACCCTGTAGATCACTCCGCGTTTTGACTTCCCCAGTCTGAAGAGCTTTGAAGTACTTAGTTTGTATTTTAAAAAGGAAAATAGGAAGCAAAGGGTCTAATGCCCGTCATTTTGAAATGCTGACTATCTGGTGACATTATTCCCACTTCAGATGAAAGTAGAGGTCACGTAAGGGTGAGATCACGTAAGGGTGAGATCACCTCCATTTAAGGGAACTTAGACCATTCAAGCGGTGTAAGTGCGCCGAGTCAATTCTTTTAATTCTCCTACTACAACTATGCTAAAATGATATTTTCACCTATGGCTGGAATTAATCTCCCTCATATGCTACTGAGACGGCCAATGATGCTTCACCCAGAAATGCGGCGCCCAAATAGGAGAGACTGAAAGATCTTAAGCCTTGTCAACATGCTCCCCGAAGCTGGCGTTAATGGTAGCACCCTTGACAACTGCCTCCTGTACATGTTCAGGAGAAACACCACAGACGTAACCTAGAAGAGACGATTTATCAGTCCATGTCTTGTCCATGCGATATCCAAATTACTTACCCTTGAATCTCCTTGACGGGACGCCAGCGGCGAACATCTCATCAAGCTCAGCCGAAGTCCTTCCTTTAGTCTCTGGCAGGTAGAGAAAGGTTAAGACGAGACAGATGAGCATCCATCCCGCAAAGATGAGATATGTTTTGGCTCCGAGGTTCGCTCTGCACTCAGCGTTAGCCTTTTTCAACACCCCAAAAAATCTAGTCAAGATTGAACACGCACTCATCAGCATTTGTAATGTAAGGGAGGACAAAGGTGACAACAAGGTTGAACAAGAAGATTGTCATGAAGGTGAAGGCGCTAGTCTTATTTCGAAGACGCGCCGTGGGAACCTCTGAAGAGACAATGTATGTCATCGGACCAAAACCTGCAGCGAAGAAGAACCCAAACATCAAAGAGAAAGCGGCTATGGCCTTGCCAGTGGCCGGGTTTGAAGTGTCAGCGAAGCCTAAAGCACCGACAACTATGTCAATGACGAGAATAACCGAGAATGTGCTGAGGGCAAGGACACGGCGTCCGACCCAGTCGACCGCGAGGAGACCGAAGACGGCACCACCAAGAGATAGAATGTTGAGCCCCAGAACTAGCAAGAAGGGGTTGGATGCGCCGATTTGAGTTAGGAAAATGGTGGCATAATTTGTGGCCATCGAGATTCCACTGAGCTGTTGGAAGTTGCCGATGGAGATAGCGATCAAGGTGCGTCGCAGATTGTTGCCCCTGAACAGATCCAACCAGGACACTTCACTCTCGGCGGCACGGAGAGCAGCTTGGTATTTCAGACTTTGCATCTCAACTTCAATCTCCTGCTCATCATAACCCTGTCGGACCTTGCGCAGGCTTTCATACGCACGAGTGTCGTTGCCTTTGATAAGGAAGTACGTCGGCGAGTCCGTGACAAAGAAGAGACCGATCGCGATCAATATGGGCCACAGGCACTGTAGGCCGATAGGGAGGCGGTAGGCGAAGCTGGTTGGATCTGCGTGTGTTCCCCAGTTGATGCCCGAGGTCAAAACAGACGCGGTGTCGATCAAGACAATAGACAGCCCAACTACTGCTCCTCGGATCGCCGAAGGGGATATCTCGCTTTGGAATGTCGCTGCCATGCTGAGGAAGATCATCACGGAGACATCTATCGTATGTTAGTATGAAAAGGGGAAACTCGAAGGCTCTCAATTAGGCAAGGTGTGTGAAGGAATGCGTCTTACTGCAGATAGCACGGCCAACGGTTATAGTGGCAACATTCGTCGACGCCGTTTGAATTGCTGCTCCTATCGCACTAATTACACAGCCAATCCAAAGTGTCTTCTTGCGTCCGATGAGATCTCCAAGCCAGGCCGCAACGACAGAGCCGCAAATGGCACCTGCAACTGGGACTGAGGTGATAATCGAGACATCAGATGCTGGCAAGATATTGCCACTCGTTGAAGTATGACCGAATTGCTTAATGAATGAGGGCATCGCGATGACGCCGCCAATAAGTGAGCCATCATAGCCAAAGGTGAAGTACGCCGTCGAAAGTACCAAAGCTAGTGATTGAATATTGTCAGTCAATTAATTGTCTACTAACCAAGAGTATTTCAAGGGAAAGTAAAATATGATATCTAGGAAAAGAACTCACCGGTGAAAATGAGACGGTGATTGTGACGGAGGTGGTAACCCGCGGTTCTGGTATCCTCTGCCTCACGAGGCTGGACTGCAGAATCGCTCATCTCCATTGGTGAGAATGATGTTAGTGGTAGCTAGATATTTGTGGTACCGGTAGTTTGGATAGCAGATACCATAGGATGCATGGCAATCCGGGGCAAAGCCGGGGTTAATAAACTGATCTGCCGCTCGACCAGGCCTAACCGGTTCAGGAGAATTCCCGCCTTCACCTCGAACACGGCACGCATCTTTGACGAAAGTAGAGTTTTCCCGATATCATGTTCCCACTCCGCATTTCGCAGGGCGAGCATGTCATGGAGACGAGGTCTGGCCATGGCGATGTGACGGTCTTCCCCATAGATGAGAAAATTCAGATGCACACATGGCTTCAGATGACCAAACGATGCTTAACTAGGACATCCTCGTTCGGCATTCCTTTGCTGTCATGCAACCCGTACCTCGCTTTGAAGTCATTCCGATAGAATTATTGTGTCCTGGACTACACTAGGCTCAATACCAATTACACAACAAAATCTCGTCTTGCCTCGTATATCAGCAAGAGGCGGTTGCAGAGCTTTCTACTACTTGCAGGGATGTCAAAGCCGTCTTGAAGCTATACCTCCTACACCTTCAGTTATGGCCATTTCACAAGATCATGAACATGTTCATCCTCTACTAGGAAACTTGATCGGGATCCGCCGCAGCTCTAGCACGGTGCAATTCCGCGGCATACCGTATGCCTCTATTCCAGGTCGCTTTCGCCAATCCCAACTCATCACAGAGCTGCCTCCTCCATGTTACAGAGCGACGGAAGACGGGTATGCATCCACCATCACTGACTATCAGTAGTAATAACCCAATGGCTAATTTATCTTGTTAGACCGGAATGTCCTCAGCCTCCCACCCCTTATCCTGACTATTGGAGCCCGGTCAAGAATGGCTCAACGTCCAATCAAGCAATATACATACCCGCAGAGGCGGATGAGCAGAGATGTCTCAACCTATCAATCACTGCTCCTGTCACAGCCCTGCAAGGGTCTTCCCGGGTCCCAGTGATGATTTGGGTTCACGGGGGATCCTTCGCTGGTGGAAGCCATACAGTCACTGTTGCGGGCGTGCGAGTATATGATCCCTCTGCATTCGTTCAGAGGAGCGTAACTATAGGCAAGCCGGTGCTGGTGGTCGGCATAAATTACCGAACTGGGCCTCTGGGGTTTCTCGCCTCATCGAAGCTTACAGCGCTCAATCAGGCACATGATGAACCTGTGGGCAACTACGGATTACATGATCAAAGGCGAGCCATTGACTGGGTAGTAAGAAATATCGTAGGTTTCGGTGGCGACCCTCAACAAATCACATTATACGGAACCAGTGCTGGTGCTGCGTCTTGTCATTATCAAGTCCTTTCTGACTGGGAGAAGAGGTTTCAGAGGACAATCATCGTCAGCGCAACTGCGCTCGGTCTTGGACCGGCAAGTCCAGAACAGCACGAGGCTTTGTTCGATGGCTACGTGGCGGCGCTTGGTCTGAAAGCCGATCAATTAGATATTGTGGCACTTCTTTCCGAGCTTCCTGTACAGAAACTACTCGATGGGTCCAAGGGCTTAAATTTGGGCCCAATATATAAGCCTTTAATCGATGGCGATTTCATCAAAGATGCTCCAGCACAACGGATGTCAAATCGAGTGAAAAGGGGACCCGACATGATGATAGGGTCTTGCGCATACGAGGTATGTTTTTCCCCATGCAATATCCATACCATACGTGGACTTTGACTAATAATCCCGCAGAAAGAACTTGTAGAAGTCTTATATTCCATCGTCCAAAGCCCCTCTAGGATGGATTATTTACGATCTTCACTTCAACCCAACGGCATGCTACAGGACCCCGCCAACTTCTTAAGTCCAGAGATTCTCAAAACCTACAAGCTTGATTCAAAGTCAAGTGATAGGTCTTCCTACGTTGACTCCAACGCCTTAGATCTTGCCACCGACATCATGTTTAGATGTCCGCCTTACTATACCGCCAAGAACTCCGCGAGCAGGACCCTCCTCTTTGACTTCCAGGCCGTGAACCCCTATCCAGGAGCGAGGTGGAACTACCGCAAGGCACACCACGGCGCCAACGACCTGTTTGTGTTTAATCCAGCGCCTGACCTGGTCCCAGCCGAGGATCGACGAAACTGGAACGACACTGTCGCACGGGTTCAAGAGACATGGATAACCTTTTGCTATGGCGAATTGCCTTGGAAACCGTTTGATAAGACAATTGATGGACCAGTGTACCTGTTCGCAGATAGTGGTCAGTCAAGGGAAGCGCAAAATCTTGTAGATGCTCTTGGTCAAGAGACGGCAAGTCAGTGGGCTACTGTTCTTGCTCAAGCAAGCTGTGATTCATAGTAATGTTATATTCGAGACTCTTTCGGGGTACCAAATACTTGTCGTCGTATGCTGTAGATCTTTACAGATTCTGTATCGCACTTGCAAACACAGTGGCGGATTTCCAACATTACCAGGAGCTATACTTTGATTATCACAGAGGAGATCGCCTCCCTGTTATCTACTACAAGATTCAAAGCGTTACTGACTTATCACAGCATGGAAGCATTCACAGTGCTCCGGGGGCGTGGATTTCAAGTTTAGGGAGAAAGGAATTACCTATACAGGCTTGGGAAGCTTCAAATGAGCCGACATGATAGGCTAGCGTCCCGGCCAATGGCGTATAAGCGTGAAGACTAGGATCTGCAAGTTGGGCTAGGATGATAATACATCGTCGCCACGAGCGTTGTCGAAATGAAAAGACTCAACGAGATCTCGCCATGTCAGAAGATGAATCAGTCAGTGGTCCCCGGCCGATGGTAGCCCAGAACACACTACCCCGGTGTGGGGAGATGGGCGGGCATGGTTGCGTATGATTTGTAGGCAATTTACCAGAAAGGGTAATTTCCCGATATTTGGACGACGCTGGACGACGCCTCATTTCTCGTGTGATATGTATTTGCCCGCCGGCTCACATAACCTCGTGTCACTGCAACAGAGACTTGCGACACCATTTCTCAAAATCATTTCACACCCCTCATCAATCCTTAGCCATGTAGCGTTTGATCCTGTCTAGTTTTTAAAATCGTGCTGGCCTCGGTTACCAGAATCCCTCTTTGCTGGAAATGGCTGCCACCCCCACTATTCCACCAGTGACCGATGCCCCAGAGTCTTCTTCCCTTGCGATATCTTCAAATCAACAAGTAACTTCAACCCTTCCAAGCATTGGTGTTGTCCCTGCCCCTAGTACTGCGTACGCAGATGATTTCAAGCGATGGCGTCCACGGTATCATCTGATGGCGACTTCGGGGTGGATGAACGATCCCTGCGGTCTTGGCTACGACCCGGCATCGGGGTTGTATCACGTGGCTTTCCAGTGGAATCCGGATGGCAACGACTGGGGCGATATTGCCTGGGGCTCTGCCGTTTCTCACGATCTTGTCTCATGGAGAGTCTCGTCGACAGCATGCCTTAGGCCGGACTTGCCTTATGATCGTCTTGGCGTATTCTCAGGATGCCTCATCCGGCCAGGTTTGGCCGGGACAGATCCCAATACCTTGACATACTTCTATACATCGGTCAACCACTTGCCGATTCATTATACGTTACCCTACGTGTACGGCAGCGAGTCGCTGAGCATGGCGATATCGCATGACGGTGGCCGGACATGGACAAAGCATCACGACAACCCCTTATTGCCCCGTCCGCCCCCTGGATTAGACGTGATAGCCTGGCGCGATCCGTTCGTGTCTCCATGGCCGGCCATGGGCAAATTATTGGGGCTTCCGGAAGATACTCTCTTTGGGTGTATCGCGGGTGGTATCAAGGGCCAAAGTCCCACAGCCACTCTATACTCTATTGACCCTAACGACTTGAAGACCTGGACGTATAGAGGCCTTCTTGCCCGCCCCGGTCTCAACAAGCGGCTCTCCCGCTGGTCTGGGGATCTTGGAGTCAACTGGGAGGTGACCAACTTTCTCACTGTGACAGATAATCTCAACCAGATATCTATGAGCTTTATGATCATGGGCTGCGAGGGTTGTCTCCCAGAATCTATCAGCTGGGCGACCAAGGGCAGTGGCTCGGACATGGCACGGCGCACAATTCGAGCCCAGTCATGGATCTCCGGAAAACCCCGGGAAAGTCCAGAGCCAGATAATCAAGAAGGCTTGCTCAGTGTTGATTTTGCAGGCATCTTCGACCACGGCTGTCTCTACGCGGCAAATTCATTTTGGGATCCCACTGTTGACGGAAATGTTGTACTTGGATGGGTGGCAGAGGAGGATGTTCCCGATGACCTCCGTCATAGGCAGGGTTGGAGCGGCTCCCTTTCCATCCCTCGTCTCCTAACACTCGTTACAATTCGCCGGGTCACCGGCGCTCGTGTTTCGGCTCTGAAGGAGATCACATCCATACAGACAATCCCAGATGAAGAGGGCACGTCTACCATTGTTACACTTGGATTTACACCCCATCCAAACCTAAGCCAATTGCGAAAGTCGGCGAACTTGGTGGAGCTTCAACCCTTTGATCTAGTCTCGTCAACACTTGGCTCTTCCCTGTATCAACCCAGCCTCGATGCTCGTAGTTCATCCTGGGAATTCGAGACTCTGATTGCTGTCTCACCGCACTGTCAATGTGTAGGCTTCGAAATAGGTCACTCGGAAGGTGAGTAGACTTAAAAAACATGAGCCTTTCAATCTATGGCCTTGCTAACAACCGGACTCGCTAAGACTTTTCTTCTTCAACGAAACTGTATCTGGATCTGAGCAAGGAGGAATTCGTCATCGATCGAAGTGGTGTAACCGTGACAGACTCTCGAGTCAACCGTCTACCGGAGATTGCTCCCCATACTCTATTCACAGCATATGATAGCAAAGAGGGGCGACACGTAGAGGAGTCGTTACACGTCAGAGTGTTTTACGACGCAAGTATCCTCGAGGTGTTTGTCAACAGCAGGACTGTCATCACAACTCGAATCTATCCAGCCACAGACGAGTGCTTCGGCATCAGACTCTTTGCCGATGCGGGCTCTGACAGCTCGGCAGGAACCATCTTGGCACATGTCGAGCTTGCTCGTTTGTGGGATCGGCTTCCAGGGACCGTGTTCTCGGAGCCCGTAGAGACCTAGGCGAAGACAAATGTTATACAGAGACAGCTGCAGAAAGCCAAACCGATGTTATGATGAAATACATTCTCTTGAATTCTTGTATTGTAGAGAATAATTTGATTGGGTAATTACAACCCGTCCTCTTTTCAAGTATCGTTGCGAATCATCTCGTAGCATTGAGTAGTCATCCGACGCAGCATTTATTATAGTCTAGATCATCGGTGTGATATCCAACCAATTCAAGCGCCCAGAAGTCCACCGTCCCTTTTGTATTGCATTATCCTCTTTCTCATAACCCTCTTGAGTCTCAAGAACCGAGCTATAGGCTCCCTTAACTGAAATCGGCCTCAACCCGACCGTACCTAACCCCGTCAACCTTTAACTCAAAACCTAGACCCGCACTATCGACAATCATCTCAAGAGTGAAATCGAGGTTATCAAACTCGACTCCCCTCGTCGTTGTAAGGCGTGTGAACAGGCTTCTCGGAACAGCGTTGAGATCCGTGGTAAGCGTACATACGTGGACGAGGTCTCTCGTATACGCTTGTGGAGGCTCGTCGGCCTCACAGGCAATCAGGTCGTCAGTCACTATGAGAGACTGTCCGGGACGGAAATTCCGCGTGTAGTGAAACGCGATGGGAGACAAGGGCGATATAGCCTCTCCCTGTGACACGTCAGTAAGCGTATCATGAAAAGGGCAGTTTGGGACAGAAACGTACCTTGGCAATGTGCCACTGCATCCGGTCCGAAACCATCCACCTCTCCCACAGCGGAGACCAGTACCTCTCGCTGACCGAGTGCTTCTCCTCGTCAAACACGGTCGCGTACGATGTGCCGTAGTGCATTCTCGCCTTCCGCGAGATGACCATGTTGCCCTCCAGCCCGCGAAGCACCGCGCCGCGCACGACGGCCGTCCAGGCATAGACGGGCTGCATCACCTCTATGGAGCCCATCTCGTTGAGCGCTGTCGCGCTCGCGTGTGTCGGTCTCTCACTATAAGGAGGAGGCGCTGCACTTGTGAAATGTGATTTTAACCTCCGGTACAGGTAGTCGCTCTGACCAAAGCCTCCGACGAGGATTATCCCCGAAACGATACCGCCCTTGGCTCTAAGACTATCGACCTGGCCTTGCACGAGGTCGCAGACCTCCTTCACTACGGGCTCGAAGATGTCTTTTACTTGCGTAGCGCTCATGACCAGGAAGCCAGAGTCTAAGCCAATTTCCTCGTCGTCAGGCAAGCCGGGAAAGCTATCGCTATTAGCACGTCTTGCTGCTGACTGGAACAAGAATGACTTACGGGATGTTGACCTCCTGATGCTCGTCTTCGTTGAAGTTCCTCTTCACAAACTCTTCAAAGTAGCGCAGGCCCATCTGCCATGTCTTACCTTTCTTGACCTTCATCTCATCGAACCTACTCTGACCAAGCCGATTCTTCACATGCTCCTCGAACCGATAGTTCAAGAACGCACTTCCACACAGGCCACCGGTTCCGACCGCTGACTCCTCGACACGGAGCGGTTTTAGGGATATAATCTTGTATGCGATCAAGCTGTCCTCTGTTAGCTGCAGATCTTTTCACGCCCTCTTCTCAAGCCCATAAACTTACTCAACTGTGCCACCACCGCCGTCACAGACGATGAAGTTGTCGCCCACGTTGAGATGGTTTGGCTGAATCGCTTTTAGTGTGTACACAGCCGCGGCTTCAGGCTCGCTGATCATCTGTATCGAAGACTTGGCGCCCATGCCTGCCCTCTCGGCAGCCTGCAGCGTCGTGTTCTTCGCCGCATCAGACCACACCGCCGGGCAGGTCAGGACAAAGTCCACCTTCGTGGACGCCATGAACGACTCTCCGTACCTCCTCGTGAGGGTGTCCATGGTGTGCTTGTAGATCTGCGTGAGGTAGTCGCTCACGGCGTCGACGACCGTCTTGTTGTAGCGCTTCAGCTGCGCCGCCGTCTCCAGGGGGCTGACGTAGAAGGGGAGCTTCTGCGAGCGGTCGAGGAAGAGCTTGATGCATCGCAGCCGCGACTCCTCCGGCTTGAACTGGAAGCCCCATTTCACAGTGGGCTCGGTGCCGGTGGGCGCGTCCCCGGCCAGGTCATACGTTATCTCGGTGGGCACCTTGTCAGATGTGATACCGTTGCCGCCAGGCCATGTCTTGATGATCTCGATGTCGTCTGGGGTTGATGTGTAGACGGCGGCCACACTGAAAGTTGTGTCAGTACGATACAATAGGAATTAGTTCCCCGTCAAGTTGAGTCTCGTGCTTACTCAACACAACCATCCAATCAATGGTAGGGTAAGGACAAGAGGGATAAATGTGTCCATGTATAGTCAAGAGACGGCATTGGGGAATTATATCAACGAGGCGAAAGGCACGCACATACAAGGAACCATCAAACTTACCCAGAGAAAGTTGTACCAAAGTCCACGCCCACAATCAGCCGATCCGCGGCGGGCATCAGCTCCCGGATGGGTTCCCGGACCGGGCCATTGATGGCCTCGGTGGAGGAGGGCGGAGTGTAATTGGTGAAGTAGTTCCTGCTGTCCTGGTTCCTCCGGCTCGGCGACGAGCGGATGGGCAAGGTAATATTGCTCATCGTATCTTGTGCGCGCTCGCTCGTTCTCTCTCTCTCTTTCTCTTTCTTCTCACTTCGTGCACTGCCCGGGTAAAGGGGGGGTCAACGACTACCGTGGCCACACCCAACTTATCATGCCTATGAGGGAGGCCAGGCAGCTATATTCTCCCCCAGCACCAGCGCTTCCTCAGCGCGAGATCCAATCGGGAAGGAGAGAAGATGCGCTTGTTTTGAACGATAGTTTTCTCAGATGCAGACTTGATTCACTCGGCCGAAGTGAAGTGAAGTGAAGTGTCTCCGGGGGTATATGGCTTAGTCTTTGCTTTCTCAACCCTCGAATGTCAGGGGGAGGGCAGGCGGGCTGTTGCGTGCGATGTTTCCCTCGGCGGCGGGGTCACTAGACCCGTTCGCAACTCAACTCAACACAACTCAACTCAACTCAACTCAGAGAACGCGGGGCTGAGTGAGTGAGGCCTTTCTCTCTCCCTTGTTGTCGTCGCGAAGCCAAAGCGCGTTGGCTAATGCAGGTGCAGGCTTCTTATGATGGATGCCTTAGACGTGACGTCGCAGCATTACGTCGTCGGCAATGAGTACGAGGGGAATCTGGAATCTGGAATCTGTCTGTGGAATCGGGTGTGAATCCTTCCCAAGGATAAGGGTACAGAATATGGCTGCCTGTCACAGTGTCAGGTCAGCGCAGCGCAGCGCATCCAGCCCCGAGCCGGTAGTGGCAGGTCCGGCTCTTTGGACTTTGCAGCCCAAGCCCAGCACCGGCCGGATGGGTTAAGGTACTTTCAACTAAGTGGTAACTAAGACAGAGCTGCTGCAGCTACCGTTGCCCGCTACTCTCGCTGCACCTCAAATTGAACCTCAACTTGGCGGGGATGGCACGTGATAGATAGATCAATCCTGAGATGGGTTTCTCTCGATCCAAGGCAACACTGAGGAACATAGACGAGGTTGACAGCTCTTCCTTCCCATCTCTCTGAACTTCCTTTGATTGTCCAAGGCTCTGAAATGCACCTGTTACACTCGGCCGATAACCTTAGAGCACTCTGCCTCGTGCGGCGCGGCTAGATAGCTCAGCCACCACAGCCCGAACGACACAGCCGCCCAACGATTTTTTTGAACAGGAAATTCCACACCACATAAGTCGGCCCGCTTTTACGAGCTTCGGCTCTGAGATTTCTTCCTTTGGCGATTCTAGAAGATCCTCGGTGGATTGGACTGCATGACGCGGGCTCGGTGCCTCATGCCGACAGACTTGTAACTCTCGATGTAGGCGGAACAGTTTCACTTTCCGTGGTGGACGTGGGGCTCGGTTGTAAGCCTCCATGTCGAGTGTTCCATACTCGATCCGAAGTGCTCGTATACGTTCAGAGGTCAAAGAACATGTGCATATATCACGATAAAAGGCAATTGACAAGCGGTGGATCAGCGGTATATAAGCGTCTGGGCTACGCCACGTCTTTATTCATCCCCCGCCAACTTCTCTCTCTATCATCCGCGATTAGTTGTGGACTACGCGCCCAAGTAGATACAAGAGTCCAATTCTCTCTCTCCCATTCATCCCGATCCATGGTCAACCAGGGCGCCCCCGTTCAAAGATAAAGGAGATGATTCGACCCGGTCCCGAAGAGATGTGTGTTGGTCCAAGCCCGCTGGCCATACAGAGACTCGACTTTGCAAATATGTATTGGTATGTAAACCAGCTCCGTGACCGTAGAATGACAACCCATGACGTAGATCAAATCCTGATACAAGCCAGCCCAGTTCTCCCGCCTTGACAAGTGCCCGCTGAGGGCATTTTGCGGACGGGATAGATGGGTAGATCGACATAGTGAAAGCTGAATATTGAATTGGTGTGACCATGAACTTCTCCTCACCAAAGTCTAACAAATGAAAATGAAAAAATCTGTTCGGTCCGCGCTGCCAAAGGCTATATCTGCCCCTTCGAAGGTCGGCCGTTCAATCTATAATGGGGTATTGTTTTGACATTTGACAAACGCAACAAACAAAGGGATGAGTCCACCCTCGAGGGTGGCCCAATAAATTGGATGATTGAAACCAAAGATAAGTCTGATGGTGAAAATTTGAAATGCAGCCGACTGTGTCAAAATGATGGGCCGTTTGAAGGGTTGCCCACCGTAGCAGGTTCCGGCTGGAAAATGAGCGACGCAAAAATTCGATGAGGCGTATGCCATCCTCAACACCCAACTCCGTAATAATGAATGAATGACCTTGTAGAGACAATAACTTTTGTTACTAAACGCTCCAGAAAAAATGCCACCGAGTAATAATATCCTAGAATCGATTGCTGGCTGCCCAGATGCTGGCAGACGCCGACGCCGCCCACTCGCTCTCCTCATATGGGGGCGTGGGCCATTTGTACTCTGCAGTCTTCTTGTTCAAGTCCAGCGGCTTTGGGGTGACAGCTTCGTGGCCGTCCCCGAACAAAACAACATTGCCGCTGGCTGATGGTGAGGGTGTCGGATATGGGTTTGAGATGCCGATGTTGCTGGCAGACTGTCGCAATCCAGGCTTGCTATCCTTTTCGAGGCGTTTCATAGCACGGTGTGTCGAGTTAAGAACCTCATCCAAAAGCTCGTCTTCCTCATCGGGAGCATCATACTGGTACACGCCGTGAGTGGCCTGAGCTCTGCGAGTTCGGCTGGAAATGGGACCACCACCTCGAGCAGCACCGATGAGATTATCCACGGACCGCGGTTGGTGATGAGGGAGAGAGTGATGGCGTTTGAGATTGCTGTGGCTAGTGACCTGATGTGCAGGAGGGACCGGAGCCTGTGAATTGTCGATATTCTGGTGGACATTCCTCAAAGCATTATCCAGAGACTCATAAGTATCCTTTGCGACAGGCGGTGGCGCCTGCTGGTCAATAACCATAGATGACCTGTTGCTGGGGAACGGACCGCATCCCGCCTGTGCTTCGACATCGTCATAGCTGGGCGAGACTGGTGTCTGGTGACGACCAGAAAACCTCCTCGCTCTTTTCCGCAGATGAGAGAAGAAACTCTCCTTGTGAGCGCTTGGCGGTGACGCTAATCCTGTGTTACCATTGAGGGCCCTCTCAGCTTGCTGCCTGTGAATCTCGGCGTAGTGGTTAGTGCTTGAAGCAACCGACAGCTGACGACCAATCTTCTTGGACGCCTTCTCCTCGACAGCAGCGACTCTGTGTGAACCATTGGCGTATGAGTCATTGTATGAAGGAGCTCTGTTGCTTGCTTGAGCGGTCACCGCGTCAGATAAAGGTGAGATGGGGCGAATCGTCGGCAAGATAGGCATAGGAGCCACATTGGATGGGCCGTTTGTCCATGTTGTGCGTTTGCCGGCAGCCGGGCGTACCTTGGGAGGCGCAACTTCAGACGCAACATGAATCGGCGATGGCCGAGCAGCAACAGGCTTCTCAGCCACAGGTTGAATCGGCGCGCTTTCAGTAGACTCTGAGCGGCCGATGAGAGACTTCCTGAACCAGGATGGCTTTGATGCGGTAGGTGTTGTCGAGGCAGAGTCCTTTGAGCTGCGACCAAGATCAGATTGCTTGCGGCCCAAAATTCTTGAAGCCGAAGACTTCGGTCGCAGCGGGTCAACAGCGTCAGTGAAATACTCGTGTGCTAGAGCTTGAGTTGAAGTTGGTCGGTTCTTGGGATCCCACATCAGACACCAAGTTACGAAATGGCTCAGTGATGCAGGCCATTGCGGAGCCTGGAGAATTGTGTCCATCGCATGGGGCGCCATCTTGGGGAATGAAAAACCTAGCTTTCCAGCAAGCCTAGTGCCTTCTCTCCAGTCTCCACCACCAACGCGAACACCGGTCTTGTTGTACCAATTGCCCGGGCTGCCCATGATCTCACAGACTCGCCAGACTTGGTCAACTTCGTTGCCACCAGGGAATAACGGTTTTAGTGTGGCAACCTCGACAGCCATAGCACCAACGGCCCAAATATCCACTGGTGCGGAGTACTCTCCAGCTCGCAGCAGGACTTCCGGTGCTCGATACCACCTTGTCGAGACGTAAGTTGTGTATGGCAGCTTGGAATGCGTTTCTCTAGCTAGACCAAAATCTGCTATTTTGACGGTATAGCTTGGGGGTGTGGAAGGAGGAGTGACCAACGCTGAGTAACGTCTGAATGAATTGGTTGTGTCTTGATGAGATGATGTAGATACCAGAATATTTTCTGGCTTGATATCGCGGTGGAAAAAGCTGTGGGCGTGAATGTGCTCCAGGCCTTGCATAATCTGGAATAAGATGCTCTTAACGCTTCCATTGTCTAAGACCTTGTGGTCTCGCGCCTTCATCAGTTGGTAGAGATTCCCTTCCATATACTCCATGCAGATGTGCAGCTTTTTGCTGAAAGGATCCAAGAAGATGTCCAAGGCAGGAACAAGATGTTGGTGAGCAGGTAGAGTCCTCAGAAAGACCACCTCGCGAAGTTCGAGACATGGTGTGAATGAGTCGAAGGTCTTCTTCATGGTCTTGATGGCAATCTGGAAGGCCACAGGTGTCAAACCTTGCACTACTCAAATAAGGTGAAACAAACTTACCACTGTGCCTCTTCGAGCAACGCTGGCACCGGCACTGCGTACTCTTGCTAGGACGACACTGCCGAAGCTTCCATCGCCGATCTCCTTCAAAACCTCGAATCTATCCTCCAGGGCCATTCCAGTCGTCGCCTGCGGGGTCGACAAACCCCGATGGGTCAAGTCATGGGCGACAGTCATCGTGGTGAGGCGTATATTCCACTCAGGATCCAGATCCAAAAGTGAGTAGTTGTTCCTTCGAGATGACCAGGTGGTACTATCGTAACGGGTGAGCACCAATTCAATACCAGAGCATTACCACGCTATGGTAACTGAGTTGGGCCACGGAGAAGCTCTTCTACAAGAGCCTGAGGTCGTCACGGGTCATCCAAGTCGGCCAGCGGATTGGTAGAAGTGTCGTCGGTACACACAAGGTGTGTTATGTTGCTGCCGAGCTGTGAACGATAGTATCGGGTGGCTCTGAGGGAAGGACCTATATCTGGGATGGACGCAAGGGAGGGAAACCAGGACCAGGACGAGAAAAGAGCGAATGGACTCGGAGGTAAAGGAGAGAATAGTCGTAGGGACGATTAAAAGGGTTTGAGCGTTCAGGGACGGACCAGAATATTGGGTGCGGGTCCTGTTCGATCTTCCGGGGGTATGACACGGGACCTTCGCGTGATATGCTCCCGGCTAGCGTGAGATGCAATTATTGGAACAAATGAATGGATCCCAAGTGATTAGTTGACCTGGGTCATTTCAGGAGAGTAACGATGCGGAGGGGTTGAAGAGAGTGTGTTGCGCCGTGAAGAGCGCCGAGAGAGAGTGTGTGTGTGAGAGGGAAGGAAGGGGACCTTTTAGGAGCGCGCGGACGATGGTTCCTGATTGCTGGGAGATGGCTTGTCGATATGCTTTACACCTTGGACTTGACTTGTCGCAGTGGCGCAAGGGGTAACGGGGAGCGGGAAACACAGGCCAAGGTGTTTAGGGAGGAGAGGAACCAGACAGCCCAGCTAATGTTCCATATGGAAATGGGATATGGGCACCTGTTCCAGCTCCTATTGTTGATTTGCCGTTGGGGGGAGGGGAGGGATGGATTGATGCTGATGGCCGCTCAAGGGGAGCGAGAGAGAGAGAGGCCGGGACCTTAGCATGAATGAAAGAAGCTGGGGGTCCAGGGTCGATAGGGGGTACCAAATCTCGCTAGTGATTCGGGCGACAACGTCGCCTTGAAGGGCAATTTGCGCCTTCGACCGGGGTTTGAGCCTGAGAGCTTAGAGGGAAAAAAAGGTGACCCGCTCAAGCTCGAGCCCACTGCGTAATAATAAGATTATCGAATGCTTCCACGGGCGATGGAAGCCGATTGTTGGCTGGCGATGGGGCCCAACACTTGGACGTCGAGTATTGTACTGTACTGTAGAGTAGAGTAGAGGAGGCCCTCGTCGATTCGAGTGTTGCGACTTGGGAGAGGGTCCGCAAGGGCCGGTGTCCGGTCAGGAATGACAGAGAGACGGGAGGACAGGCCAGGCCTAGGAATTTGGGGAGGGCAGCCTTTCAGTGAGTGCTGGTTGCTGGGCCGGCCTCGACCTATACCAACACTACAACGACGACGTCTAAAATGCGTGTGTCTTGTCGGCGAGGTGATGAGGTGATTGGACACGACTGCCCAGGCCCTTTATGAGGTTGGCATTATTTATTCTCTATTCTTATTTGAAGCATGGAGTTGAGGGAGGAGGAGGAGAAGAAGAAGAAGAAGTGGGAGACAACGAGGACGGGCGGAACAACGGCGAGTGGACGTCAGAGGGAGTATTGTTGCCCTGCGATGGGGGGGGGGATGGGGGCACCATCCTGTTGTTTTGCTGGCAGCGCAGCAGGCCAACGCTGGTTCGGGACTGCACTGTACCTGTACCAGGCATTTCAGTGGCCAGGTCCCAGCGAGGGAGAGACTCCGTGAAGCCTTATTCGACGGTGCTGACAGTTCAGTCCCATAAGCCTGTTAGGCGGGCACTAGGAAGTCTTCCGCGACACCACGTATCACCAGCATCTCAACCAATAGGACCATATCCTCGGAGTAGCGGTCTAACACGACGCCAGGGATGACAAGTACCTACGGACCTCAAATGTAGGAGGTGAGGTACCTCCCTTGATACCTACTGCGTAGTGACCTACTTGGGGTACCTGCCGCCTTTACTTTTCTCGCCTCAGGTCTCCAGGTCCTGCTTACGGACCCGGGACAACCTTAGCTCTCTCTGATTAGTGCAGGTCGTGTCATGCCTCTGCCTCAGCAGCGTGCACCGCTGGTCCGCTGGTACGGGCACAGCCTAACAAACACGCGACTTCTCACAGGCGCATACTATGCAGTAAGGCTCTGGACTGCACTGCAGTGGAGTCGGGCGATGCGATTTCTATTGCCTTGAACGTTGTAGGGAGGCTCGGTAGGTTTCTCGAAAGGGACGAACCGGAGCGGCATGGAGGCTGTACTTTGCTGCGATGCGAGCGATATTTTGAGAACTGCGCATGCCTCCTCCGTTTGCTAGAAGCACTGATCCAGCGACTGATCCAGCACATCCGTCCATCAGATGGAGCACCATTCTCCTCTCTTTTCTTTTTTTCTTCGAGCCTGAAGTGGAGCCACAGTCCGTGAATCCCTTTTTGGGGAGCAGAGCTTCTGCTAAAATGGTTAAGGGCGAAGTGACCTGGGTGCTGCTCAGGCACAGAGGGATAAAATGGCTACGCATAAAAGTCACTAGCCAAGGGTAGCTCCGTGCCCTTGTGAGGGTATTGTAGGGTACCTTACCGCGTATGAGTCGGATACTCCAGCACCAACATGGATGGGTCAGGAACAATATCTGGGATTCTGGGGGCCTTACTGCTTAGGTAAGGTATGCTTTCTGCGCATCACATCGACCCCACCAGTAAAAGGGGCAGGAAAGATGTGTGCCAGTGATGGAGGGCAACATGACGGCGACACCTGTGACCTGAGCGAGCCATCCTGGGGGCGTGTGCGAGCCTGCACACTGCACAGTGCACACAACCTTCTGCGCGAGCTTCGTGCAAAAACAGGAAATCGTAGACACCGTAGACACCGTAGACACCGGTACCTCTTCTCAGTCAGCTACAGCCTACAGACTGCAGTACCGGTAGGACCGGACAATCATCCTCCATCGCGGTCACGTCAAGTCGCCCCGGGAATCGTGGCTCGGCCCCTCCCAAGCCTGCAAATGGCCTTTCAGCGCATGCTGCCACGGTGCCACCTCAGACTTGCATGCAACGATGTGCAGGTACATTTCCCTGTTTGGTGCCTGGATATCGGGCTAGCTGATTCGCCTGCACAAAAATGGAAGACTGGACGACGCCCGCCAGGGGCATCTTGGGGCATGCTGCAGCCCCCCTTCGAGAAAAGCTGGGTGTCACGTCTGCGCGAGAGCGGCGGGTGAGGTCTCGAATCTCAGCCCTCACATCAAGCTACTTTGACACCCATCGTGCTGGGTGTGGTAGAAGAAGTAACTTTGGGCGCCACCTGTTATAATGATACCTTCCGGATTCAAGCCATACTGCGCAGGTTGGATGCCCGCCCCTGGGATGCCTGCCGCTAGCCGGTCGGATTCTTGGACGGCAGTTTCCTGTCAGAGGAAGTATCCGTGACCATTGGAGCATCGATGTCTGATTTAGCCTCTGCAAATGGCTGACTAGGTACCTCAAGTCGCACCAAAATCACGTGCGGCTCTAAGTCCAGAAGGAGATCACTGATTCCAGCGCTGGGATGGATTGGTAGACGGTACCAGACAGCCATGAGCCTAAAAGTACCTACCGCCTCGTCCCGTAGCGGAGCAGAAGCATGGCTTTCGCAGCTCCACCGAACGTGTTTGGGCCGCGTCTCTGCCAATTCCCTTTGACACAGGCGCGAGCTTGAAACCGACCGCAGGGAGAATGAGTGAAGTAAAAGACTACTTGCGCAAAAGCAACGAAATGCGGAAGAACTGACGTCCCGCACAAATCGCTTTACTTGAAACGGTGCATCGCAAGCCATTCTCGCTCGCCAGACTTATCGACTGTTCATGTCACTGATAAGAGCCGATCGGCACGACTTTCTACATCAGCGAGGAACAGAGCCATCCGCATGACATCTCTGTTCTGCCGTTTGTTGACTGCGGCAATGATGGAGATCATCGCTTGCCGTTCTCTTTCCATCAGACACCGAGATAGGTATATTCGGCTTTCGAGATACCTATGCTTGAATCGCTATTCCGTGGCCGAAAGGTCTTGAGACGAGCCCAGTTTAACTCGGAATACTCCATGCCATGCAAGTGCATATCTCCGCAACTTCAAGCAAGCAGGCTCATAAACGCCATCGTGTTATAGTGTTTGGACCTCAGAGGGCATTGGCTGGCTTTTTCCGTAGACTACATCTGTAGGCATCTCGACAGCGCCATCATTAGCATGATGAGGGTCGAGTCATGCCTATCCTGACTCGGCCAAAGCGACTCGTTGCAAAACGAGACCGTAAACACGATGAGGATTTGCCCGTCGGCAAATCAACGGCTGGTCTTGCCTTGTTTTGAAGCCTTCGCCGGCCAGCCAAACAGATTCCCCCGCCCGCGCGGACCAAAATCACGACCTTTATGCACCCAAGCTCAAGACTATTGGACGCCCAAGATGTGACTGTCACTGCGACCCAGCATCGAAGGCATTGACCCTCGGTACGATGTGACATGCGCAAATGCCAGCCAGCCAGCCCCACGGACCCCTCTGGTTTGAAGTGTTTCCAACCCCTTTACCTGTGCATCAGATATCTTCTGTGACAATGCTCGACCTGGGTATCCTATCATGGTTATCCTTATCAATATCAATCAGTGTGGGCCAACAGGGCGCCCATGGCTTAGGTTCGAGAAGGAGCCCCATACCTTCCATGACATCGCCGGATCGCTTATTGCCATAAATTCACAGCATTCCATCTAAAAACTGCATATATGGGGCTGAGCGGCGACGACCATCGTTCCTATAGTGACCTCGATATTAGGCCACGCGTTGCATAAGTCCTCTGTCATGCCAGCAGCGAAGAAGATGGTTAGACTTTCGACTCTTTGGATGACTTGCACCGAAAGAATGCAGTAAGACATTGTTAAAGTCCTTCTTTCCCTGGCATATTCACGCAGCATGGCTGCAAAGCCGGTGCGATGTGTCCACAACATTACCACGTATCAAAGATGATGGTGAGAGGTCAGTATCAGTAGTTAGGAAATACTTATTACCTCCCGGTAGTAAGCAGCTAGTACCAGCTATTGCCTCCCTACCTCCAGTCGATTGATATCTTGACAAGGAAGACCGTAAGAGGTTACTCCTACGAGGAAGGAGGTAGGGGTGGTCCTCACTGATTCTCATGAAGGTGGCAATGTTGCTATGAAGTGAATGACCTTCACAAACCAAACAGTACTCGTTAATTATTGACTTAATCCTCCCAACGACCGTGGGTTCTATATCATTATACACAAATCCACATGTGACAGCTACTTTGTCTGACAACCGGATGAAAGGGAGGATGTATGACCTCTCAGGCTCTCTAGTAAACTCGAGGTCCGAAATGAGGTCGCCACAATCGCTCATGAGTTACCTTGGGAACATCGTAGTCATCGGGGTCGTCCATCACAGGTTCCACTGTCTCTTCTCCAGGCCCCTCATCGTCTTCCTCCGGGGGACCAAAGTGATACACAATCTCATCCGAGGCCGAACCTCCAACGGTCACATCCTTGTGTGCACTGCAATCCGGGTCGACCAGCACCTCTTGGATCACACCGCCGTATTGAGCCTTTCCAATCTCTCTCAGGCTCTCGCGCATGGCCACGGCCATGCCCACACTAGCTTTCTTGACGCAGCCAATGCAGTATAGCAGACGGCGCGAGAGACGACGCGAGTCCATGTCTTCGACCAATTCCATCTCACGGTCGAACGGGCATGTCTCGCCCGGGGCGGTGTAGATGATGCCCCAATTGCCGTGACCCCGAAGCGCAGTGATTGTCTTCATCTTAGCATAGACAAGCGCAGGCATCTGGGTGCAGGCTCTGGCAAAGGCCGTCACGAGAGGCTCGAGCATCTCCCAGTCTGGCTCGGCGCGAAACTGCCTCTTCGTTCCGCGACCGGTCACCTCCTGCTCTTGGTTCTCGTCAAAGGTATGGCCGCTCATATCGAACCACCGAAGCCGGTTGCCTGTGGGGTTTGGATGACCGAAAAGGCGCTCGTTCTGCTCAGCGGTCATGGCTATCATCCCCGAAAAGTCATGGGGATGGTAGCCAGGAGGGACCTCTCTCCAAGTCAGCCATGGCGACTTTGTATGGTAATCCTTTGGAGTATTCTCGGCACGATGTCTGCCACGACCATTGAAGTAATAGTTGCCCCGAGGGGTCAGACAGTCGAAGTAGATGCTCAAACGCCTCAAGTTCTGCCAAAATGGCGTCGGATCAACTTGTCCCATCGGCCAGAGCAGGGATGGGTCGGCCAAACCAGTGTAGCTGAATTCAGCCACCTGGTCGGTGAAATGCCGGAGGCCACCACAGACCGGATCCCATTCCCAAGGGCTAACGAGATCGGGGCCAATCCATGCTTGATCCTTCGGAGAATCGTGCTTCAATTCGATTGCGACTTTTGCGTGACGGCTCATGGTATCGTCGAATAGGTCTTGAGCGAGATGAATCCGGTTCCATCGACGCAACGCGATGTAGTGGCGCTCGTCATCTGGAAGAACAAGATCTATCATCTTGAGATTCTCAAAAGCTCCGACCAACCTGATCATGGTGCCTGGGCCGACGTTCCGATGCCCAGTATGCACTGTTAAGCGACTGATGCATGGAGGCGGTGCGATGACCTTTGGATCGATGATAGGGATGTCTAGATACGAGAATCGGTACCGTCTTGTGTTGAAAACACTCCTCCAGTGAGTGACCTGCGTGGTCCCGTTGTTCCAGGTCACCGTATAGCTATCTGATGGCGAGCAGATGTCGTTGATAGTGAAAGACATCTTCGGGCAGACCTGCTCGTCGCCCTCCGTCAACTGATTCAAACACTTGAACAGCCTTTCAAGTGCCGACGCGAAGATCTGGCTGTTCAGCTTGCGGTCCAGTGCAAACTCGAACACCAGCCTCCTTGCTGGAACATACTCGGAGAGTAGTATGTCCAGCCTGAGGGCCTTCAGGTAGCCGACCCGCTCCCGCGTCATCACGTCAATGAAGACGACGGGACGGCCGCGCTGCCCGTTTCGCTGCATCTCCTCGAGGAGACCAGCACGGTCTGTCTCATCGATAGCATCGCTACGGATGCTCAGCTCCCGGAATGTCTGCGGCTCGACCGCAAGTTGGAACCTGCGGCAAGTCGCCGCGAGACAAACCCTGACCGGGCCGCGCCGGACAAGGCCCGCGATCCGATCAAGGATCTCCGGTGGGAGATCCAAGATGGATCGCGTTTCCGACGCGTTGATCTCAGCCTGTACACGGTTCGTCAGTCACATCATCACGTCGGTGAGGGCAATATGAGGATCAAAACAGACGGGTGTGCTTGAGTTCTAGCTATCCATCGCCAGCTAGTCCACCCCGATGGGCGCCGTTAGGCGACCCCTCAGGGGCGGTAGCTGGCCGATAGAAGGCTGGAGATAAAAGTTGGAGGATGAAGGAGAAAGAAGGTTAAAGGAGAAAGAAAATCTTTTTACTTACCATCTGCTTTAAGTAGTGAATACTGTGGGTAGTGTCCACGGTTCGGGGAGGGTGTAGTGATGCTTCTAGAAGACCTCTCTCACGGCCCGTACAAGAACCAGGGGGGCCAGCAGTGACACCTGTAGAGTATGTGCAACTGGAATCTGCACGGGAACACTTGTAGAGTACCTAAGACTGAACAAACCAAAGTCTGATGGCAGTTCAGTGACAAGGAAGTCTTGATGAAGAGAAGCAGTTGAACAACGGCTTTGTTTGATCGTGCTTTGTGGGTACAAGTGGTTGATAAATAGAGCGTACGATCTCCTGAGACTGTAGCTCCGGTCTTGAATAAGTAGAGAACACAGGAAAGTGTCGAGAGCGCGTAGATGCCAGCTTTAGGAACAACAACGCTGTGTCTCGGCGATCAATGGATCTCCTCTTGAAGGTTGATTGGGTGGGCAGTAGATGCTATGGCTCGAAGAAGACAACGGAGGCGATGCCCTCAGCCCTTGACACAGATGAGTTATGAAGGCTCTCGGGGCAGAACGTCGATATACTGTAGGGTTTCGTAGTACCGTTATGGATATGTCATGTAATGAAGTAGTATGAAGATGGAATGATGGCAGAGATGATGAGGATGGGTATGAGTGAATAGGAAATAGGGTGATGAAGGGCAAAGCTCAAGGGAGGTAGTGATAGCTTTGATGGTGAGTTCGCGTCTGTCGCGTAGGAGATGGAAATGCACTGTCAACAAAGGTAGGGCTAACCCCTGTGTAAAGCGGCGTCCCTCCACAACACCTGAGATTATTCCAAAACAACACAATGCAGCTATGAAGAACTCCCTTCAAGCTGGGGAAGATAGAAACCTAATCATATAAGCCCAGATACTGTCGTTTCTTCCTGACAGACCCAATTCTCAGCTGATAAATGCTTCGACTGCCCGTTTCAGCCGCGTCACTTGATGCTGCCCAGGCCAACTGGCACTGGCTATATGAGGGGCTTTTCTCATCACATTCTCTGAATTGCAAAGAGAAGCCCGGCAACCCAGATCTCATGACCGAAATTAATACCTCGGTCCGTCTTCTCTGGTGTCTTCTAAGATTGACGAACAGAAACATTGCTGACTTGCGTACAGGTTGAGATATTGAGACCAGTCTTCACATAACTAACAAGGGGTTCATATTACCTCTGTTTCTGAAGCTCAATTTTCGAGGACAAACTACCAAAAGCGACGAGAAGATGTACTATGGTTGAGCTCATGATAACGTTCATCCAGTCCTCAACCAAAGTACAATGGCCAGGACTTCCGTGACCAGTACCAGTAGGAGATATTCCTTCAAGAGTTGAGAGATGCCCTATGAAAGACAGCAGACAACTAATTTCAACGTTAGTATACAAGCTAAAGCTGGTTCCTAGCCCCCAGCGTTACCGATGTAGCTCAATGAGCATTGCCAGATTTTTGCGGGTGGTATAACATGTATCCAATGAAAAGAGTGTCTGATCTCGATATACCATGAGAAACAAGATAACTTGACCATGCCGTCGAAACTCAGCAAAACAGCAACGAGAACGATAAGAGTAGTTGCTAAACGACACCTTTAAGCTCTTAAGCCTAGCTTAAGCAGATATGGAAAACGTTTTCGGGGGCTAGGTTGGAGCGGAAACCTGGGGCTTGGAAACTCTGATGGGAAATACCAGCCAAAGCACTCTAAGTACTCTGAGCACATAAAGAGAGCAAAAGTTGTCTCTCTATGACTTCCTTGAAGTTTTATACAAAGGCTCAATTGAGCGGTTCACCATGCTTTATGAAACACTGGCACCCTCTGTAGAGAGAAAACCAATTGTTCAGAATCTGGACAACTAGACTAGGGAGGGTAGACTTGCAACCTCGGCAAAGAAATGCTATGACAATCTTGTACACAGAATTCTTGAAGTTGTGATGATTCCTCGGGTTTGCGAGACTTGAGGGTGTCAAAGGCCTTGAGAGTTGAGGCTCAACTCACTGGGGTGTCTGCAATTGTCGTTATTAGTAATTAGCAGTGGCCAAGGTACCTTGCTGTTCTGTGAGTTTCTCCGTGAACTCTGCTGGGCAAATCACAGGCCGCTTGTGCCTGGGGCAAGTTGCTCCCGGAGATAAGCCGCTGGCCAGGTGTGCCAGGCTGGAGCTTTGAAAGCTGCGGGGGCCTAATTTAGCGTGGTCAGAGCTGTGGCTCCGTACCAGATAGTCTTTCAGGTGCCCTCCATCATTTCTAGGTAATCTATTATCAGCCGCGTCCGGTCCTACACATCTAAACCCACCTACCTCGAACCTCACGACCACACACACCCTTTCTCCTACCGGATCTGCTGGTAAATCGAGAACCCTACAAGCTTGTCAGTGAAACACAGTGATCTGACAGCCCAGAATATTCGTGCAAAAGCTGCGATATTGTAGGGTTGGGTATTGACAGCAGCCTGACGGCGACGTGGGGCTCAACATTTGAGCTGTTGTCGTCAAGATGAATTCAGATGAGCAACCACCGGCGCAGCCATCCCTCCCAGATGCGCCTGACCAGGAGACTATGGAGGCAATCCGGAGGAGACGTCTAGAAAAGCTTGGATCGGCCACATCATCAAGTCCAAAGCCAGAGACGGCCGATAACGCCAGCTCTCCATCCGAGGAGCAACGGCCAAAGATCAATATCCGCCCCGCGCCGTCTTCGACCGCCACCCCGACTCCAGCGACGGCTTCCACTTCGACGCCGACACCAAACTTACAAGCCAATATTGAGACAAAGTCTGCAGGAAACAACGAGCAAGCAGCAGGTAGAGACACCATAAACTCGAAGAAGAGATCCGCGATAGTCGTTAATTCCTCGTCAGCAACCCCTCCACCCGCCCGTCGCCCTCACGTCGAGTCACACGAGGACTGGATGGATAAGATTCTGAATCACATCTTCCGTGTGAGCGTCGACGAGAAGCGGCTTGTCGACGTCCATGGTCATAAGCTCTCTTTGCTGCCCAACCTCAGCGAGGAGCTGAAAGACCAGGGTGCCCCGCTGAGACTCACAGCCGACGTTCTCGACTCGGCCATTCTCGAGGCCTGCAGCGCAATCCCTCACGATAAGCCGATCATGGATTACCTCCTTCCTTGCTGGAAGCGAGTTGTTGCGGCAAAGAAGAACATGAGAGTTTCGACTCCACAGAAGGATGAGGTTTTGGCAGAGGCTCGACGGCTTTGCATGGCGTACTGCATCTTTGCACTCACTATGCCCGATCTATTCAGGTATTTTTGTCGTATGCATGGGGAACCTTGGAAACTGACCCTTGGCCAGTCGCGAATCGAGTGATTCAATCGTGCCATACCTCCTCAAGGACCTTGAACACGAAAGCGGGATTGGTCTGGACTTCATATCGGACGCTGTTGCACGCTTTGAAGACGATGACAGTATCCCGGGTATCTTCACCAAGGCAATGGTAGATATCAGCGCCAAACTGTCAACCCTGACCATGAACGATGACTACAAACCTTATGTCAATGTATGTTGCCCCAACCACCAAGACCAATACAAGGTGTACTAAATCTGTAGGCCCTAATCCTCTACTCCAAATTCCCTGCGCTACTGAATGCTTTAGCTCAACATCCGTGTTTCCTCATGGCTCAGTCAGCCCCTGGCATAGAGAAGCATACTGTTCTCGGTCCCTTCTTCCGCATATCGCCCCTGCAAACGGAAGTCACAAGGGCTTACTTCACTGGGCCAAGAGTCATGGAGAAAACTGCTGTCAAGAACGCTCAGAATGCACTGCAGATCACTATAACTGCGCACCAGATGGATCTTAGAGGGATCATCAATGCGTTCATTCGCGCAAGTATTGACACCCGAAACAAGGTCTTGGACTGGTTTGCATATATCATGAACGTCAATCATAAGCGACGAGCCATTCAGGTTGACCCGAAGGAAGTATCCTCAGATGGGTTCATGATGAACGTGACGGTCATTTTGGACCATCTATGCGAACCTTTTATGGACTCGACCTTCTCCAAGGTTGACAGAATCGATGTGGACTACTTCAAGCGCAAACCTCGAGTCGATATCAAGGAAGAGACTAAGCTCAATGCTGACCAGTCTCACTCTGATACCTTCTACAGCCAGAGCGTTGACGGGAGTTCTAATTTCATCTCGGAAGTGTTCTTTCTGACATTAGCTGCTCATCACTATGGGAGCGAGGCTACCAATTCCAAGTTGAAGAATCTTGATAGAGATATCAAGTTCTACGAAAAACATATCAGGCAGATGGAGGCTGAGCGTTCCAAGTTCTTGAGCAACCCATCCCAGATGGCCCTATTCGAAGTCAGTCTCAAGCGACACACAGATGTTCTTGAAAAGTCCATGTCTCTCAAGTTCGCTATCGAGGGTGTTCTCTTGGATGAGAAGATGCAGGGCCGGTCTCTTCAGTTCATGAGATACGTCGCTGTATGGTTGCTCCGAGTGGCCAGTCAGTCGGATTATAAACCGGACAAGCCTCTTCGTCTTCCGTTGCCGGCTAAGCAACCTGATGCTTTCAGTTGTCTTCCAGAGTATGCCTTACAGGACGTTGTCGACAACTTCAAGTTTGTCTTCAGATTCGTCCCGCAGATCATCTTATCGGCAGTTGGGGACGAGATGATTGCGCTCTGTGTGACATTCCTCGAGTCTTCTGAATATGTCCGCAACCCCTACCTCAAGTCTACCTTGGTCACGCTCCTGTTCTCAGGCACATGGCCCGCATATCATCTCCGTAAAGGAGTGCTGGGCGATGCGTTGACAGGTACCAAATTCGCGAACGACTACCTCTTGCATGCTCTTATGAAGTTCTATATCGAGGCCGAATCCACTGGAGTGCATACGCAATTCTATGACAAGTTCAACATCCGCTATGAGATTTTCCAGATCATTAAGTGTGTTTGGTCGAATGATTTCTATAAGGAGCAGCTTGCAAAGCAGAGCAGGTATGGATCATCTTGCTATGTTCTATGTTTTTGATGTTAATTTCTCTTTGAATAGGACTGATCGGCAATTCTTTGTCCGGTTCGTCAATCTCCTGCTGAACGACGCAACCTTCGTGATGGACGAGGCACTGGGCAAGTTCCCAAAAATTCACGACTTACAACAGGAATTACGTGAGAACCAGAGCCTATCACAACAAGACAGGCAGAAGAAAGAGGAAGAACTTCAGTCTATCGAGTCAACGGCACAGTCATTTATGCAGCTGGCGAATGAGACGATCGCCATGATGAAGCTGTTCACTAAGGCGTTATCCGGGCCTTTCACAATGCCTGAGATTGTTTCACGACTGGCTGGTATGCTTGATTACAACCTTGATACACTAGTCAGCCCCAAGAGCCAGAACCTAAAGGTTGAGAATCCCGAGAAGTATCACTTCAACCCAAGGACGCTTTTGCCTGACATTGTCGACATTTACCTAAACCTCGGTGGTATCGAGAGCTTCGTAGAGGCAGTGGCCTCTGACGGTCGTTCCTACAAGCCCGAGACGTTTGATCGCGCATCGAACATCATGGGTAAGCGAGGCCTGAAAGCTCCGGATGAGCTTCAGGCCTGGAGCGATCTTAAAGCCCGCATTGCCAAAGCAAAGGAGGTTCTTGACCAGGCTGAAATGGACTACGGAGAGATCCCCTCCGAATATGAGGACCCCATCATGGGTGACTTGATGAAGGATCCCGTCATCCTTCCCTCGCATAACATTGTTGACCGCTCCACGATCATTCAGCACCTTCTTTCCGACCCGACGGACCCGTTCACTCGCAGCAAGATGAGCATTGAGGACGTGCAACCCGCCACAGAGCTGCGAGAGCAGATTGAGGCATGGAAAGCGGAACGTGTTGCCGCCGCCAAAGCTAAGGCGATGGCTGATGTGATGGATACGACTGAGGGCTGAACAAGGCCTATTTTTGTCGAAGACGTGATGATTCTAGAATAGATGCATTTCCATTGTCAAGGAACCCAAGGGACGGTTGCATCGGTGCGCAATGGCGTTGGGGATTTTTGATCTTTGATCTTGGCCTGTGCAGATACAATGATTTACACACGGCTAGCATTGATCGTCTGCGAGCTACCCCTAGCTAGAGACAATTCTTGTGTAGCTCGATAGAAACCATAGTGTATGAAATAATAACCAATGTCTCACCTTTTCCGGTCTGGGGCCAAGCGAGACATGAACCCTTGGAACCTAGGGATGTCCAATGGAGCCAAAATATTTGAGTGAAGGAAGGGCGAGCTTCAGACATTTCACATATCATATCCTACGGAGAGCGACATGAAACTGTATCCTATCCGGGCTGGTCTGCATCTTTGTTGTCGTTTCAGCGCGACAAGTAAACAACAGCTGTGACACGGCATACGCACGGCGTCATGTGCATGTTTGCTTGGTGGTGGCAGCTTCAGGATGGATACCTGATTGTGGGGTGCTTGGAAGATGCTCGCGTGCCCAATCAGTGCATGGGTTTCAAGATAGAGTGGCGGCCTACCTCATGACCCATGCCAGGGCGACCTAATCAGTGAGCCAGGGCAGCTGGGAACAAGTGCCTACCTACCTACAGTAAGCGTGCTAGGTATGCGCAGCTACGGTACCTTGGGCCCGCTGCATTAAAACACTATCGTCACTGATGATTCGCCTGGATCTAGATCAATGCTTCCAGCCCACACCACCACCTGTCCTAATTTAATGCCACCAACGCCCATCTCCCGTCTTCTCCTGCCCATTCCAATGCCAGACTAGCCCTGTCCTGCATAAGAACTCTGACCTCACACATTTTCCGACATCTTCGCCAGACGATGCTGCTCAGCCAGCGGTATCAAAAGCATCAGCAGCAGCAGACATGGACGTCGAGTCTGCAGCCCCGCTTGAGCGCTCCGTCTCGCAGCAGTCTGCTGCCTCGGCGAGGAGCCATCGATCCGCGACGGTGCGCAAGCGAGGCAAACTGACCTCGCAGCCCTCCAGCTCGGCCTCGTCCGTCGCCGCCTCCGACAAGTCTCTGACCTCGTTCCCGTCCTTCGCCCCGGACTCGCCCCGGGAGGAGCGCCCCTTCACGCCGGACACCTATGACGGCGCCACCCTCGCCTCGCGCAAGTCGCCCGATCCGCAGCCCGCGGTCACCTCGATCGTCGCCAGCCTGACCACCTCCAGCCCGCACCCGGTCCGGGCCCGCAGCGCGCTGTTCGAGGACACACCGATCGCCACGACCAAGGTGCCTGGTGCGCTGCATCACGCGGATGATGAGCACATCAGCCGCCTGATCGCAAGGCAGGGGGCGGTGAGTCTGGTGCGCCAGATCGCAGAGGACCTTGCGCATCGCGATGCACAGATCGCCACGATTCGCAGGAAGGCAGACGAGAGGGAGCGAGCACTGAGAAAGATCATTCTGGAGTGTGGGCTGTCCAACTTGGACCTGGAGACGAGGCTGCGGACGATCGAGCAGGAGGCCAAGACAAACGGACACAATAGGCAGGTGTCAGACCTGGTCAACGATGCCATGGCAGACAGCTTTATGCAGGGCTACGGAAACAGCGACGTAAATGATGCGACAATACGGGCTAGGACGTCCTCACCTGCAGCAGATGCGGACAATAAAGGGACTACCAGAGGGTGGAAGGATTACCTCTGGGGAGGTGGCACGAGCAAGAAAAGCAGCCGTGCGAGTAGTATCAACGGCGATACCAACAAGGACCAGCAGACGGTCATCAGAGCTGGACCGCCTGGAGACCGTCGCCCAACGCTACAAGAAGATCTATTCAAACCGCCGGAAGTTGAGTCTATCAGGAGTTCCAGCCGAGCTTCCAGCATCCATTCAGTACAGACTGGCAGAAAGCCATCGCTAGCAAGCACCATGCTTAGGCTAGTTGCTGGTGGAGCCACTCCGGCACAGCGCGAAGGCGATCTTAGAGGGAGAGCCAACAGCGCGGCGGCAGGCGGCTCGTTGCGAACTCCTTCGGCATCAAGCGCTAACACTAGCGCTTCCGCAAGAGCTGTCTCGACACAAGGGGGACCCAAGGCTCTCATGGCAATGAGACGTGCCACGGGTGCCCAGAATATCCCCGTCAGTGGACCGAGTCGAGCGCAGCCACAGGATAGATGGGATACGATGGGCTCTAGTCCCGTCACGGAGATGGCTGCCCGCCAGGAGAGTTATGGACCTGTTGAGATGGACAGCATTCTACCACCCGAGACGCAGCCCCCTACGCTGACACATATTTACAACAATTACATTGGCTCGGAATATCTCACTGACCGCTTTGGTTTTATATACGACCAACGCCGCAAAAAGAGACAACGAGAGGCTGCCCAAGTAGCAAAGCAGTTCAAAAGAGGCAGCCGCACCGAGATGCTTACAAACGGTCGCTCAAATCTGTCTCCTGTTTTGATTGAAGAAACTTCAAGCGCGAAGTGGGATGCCGGCAGTGATGAGCGACCAGACACTCCATCCTCGACAGAAGAGTTCCGGGATGAGGCCAAGCCAAAGAGGTGGCAGGACTATTTGAAGATTGCGACATCTGCTACAGAGCTCTTGTCGCATACCCCTGCAATCAGCGCTAACGCCATAGAGGTGATGGAAGGCGGCGAAATCCCGAAATCGCCAGGATTGATCATATCCGAAGATCGTGGATTTATTCCATCTGCTAGCACTACCTCAGCTGTGGTGGATAGCGAAGCTTCTGTTGGATCTGAGGCCGAACAGGCTGCTGGAACTCTCGTCAAAGAAGACAACGAACCTGTCAAACTTTTGCTACAGCAGATGTCTGAGCTTCATGACAGCTTCCAACGAGACAAGACTGTTCGGTGGAATGACTTCCTTCGCAAAGTTCGAGCTGAAAGGAGGCGCGAAGGTGAGGTTGCCAACGCCACTGCGGCGGCGGCTGCCGAAGCGAGGTTCCAGAGAGCCACCGCCGTCATGCCAGAAGCAAGGCTGGGGGATGGTGAGTTCATCGGCATCGCCAACTGGGCCAACAAGGGCAAAGTTGGTCGAGCGAAGTGGACCGAGTTTCGAAATCTCGTGCTTCAAGGCATCCCTGTGAAATATAGGGCCAAGGTATGGTCAGAATGCTCAGATGCAGTCAACCTACGTGTTCCCGGCTACTACGATGATATCGTATCTCAGCCAGAGGAGGAGGATAATCCGGAAGTCGTCCAACAGATCCGTGCAGATATCAATCGTACCTTAACCGACAACATATTCTTTCGAAAAGGCCCTGGCGTCCAGAAGCTGAATGAGGTCCTATTGGCATACTCACGAAGAAATCCGGAGGTGGGATACTGCCAAGGTATGAATCTTATCACCGCGAATCTTCTTCTCGTCACGCCAACCGCTGAGGACGCATTCTGGATTCTTGCGTCCATCATCGAACGAATCTTACCAACCGGGTACTACGATCAAAGCCTTCTAGCTTCCCGGGCAGACCAGCAAGTTCTCCGCCAGTATGTTGCCGAAGTTTTGCCTAAGCTTTCAGAGCACTTCGACGAGCTAGGCATAGCTCTGGAGACAATGACATTTCAGTGGTTTCTGTCTGTATTCACAGACTGCCTCTCAGCTGAAGCATTGTTCCGCGTCTGGGATGTAGTACTGTGCTTTGGCGACGGTAGCACGTTCCTTTTCCAAGTAGCCCTTGCCTTGCTCAAACTCAATGAGCAGCAACTCTTGAATTGCACAACGCCAGCAGCCGTATACACGTATATCAACCATCAGATGACGAATCATGCTATCAGTATTGATGGTTTGATACAAGCCAGTGAGGGCCTTAGGAGAGTGGTCAGAAGAGAGGACGTTGAAGCCCGTCGTGACAAGGCAATCGAGGCCGAGAAAGAACTAGTGCGTCAACGAGAAGAACGCCTTGCAACTTTCCAGAGGAATAAGAAGGCGGCCAGCGCTCCATCCATCGTCCAAGGTCTGGCAGCTGCTAGTAGTGAAAATGTGGGAGAGCCCCCCAAAACCGACGCATTGACGGTTAGAGATCCAATGCCGATAGAGGAAGAGTCGACATAGAACCGATGCAGCATGGATGTCCATATCGACCTGGCTGACAGCGTCTCAAAGACGGATTTCTTTTTCTGTAAGCATACATACCCGAGGTTGAATTACCCCTTAAGCGCAAAATCATTTGGAGAATTGGTTGTTTGGCACATCAGCGCTTCTTTCATTGGCATTACAAACTGGATTTAGATGGGAAGTCTAAAGATACCCCCCGTTTCGGAGTCGTCAAGACTAGAATATCATAGTCACAATCAAGCATTTTCTTTTTCCAGAAGCTCCGTAGCGCATTTTGTGATTTGATCGTATCATTGAGCCTCGTGCTTTGAAACAATCTTAGATCATGGTTTACGTATTGCGCAGTTGATGATGCTTGATTGAAATTCTGCTTGTAGGCTAGTCTCGAATCTATGGATCTGGGCCTTGAATCGTCACCAAACATCAGCCACTTACCCAGTCAATTAGCATGCTGACGTGATGCGAAACGTGGATCTCAAACGGGCCGAGAAAAACGTTATCTACCGAAACTACTACTTCAATTACCGCACTGGTTTTGGGGCTTCTGGTGTCGGGTTCTTTGCAGAGTCTGGGGCCGGGACTTCAGCTTGCGTATCTCTAACACCTCATTGGCCAGTTCTATTGACGTGATATTGCGACATAACCTCCTTGTCCGTTATTGCAGATAACCACTCTACAACTCGTATCAACTAGGTCAAACCATTACCCCGCGACAACAATATTGAGTAGAATTCGTGGTGTCTGCAGTGAAATGATTGAAGGGGGATTGCACAGGCAGGCTATGTGGAATGGCATACTGAAGCAGGGCCCGATCGATCGATCAGAATAAAAGCAATGGGTGCAGCAACATCTGATATTGAAAACGATGGCTATCACGACTTCAGTCTCCTCTATTTGCAAGGTACTATTTGTAGTAGAAACAACATGCTATAACCGGTAAGCAACATGTATTAGGTTAGATAACAAACGAAAAGTAGATGGTCTATGGCCCATAGTAGAAAATTTGTTCGCGGAGAACGCCTTTTCTAGAAGCAGAATCCTGGCTGGGCCTACCCAGCATGGAAAGATTGCCGATTACCGAACGACTCCCGTTGAGTAGTATCCCAGCCAGCCGTTCAGGGCCAGTCGCAAAAGCGATATGACAATCGCAAGCCCAAATGACACCATCCAGTGACCTGCGTCACTCGTGGGGGAGGTACGCAAGTACAGCCCTCCTGAACATGCTCGTCAGTCGCCATAAATACCCGGGGTGACGGAATGCCCAGAGTCTCGGCAGCCTTCCCAATCCTCTTGGCTGTAGTCCGATACCGTTAGTCTCCCATTGCGACATTAGCAGCCCTCATTGCACGCTGCGCCCGACATGTCTGCGGCATCGAGCGTATCTGAGCCCGTTCCCGGGACCAAGGAGGTTGACACTGAGGCCAAGACCGGAACGGAAACCCCTGCTTCCAAGACCGGGGCCGGCTCGACGGACGAGGTCGACCTCCGCCTTGGCAAAAGTGATGGCGGCGTATATGCAGTCGGCGGATCGTTGGCATCATATGAACCTATTGCGAAATATGAGGGCAAGCACCGTTACGATCCAAAGATTGAGTGGACAGCGGCCGAAGAGAAAAGGCTGATACGACGGGTATGTTCAATTCAATGCATGGTTGTCTCGGATGCCGAGAATGAGCATATTTCAATTGCCATGGCACTCAAGACTTTTTGGATTCCGTTGAATACGTATTCTAATGGTGTTTATTACCTCTACTACCATGTACAAACGTGTGCTGTGGTAATAAACGATCCTCCAATATGCACAATCTGCCTCCTTCACCCGAAAACCAGAATTTAATCTTGTTTGATCATGAATGAATATGGAGACATGGCTAACTCTCAAACAGCTGGACTACAAGATCTGTGCATGGGTTTGTCTCATGTTCTTCGCCCTTCAGCTCGATCGAGGCAATATTTCGCAGGCCTTGTCAGACAACATGCTGAAGGATCTTGGAATGACAACCAACAATTACAATTACGGACAGACGATCTTTTACATCTCCTTCCTTTGTGCCGAGCTACCATCGCAGATGATTTCCAAGAAACTCGGCCCGGATGTTTGGATTCCGATCCAAATGGTGTCTTGGAGCATCGTGGCCTGCTGCCAATCTCGCCTGACTGGAAAGTCTACATTCTATCTGACACGTTCTCTACTCGGATTGATTGAAGGTGGCTTCATCCCAGATGTCATCCTATATCTCAGCTATTTCTACAAAAGCAAGGAGTTGCCAATCCGTCTCAGCTTCTTCTGGGGAGCATACATCTCCACCAACATCGTCTCCGCGTTCCTCGCTTTCGGAATCCTGCATCTCAGAAAAGCTACAGGATGGGCTGGCTGGCGGTGGCTCTTTGCTCTTGAAGGTGGCCTTACAGCCATCATCGGAATTTTATCGTGGTTCTATCTTCCACCATCCCCAACCCAGACCGCAAGCTGGTTCCGCGGGAAAGATGGGTGGTTCTCCGAGCGGGAAGAGAAGATTATGGTCAATAGAATTTTGAGAGATGACCCTGGCAAGGTACGTTGAGCTGCTTTCCATGCTGTGAGCCCTATAACTAATGCCTAAAAAGGGAGGAATGCACAACCGTCAAGGTCTCACCCTGAAGCTCCTATGGGAAGCCGTCTCCGATTACGATCTATGGCCTGTTTATCTCCTGGGGTTGACGTGGTCTATTCCGGCGCAGCCTATCACGGCATATCTAACATTGAATCTGAAGGCTCTTGGCTTCGATACTTTCGAAACGAATTTGCTTACTGTACCGGCCTGGGTCCTCTTCCTTTTGCAACTGATATTCTGGACTTGGGTATCGGAGAAGATCAACAACCGATTCCTGATTGTTCTCATGTGCCAGTTCTATATGCTGCCATTGGTTATAGCTCTGGAGGTCCTACCGGCGAGTGCTAGCCCCTGGGCGTGGTACGCCCTCAGTGCTTTGGTAAGAAGATACAGCGCAACCCTACGTTAAAAAATATAAATACTGATATTATTCGATGAACCAGTTGGTTGGATACCCCTATATTCATGCCATCCTAGGTGAGTAAAGCTTTCTTTGTGATTAGGAGGAGTTATTTACTGATGTGTACAATTCCAAAGTGGCGATAACTTCGAGGAATGCAGGCTCTGTCCGCACTAGGACAGTTGGCAGTGCCCTGTACAACATGTGTGTACAAGCAAGCAATATTATCTCATCAAACGTCAGTTCTCTCCACTATTATAGTCATATAAATCGAGACGTACAACTAACTCGTGGGCGAACAGATATACCGTACTGAGGACTCCCCCCTATATCGAAAGGGCAACAAGGTCATTCTTGGCCTCATCGCGTGGAATATAGTTCTGATTGTCGCCATCAAATGGTATTATAAGTGGCGTAATGATTCTCGGACTAAGACTTGGGAGGCGATGAGTACGGCTGAAAGAGATCAGTATTTGGCTACCACCAATGACAAGGGGAACAAGCGTCTTGACTTCCGATTTGCTCACTGATGTTGGGTAGAGGGCGACATAAGCCGTCACGATGCACTTTGTCGAAGAAACTACTCCTTGACCTGTTGAGTCTGTTACTTTTTTGCTCATATGGTTGTTGTTGTCCTCTGGACTCGTAGGCCAGCGATTGTGGTGCGGATGGGTAGTCAACAGGGTAGTCAACATGGAGAAAGCAGTGTATGCAATAGAATCGATGTAAATAATAGAGTATCGGACCGAGATGCTCAAATTTTAGCCTCCTATCATAGTAGCTATTCAACATCATCTGCACGTATATGAGTGCCCCTGGAACCAACCCCCTGATGTTTGATCCCCTGAATGTTCCTGATAATCCCTTATCGCTGTAAGCCAGAAATACCGCACTCAACGCCGGAGTGTCATTTGACAAGTGTCGTCAAGGTATCATGATAAAAACCGCCACCAGACCAATCCCTGAAAATCAAATAAAAAATCAAATAAAAATCAGAACCCCTTGATGCTATGCCCGGGGCCGTATCCCCTCCTTTGATGCCTCCCAGATGCAAATGCGACCCAATGCCGCAAATTCCTCCTTTCCAGACGATAGAGTGTCGAGACCCTCCGAAGAAGATGGCCACCCAGAAGCGGAACAAGAAATCGCCGGCCGATGCAGATGCAGATGCTTGTGCGGATGCACTTAGAGACGTGGTGGATTGGTGCGATCGCTCATGCGTCGCTGTGGCTGTGGGGCTTCAGCGCTGGCCTGTCCAGTCATCCCATCACTAGGGCGGTTATTGCTGCCACTTGGGAGAGTGCTTGCCACGGCGGCCGCAGCTGCAGCGACGCCGTTGAGAGTCTGTCGATCAAGGGCACGTTTCTGGCGCTGGATGTCCATGAGCCAGCGAACATGCATGCTTACAACTCCATGCTGGCTTCTAGCCTCTGTGAGTGACTCTTTGAGGGGAAGGACCTCATTGAAAAGCATGACGCTGTGACGCGCATCCTGGTCCTGCATAGCCTTCGCAAGATTGTTGATGCGAGACTCTACATCTGCGAACATAGAGAACATGTACTCGTCCCTAGCATCGCAGCGCTGGCAATGACCTTCTGCAGCCGATTGGGATGAAGAGGCATCCTTGGGGCCGTCTAGACCGGAAGGCAAGGTAGATCGACCAGCGCCAACCGGGGCGGCAAGATTGAGATGCGGAAAGCGCTGTTCGATGCGCTCGGTAATGTGCTGAACAACTGAGTCCTCGACAGCTCGTAGCATATTCGTTATATTGTGATCGAGTTGTGCCTTGATCTGCTGCTCCTTGCGCTGCAATACCTGCTCCATCTGCTGCTCCATACGGTCTTTCGCCTTGTCCATCTCATCCTTATGACGTTGCTCTAGGCGCATAAACACGCCAAACCCGCAATTTGCCTCATGCGCAGGAAGCTCGATGCCTTTGCCCTTGAATGTGCAACCCGCAGGAGCAAATGCACAGGCAGCCTCCCGATTCTGGCAGTCTTGCTCGTGGGCCTCCTTCTTATGGCGAACCACATTGTTGCCACAGAACTCACACTTGCCGGTGTGGCCACGGCAGACTGTCTCATAATGCAGTTCCAGCTGTGCCATTTCGATGATGTCCTTGCAGTAGATGCACGGTCCAGTGTAGTGCATGCAGTCCTTGTCGGCGTCCAGTCGAATAATCTTCTTGGAACACTCTCTATCGGGACAAGCCACAAGTGTATACTCGCATTGCTGGCGAATATGATGCTCCACCAATGATCGGATTCCCTTCCACTTGCAAAGTCGATTCGGGCATTTGACTTCGAGCTTATCGAGTTGAGCGTGAACGATTCGGGGGCAGGGGACCTCAACGGTGTGTCGTTGTGAGAAGTTTGTGCGGCAGATCGGGCATGCAGAGCGTAGCTCGAGAGCATGCCCAAGACAGTCTTTACAGAAAGTGTGACCGCACGCTTTGGTAGTGTGAGGATTGAGGAAGGGGGTCTTGCAGATGGGGCAGAGAAGGTTCTCGTCAACGGTGCCAACGTACTCCAAAGCTTGCCAATCAACCTGAACAACCTCGGCCACGGCCGGCTGCCGGGCTTCGGGGATTGATACAGTTGTGATATCTGATCCGGCAGGAGAGACAGATGTACGGGCTATGCGGCCGAAGGGCGGTGGTGTAGGGCTTCGGGAGGGCGGATCGCTTGTCCATTCGTCGCCATCGCCAATGCGGCGTCGAGTCCAAAAGCTCGAGCGTGCTTGACGTTCGGCTCTACGGGTTCTTCGCGGGCCGTAGAACTGCGGCCCATCGCCCTCCTCTGGAGTATTGGGGGGAGGCATTGTGGGCCGATGCCGGGGTGATAGGTGTCGTGATGGTGGTGTCGGAGTTTGAGATAGAGGGAGAAAGCATGCCGGGGATTAAATAGTCGTGAGCCCGGACATCTCTCGATCAGGGGATGATAAAGCTCGTTTGCTACTGCTCAAACAATAGCTAATACAATCCAGCAGGTTTCAGCTCGTCGCAGTGCGTCTCATTGTCTCTGGTATTGTGGCATGGAAACGGTATTGTGTGTTACTGTTAAGCTGTCGCCATTCAACCGAGGTCCTATTGTAGTGGCATTCAATGGGTTGCCGCGTCCGATAACCTGAGTGGAGCTCTGATAATGCACACTAGTGGGTCCCAAGGTTTGGCCCCCTGATACTTTCGGGGACAGCTCCTGACAGCCTCTTCGCAGATGCTCAGCTTTGGTGTGAAATGAAAACATGTAGACAAAGTATTCAGTTTATATGGAATTTGCTCATTCATATATCGTCTTCATTCAATCTCATTTCTCATAAGAAATCTCTCTTCCTTGTGTTCATAATGAACGTCTTCTATAGCCTACATCACAGGAGCTTCCTTCTGAGATGGGAGAATATACCTAGGTATCCTGCAAAGGCCAACCCAAGAGCCAAGCACTACATAACCATTTACCACAAGGAAATAGCACATGCTCCCCATTCTTACAAAGAAAAGAATGTTCTAAAATTTTCTAAAATGTTCTATCTCTTCCTCTGATGTCGACCACTCTCCACTTCGTCTGATAGTGCCTATTAATCAGGGTGTTCATCCCACGATTGCACCTAGGGAACAATGGTTAACAGGATGCGCCTGATGCCGCCAGACCAGTTGTTCAGGCTGAAACAGGATCCAAGACAATGGGTGTATTCCAATAGGTACCATAATTGTGGGAAGTAACGAAAGTTAGAATCACATGAATCACATCAAAGCAGGCTAGCAGTGCGTTATACAGTCGAGAATCTCGGCACATTTCTTGATTCACCTGCCCAGTAACGATCTAAAGACTCAAGGTAAATCTCGAGTGCCCAATTGAGCAAATGCATTCTAATCGAGAGGAACCGCAATTTAGTGTATCAGTGATAAACCTGGCTGATAAGTGTGCTAACCCCTATCTGCCTGAATCTACTTGTTATGTCTAAGAGGGCAATATTGCATAGCAATGCTCCGAGATAGTCGCCGGGTACCAATCTAAAGCGAAGAAATGAGAAATCAGGCGACGTAATCTAATATCGTCTCGGAGTGACTTGGGCATGTTCCATAGATAGCTTCAAGAAGCGCGACCTCAACAAGGAACGGCCGGTGAATCGCAAAGCTCGAAGATAGCTCAGACTTTTATGCTGCTGTGTTAAGTCTTCCCAACTCTTGAAGAGCGGGGGACTGTTGTGGTTCTTGAAAACTTCTCAGGATATTGTGTAGTGACTGCATGGGGGCTCTGAAGGGGCAGTGGCAGATAAAACAAAGGGAAGGTAAAAAATATTGGCTCCTGTGCTAGTCGTCTCGAATCGCAGCTGTGTCCATCTTCCAGGTATGCGATGATCTACATGGTATCATCGCTTCCGTCACTGTAGTCAACGTCGACATCAGGATCCTCATATGCGAGATAAGATGGTGGTTCAATAGGCTGTTTGCGAGTCTTCTGCTCAAAGATTAGATTCTTCAACTGCCAAAACCCATGCAGTAATACTCACGACTTTCTGCCATCTGCCTTTCTTGGCCGATACCTCACTGGTTGTCACAGTAGAGGCGGTGTCAGATGCCACTGTTGACTCTTTGAAACGTGTAACCATCTTCCCATCGGGACCCCATGCTCGATATTCAAGTCGCGCTCTGTCAGTGTCTCTTGGCGCTGCGTCCGTAAGACTGTGAGGTGCCGTAGATGTAAGTGATGGAGCTGATTCGGTCTGGTAGGTCGGCTCCGCCTCGGAGCGCCTGAAAGGCATGTAGGGCATGAGATGATGAGGCGCGCGAGCTGGCGGAGGAGACGAGTCTCGAGAGCTAGCAATAGAAGAGGTGTCACGCTGGTCAATTGAAGCATCACGTTCAGAGAGAGTCAAGGACTCCAAGAGCGTCAATGCCTCGGGGTCACCGGTCTATGGAGATTCAGTATTTCTTCTATCGCGAAAAGAGTTACAATTTTGCTTACCTTGAACTTGTTGCCGCTCACGAACGAGCTTGTGTTACGCGAATGCGCATCTATGGCGGCTCTTGCCTCGCCCTCTGCATGCTCAAGGTACCTGCCGTTCTCTCGTGCCAGATCACGCTCCTCCAGGCTTCGGAGGTTGTTCGAAGCTGGAAGAGGAATATATACGTGTCCGGTCGACTCCGACCACTCCGTGCACTTGATGCACCACTATACCACGATCAGTCATAAACCTGCTGCTCCAAAATAGGTAGGGAAAGTGCAAGGTGTCTTACACGTCGATCACCAGTCTTTCGCTGATTCTTGCTGAACTCACTGATGTGCTTGTATTTGCCACAAGGACCCCGGCATTTGAGTTCATCCCGGGGCGCGCCGGAGTGAGCCATGCAGGCAATGATGCCTTTATCGGGTTGAATCCGCTGGCCCCTGGCAACCAGGTCCGCCAATCGTTTCAGCTGGCTTTGTGAGAATTCATCTTTGGACTTCATCTCATTGCCGACCCTGCAGCGGATTCTACTGTTTGTGAGTAAGGTCATCTACGCGGATATCAAGTCGAGCAGTAGACAGCCACTTACTGGGCAGGCAGGCAGTTGTTGGTGCGCTTGCTGCGGATTGTCAGCAGATGGATATGATGAGCATGTTCTGGAATATTTTACGCTTACCCGTAAGAGTTGAGAGACATCGTGCCGATATGACAGATGAGAATCGTGAGGTGCTTTTTATTCAACCCGGGTGGGGCTTAGAGGACCTTGCGATCAGCAATTAGCGACAATGAAAACGCTTTAATGAGATATCTAAGAAGGTCCAGATATCGGAGAGCGGGAAAGGGAACAACCTGTGTAGTCTCGGATGCGCCTGGTAGTAGAGTCAGGAAGAAAGCTGCCTTTCGAGAACGGATCCGGAGATATGGTCTGGGTGAAGGCATGAGGCAGCTTACTGATGGTTAATATGGACCACGCCAGGAAGCTGGGTAGGCTGCTTGTTGCAGAGAAGAAGGAGGTAAGAGGCGACTAAAGATGTTAGGGACATCAGAAGAACAACACACCAGCTGAAACCTACCTAGATACCTCGGTTGATGGTAGACCCTATTATGGATGCCTCAACGGTGCGCTGGCGGTGGTTATGAAAATGCGGGGGTAAGGAAATTGTGGCCAAGGGGACGATGGGAAGGAGATGGATAGGTGGAATTCTGGAGATTGTCTAGGAAGGAGCTCAACGATGGCTCCTTCCGAGGGTTTCAAAGAGAGAGCTCTAAACCCAATATATAGGCAGATGACGACTGTGTCTTTCTGACACAAAGAGTTATTCCTGTCAGAGGTTATGTCTTAGAAAGTGGAAAAGGAATGAATCATGCATTTGTGACATGAACGACTGTAGACGGCTTGTGCAAAGAAGACGCTGAAATATGAGGGAGGCCTATGAGTTCTTAGCCAGCAGACGAGTCGTGATGAACTCTAGCTTGGCAGTCAGTCACATCGGTCACATCTAATTACATGACAAGCATGCCCTCTTTGTAATGAGGATCACATTATTGTGCCCAAGCTTATATGCTTCCAAGCGCAAAGCTCCAGGAGACTGGTCTGAGACACATCATTGCCGCCAATATCAAAGCCTACACGATGTAGGCGAATACAGATATCGTTGATCTTCCTTCGACTGTGTTCTGGCCAGACACATAGGTTGCGGACCCTCGGCTTGCATGTAAGAGAGATTCCCACAGTGGGCATCTTGGCAGAGACTGACTGGCCTTATCCAAGTTCCGCTATTGGTTTAGATGGACCGATTGGATGAAGACCATTGGTAGGTACGTTTCGAGGGAACAGCCTACTGGGGCCCGATCTTGACGTCCATGACTTCCTAAACGAGGGATCTATTACTATACGACTCAAACTGCCAAATTGGCGGCTAAGGAATGCCACAGCTCAGGTACGAGGAGGGTCCCGTCATCTCAACAATCATTTCATTATTTGACCTTGCTCATAATGGTCTCTGGACCTCTATCAACATACATCTGTGCCGCTCGGGCTTTGACAGCGTTTAGCATGCTCCTTTCAAAGTCATCTCGAGATCTTAGCACTGCCTCAACCCAGCTGATCTGCAAATCCCAGTACGTAGTTTTGAATCTTTCGAACGTGTCGGGTACACTATCTTTCGGTGCCGTAAGTAATTGCTCAAACAGCTCTGTAACTCTCCAGGTTTGTTTGATCGAGTTTCCGACGTCCGGATTCGGTAGGTTACTGAAAAACTCGAAGGCCGTAGATAAATCGTCAAAAATTTTCTCACTGAACTGATCTGTTCTTCGGAACTTGGCGCCCTTGTTCCTAACAGAGGACAAATACCGTACGAGCAGCTCGTCTGCGAAAATCTCGATGAAGATATCCACGAGAGAGTGGTGTAAAACTTGTCGATAGTCGCCGACGTACTCCTCGAATGTTACTATCATTTGTCTCATTGCAGTGCTAGTGTACCATTTTGGCGTAAAGAAATCTGGCATGACGGTTTTGAAGTCCACCGCGAAGATTAGCTGCGCAAACTTCGTGATGCACCAAGTGCTGAAGTCAACATAGCCGTCCCGCAATGCGCTGACTTCAGTATCTGCTCGCTCCATATATTGCGGCGTGACAATTGGCTCAAATTTCTGTCGAAAACTTGACAGGTAGGCGAACCTACTTTCTTCCTCGTTGTCATCAATACAGGCAATTTGATCGTTAGCCGTAGCAACGAGCCAATCCTGTAGAGACTGAAAGCCGTCCAGTTCGGGTTCTCTCCCGCTCTCATATCTTGACGCTTCCTCTTGGAGCATCTTCTGCCAGGATTGTTGCCGACCCCTGAGCCGTATAAACATAGCATCGATGACACCTTCAATGACGTCCGTTCGTTGTGAGTTTGCAGCAACGTCAATTTGTTCTCGTAACATCCTCCACATGTCCACCAGATTCTTGGTCCTGAAGTAGCCGTATTCATCATTGTCGAGGTTAGAACCTTCCACGTTGCGTTCGGCGAAATCCTTCTTCTCCTGCTTGAAAATGCGATCAATCCACTCATCCAAAAACTTGATAATGAGTTGCCTGAAGTCCCGCACGAGCTCAGTCTCACGATTGTCGATAACATGTGGCGTGAGCTCATCCTGTGTCGATCCGAGCTTCTTCATCTTTTTGTAGTACTTGTCCGGCCAATTAATGATCTCGAGGGTGTTGGCAGAACTGCTCTCCGGATCGTCAATCATCGCCGTCAAGAAATCATGCATAAGTCCATGGTAAATATTGGTATAGGTTTTGAAGATTTTCCACTTCTTGGGCATCAATGGCACCATTCCTATCCGTACAGCGTTGAGATCATTGAAGTACCACTTCAAAATCTTTTCTAACTTCGAAGGATCCTCGAGGAACTCTTCTCTTGTTGCTGTAAACTGGGCCTCGGCATAAGCCTTGATCGCTTGTATGAATTTGTCTTTGTAGCCTCTGACTGTCTTGGCACCATCTGTGATGCTCTGAAATCGAGTAGCGATTTCCTTATGATCCTTGAGCGCCTCTTGCAGAGCAAGCACTCTCTGGTCGCTCTTCTCCTCTGCTTCAATGATCAAGGCGAAACGCACTATTAGTCCATTGTTCTCGGAGGTAACGAGCGTGATGAGACTGGTAGCGATCAAGCCGACGTGCTCATCAAACCAGTCTATTGCTCCGTCCAGCCTTTCGAAATAGTCCTCTAGGGTGGATTGTAAACTGGGATCCTCCGCTCTTTGTATTTGTTCCATGGCATCGTCACGAATGTTCCGTAATTGCGTGAGTTCGTAATGAATGGGCAACAAATTCGGCATATTCTCCTGGTCCGCCTCGTCTTCCCGCAGCATGTTCTCGACCATATCCAGACGCGAGTTGAAGGTCTCAAGGTTCTTGCGCATCGTCTCAACAGCGCCAAAGTTTCGATGTGCTTGCGAGACGAGGTTGATTGTTGCAAAGTCCTTGATCATGTTCTGCGACTCGGAACATAGCTTGTCGATCTTGATCATCTCGTCCTTGATCTGCTGAACCGATTTCTGCCCCTCAGTCAAGCCATTCATGCCAGACTGTGACGTCTCCAATTGATCGCGAAGACCGCCTCGTAACTGAGCGTCGACATTCTCCTTCTTGCGCGTGAATTCCTGCTTCAGCGCGGTGATCTTGTCGAGGTCATCTGGAATGCGGAGGAGCTCCGAGAGCTTCACTTGCGGTGTGTCCATGGCGGTGCTCGACTCTCACGCCGTTTCGGCAAGTGAAGGAGCTAGAATCATACCATCTCTTGCTTGAAATGTGTCTGCAAGCCGATTCGTAGGGTCGATGTCTTGACGGGGCTTCGATATCAGAGTGGGATGTCGTTGGTTGAACCCCTGTCCCAGCTCCCATCATGCCGCTGTGCTCGTGGAGCAGAGGAGCACGGACCATATCTAAGCGGCGTCGCGTCTGAGTGATTCTCGATGGAGAAGCGGCCCAACTAAAGAGACAGACTGAGTCATGTGATATGTCACGAGGGATCATCCTTTGTAGACCCACTGAAACATCTAGCGCAAGTCCCCGTCTTAGGGTTGAAGTCGCTAGCCACCTCCAACCAGCGGGCCACTGAAATTTCCCAGAAAATTCTCATTCTCCTTCGACCGAACATTTCGCAACACCAACCGACAAACCCATCGCCAAACTGGTGCGTATACTGATGCTCCCTCTCTCCGTCCACGATCTCGAGGAGATATCCAGCTAACATATACATTCTCTACTACAGTCAAAATGGGTGCCCTCAAGTACGTCGAGGAGCTTCAGAAGCGAAAGCAGTCCGATGTACTGCGATTCCTTCTTCGAGTCCGCTGCTGGGAAGTATGTTGAACACCGATCACAATTGCAATTGGCTTTTCTGTGGACGAGCGTTATTCTTCTCGCTTGCATGCAGACCTCTGTGTCGCAATGGCGAAAGATTTTAACCTCGTCCTTGCTATACACTCGTTGAACATTTGCTGAGAGTGCATCAATATAGCTTCGTCAATTGAACGTTATCCACCGCGCATCTCGCCCCTCCCGCCCCGACAAGGCCCGCCGCCTGGGATACAAGGCCAAGCAGGGCTATGTCATCTACCGCGTGCGCGTCCGCCGTGGTGGCCGCAAGAAGCCCGTTCCCAAGGGTGCCACCTATGGTACGTTTTCGCCCTCGACAGTTCTGGTCGGGTCTGGAGCGAAACGAAAGGATAGCAGCTAACGTTATTTTCTCGAACAGGCAAGCCCACCAACCAGGGAGTGAACCAGCTCAAGTACCAGCGATCTCTCAAGGCCACCGCCGAGGAGCGTGTTGGCCGTCGCTGCGCTAACCTGCGCGTCCTGAACTCCTACTGGATCAACCAGGACTCGACCTACAAGTACTACGAGGTCATCCTCGTCGACCCCCAACACAAGGCCATCCGCCGCGATCCCCGCATCAACTGGATCGTCAACCCCGTCCACAAGCACCGCGAGGCCCGTGGTCTCACTGCTACTGGCAAGCGATCCCGTGGTCTCAACAAGGGCCACCGCTACTCCAAGACCCAGGCCGGCCGCAGAAAGACCTGGAAGAAGCACAACACCCTGTCTCTCTGGAGATACCGGTAAACGGTGGGCGCCCGTGGCGCTTCATCGCGAGGCTCTGGAGGTTCTTTTCGAGGCACGTCATGACGGAAAGGGATCTGAAACCTGGTTCTTCGAGTATAGCATGGGTATTGCGGCTGCTGGCGACAACGGCTGGCCTTGGGCGTTGATAGTACAAAAATCAAAATTGACGAATGATGGCATGAAAAGAAATGCCCATATCATAAAAACGCTGCCTGACCAATTCTGCCTCTTGAGTGTTTCGCCATGTTGAAAGATTTTAACTGGCGTGAAAACCCCCCTTGCCCCATCATACCGGAAGCTGCTTTCCCTCCAGGACCAAGCTCGCTGAGTTGTACTTGAAAAATTTATAATCGTGGGACATGAGAACATCCAGACAAACTTAGACTCAGAGGTATGGACTCCATAATGAGAAGGGGCCACATCTGACGCGCCGGTCCGTCCACCAGTCTCTAGCCCCTTTTAGTCTCCCTGAGCCTCACCGCCAATCTTCACGCCTACTTCACCCTGTAGTATACGAAGTCTCCAAATCTGCCCGCAAACACGACTTGTGATTGAGTTAGGGCTATGCACTGTTTCAAAAACAATACGAGACGCAAACAGCAGGTCTCCCATACTTGACGGAAAAAAAAGTAACGAGCATGCATGCTACAAATCACTGTCACTTGCGAAGCAAAGGGGCCATGAGTTTACTTTTAATCGTTCCATTGCGGATTGACTATCTTTTTTTGTTCTGTCTGAATACACGGCGAGAGCAACTCTATGAATAGCAAATCCAGCCATCTAGATCAAAAGACCAACAGAAGATATTGTCGATCTATGACTCGAAGATGGACTGAAATGCCCAAAGCCCTCTAAAACCCCCCGATGAGCTCGAAAACCGCAAGTGCCATAAAGTGTAAGATGGTGCAGTGTGAGGGTGTTGCGAAGTGAAAACCGCAAATGTACAGGAAGATATTATGGCGTCTATGTGCGAAGGTGAAAAGGGGGTGGGTCCCAGATTTCCATGCTCACTTCAGCCACATCCTCCCGCAGCCAAAAACCCCAGACCCAACGTCTTCAGCTTTGCACCTAGTCCTCCAAAGCCTTGCAAATGCTAAGCTTGTTTGTTTTTGGTGAACGGGCGCCAAGGCCATGCGGATGTAGAATGCCAATCGCAAGAAATGAAATGCCAATCCGAGAAGAAGAAAAGCGAAAGGAAAAAAAAGTCGTGCCCCGTTTCCTTGTTCAGCAGAGCCCAGGCGTTTCCAAATGGTTGAGAATCAACACGATGGATGCTATCCTAGTGAATACTCCAAGGTGTGGCAAAAGCTCTGGCAGTTGAGAATGGGCAAGTGAAATAACTCTCAGCTAGCCCAAGGCCGCTCCGCCGATCAACCAACGTTGCGTAACACCCGAAAACGTTGCTAATCGTTGAGGTTCGTGGTGATCATTATGATGCATGCTGCGACCGCTGCAAGGATGTCAAGATCATGTCGTGAAATTCAGCTGCTCTAAAGTAGAGCCCGTTCCTTAGATACCAAAAAAGACAAAGGAGAAAGTGGAATTTTTGAGTCGTCTATGCCTTGTCCGTGTGAACCGAATACACGTTACAAATGAGAATTCTCTGCAAATGGCTGCCATTCCTCCCAAAACGGCAGCCAGAAACAAAGCATTCTCATGGAAAGAGTCCTCGCCAGCATCGTCGAGCGCATAGTGTACAACAAAGCAATCTAGGAGGTCCCAGATGCTTAAGCTCGATCGATGATGAGGTTGTCGTGGTATGATAGGTTGTATGTGAGTCGTCCTGACGAGATCATGCTGATGTTGAGAACTACAAGAAAGGAAAAGCCGTGACTGGGTTGCATGACGTTACGTTCCTTGATGAGCATGTGTCCAATCGAAGACAAGACGTGAGGAAATTGAATAAGAAAGCGCGTTCACTATCGTACCAAGGTCCTGCAGGGCAAAGGGCCTCAGACCCATTGCGGCGGAGCCTCTCCGTCTGTGGCAGGGAGACCAGGAGCAGCGCGAGGGAACTGAGGAGGTGCATACTGAGGGCCACGTGGAGTTTGCGGCGGGGGGACAGTCAACACAGCACTGGCGGGATAGTTTGACTGTGAAGCGCGGTTGGCCATGCCACCATTCATTCCGTTGGTAAAGCCGCCAGTAGGCAGGATGGACGTGTTGGACATGGCACGGTTGTGATTTGGTCGTAGAGGAATCTGACCCTGAGTGGTATCCGAGGGAGTAACCTGACCGCTGCTTCTTCCACTATTGGAATCATAAGTCTGGATCTTTGCCTGGATGCGACGACCATAAGGAGTTGATCGAATGTTCGGAAGAATCGGGCGAATGGTCTCAACAAGGCGAGTCTTCTGGTAATGGGTAGCATAGTCCAAAGCAGTCTGGATGACGTAATTGGCGAACGAGTCTCTAAGGAGACGATCCATCTCGCCAGGAGCCAAGAGCTCCTCCACAATCATGTCCTTGGACGGATCTTGAGCGCAACGAAGGCATTTCTCAATGACGTTGGAGCTGAACTTGTGGCGCGAGAGCTGGCCTATGCGGCCCTGGAACATGTGAACAACAGGTTCAGTGAAGCTTGACTCGTTGAGATCAATGATGTATTGAACGACGTAGTTGCCAAAAGGGTCTTGGACAAGGGTGACAGCGTGCTCGGTAATCTTCGCGATGAGCCAGATTTTCTGGTCTCCAGAAGCGTGGTCGATGCAGCGCTGCAAGACACAACATCCATGTCGATGCGTTCCGACGTCAACACAGTTATTGCCGACGGCGTCGAAGATGAACTGGGCATCAGGAGCACTGAGCTTGTTGAGACACTTCTGGATGACATGGTTGCCGTTGAGATCCTGGATCAACTCCACGACGCGGTATCGAAGAGCCTCGATGATGAGCGACACCTGCTCCGGCGTAGACACAAACTCGATCATCTTCTGGAGAGCTCGAGTGCCATGCTGGTTCAAGGCAATGCGCACCATATCCGCGGCGGCATTCTGGATGAGGACAGTACGTTCCTCGTCATTGCAGTACTCTAGGAGCTTCTGGCACAAGTAATTACCGAACGGATCTGTCATCAACTCTATGACATGCTGGTTAGTCTCCAGCCAGATCATGTGCACCTGCTCAGGAACGCGGTTCTCAAGCTGCTTCTGAAGGTAGCGGCAACCATGCTGGTCCTTGCAAAGGTCGTAGATAGTGCCACCAACGGACTCCAGGGGCAGGTTTTGATAGCGACTCATTGCTAGGGGTGGATTAGCCAAGAACACTTGCAGCAGTGACATAACTCTCAACTTACCCTCGTTGTCCATCTGTCGTCGATTCTGAATGATACGGGCCTGGCTGTCACGCGGAGCTTGCTGCGGGGGAGCATACACAGCACCGTAGCCAGTGTAGTTCTGAGGGGAATACAGGTTGCCGCCGCCGTTGAGTGACAAGCCCTGCATATTCATTGTGAGAAGGGGGAGGCCGTAGTTCGCCCCATTTGCGCCGTTCGGTGCATTGTAGCCAGAGCCGCCGTAAAAGCCATTGTTGTAGGCCGAGACAGGCGCGGGAGAGGTCACAGTTGGCGCAGATGTCGCAGGGACTTGAGCCTGAGTGACGGGGCCAAAAGGAGCAGCGTTGGCCTGGAGGGTTGAGCCAATGGACGGGTACCCACCAATCGACTCGCGAGCAGCCATGTTATTGTCTGCAGAAAGCTCGCGGCTGTGACGGTTAGGCACAGCACCAGCTGGAATCCGGCCAATGCTTGCATTATGGTTATGCAGGTGCTGCTGGGCGGCATGGTTAGTTGTGGTGTTCCCCGTCATCACCGTCTGACCTGACACGTTCTTGACAGTGGGAATGTCGTTGGCGGAGAAGGATGACTGCAACTTGGGAGGAGTCGCAAGAATGTGGTTTGTGGTGGCAGGTGCCTCAGAGGCATTCTCGTAGTACTTCATGTCGATAGGCTTCATCTCCAGAGAATGGCGGATTGAAGCAGGTCGACCTCCAATGGTCGATACGTCTGTGGTTGTGCTAGTCTGGGCAGAAGTTAGAGATACACCTCCGTTGGCTTGAGATGAACTGGTGGTGGATAGGCTCTGCCGCGGTCGGTGGCGATGGATATTACCCCAACCAGTCGACGACGCGTCAAGAGCAGGAGGGGGTTGGGCAAGGTCCAGTGCAGCAGACGACGTGGAAAACTTAAGAAGAAATACAAGCGTTAACAGGGCCAAAGAAAGATGAGTACACAATGAAGAAGTGAGCAAGAAAGCTGGGGTGTACAGGAAGATTAATTTTGCTTGCAATATTTGCAAAACAAAATGCGCAAGGTCGATTTTAAGGCGATGTTGAGGAAAGGGGCTGAGGCAAAATTTTGGGAAAGACTTCGGATGAAGATAAGGCCAAATATCTGGATGAGCAACTGCCTAAGGGCGAGCTCCAGCAGTGGAATGAGCCAAATTTACAGCCTGAAAAGGCCACCACAAAGCGCAGCTCTTGCCGTATGAACGTGATATAAGAAAGCCAAGTGACTTACCATATTGGGATACTCCTCGCGGCGTACAAGGGTAGGGAAGTTATCGTCAGGATTGGCTTGAGCGTAGAGTTTGCCGTCAGCTCCAGAATCGTCGTCTCCGAAGAGGAAGCGAGTCGTGTTGGCTTGATCGAGTCCGATATCGTAAAAGCCTGATCGGGACTTGGTGACGGGCATTGAATACCGGTTGAGGCTGAAAGCGGATGTTGTCAGTGCCAAGTTCGTTTTTGTGATAGGCAGTGATGAATAGTTCAAGAGTTTGATGAAGTTCCCGTCTCTACAAAGTATGGCGAGAGGCTAAACCCAGGGAAACTTCGCTTTCGAATCCTCCAGGCCGAACAGTAAGGATGGAAAGGAGGAAAGAAAGGAAAGTACGTTGGAGGGATAGTGGGAAGTGTAGGGATTGAGGTTTATGGAAGGTGGTGAAAGATGGGGAGGAAAACGGTCTGATATAAAGTATGTGATAGGTGAGGTAAGTGAGCGATTGCACACAGCTGTGCGTCTTAATAATGTAATCGTTGCTTGCTTTAGTACTGTGGACGGGAAACTAAGGGAAGAAGGCTTATTGAAATCGAGTCAAGCGTTCGTCAATAGAAGATGGGGGAGAACAATAGAAGCAGCCAGGTTTTTGAGGCAACGCGCAGCTGTCGATTGTCTTTCCTCATCCAGATATACTGAACGCAACTTGACGAAATTCTATTCCTCCACTTCGCCAACACTGCTTGCCCGGAGCCCGGAACTCACAGGCATCAAAGCTGTTTGATATCGGACGAGCGAAACAGGAAGGCGCTTTTCAGAAGACTAGGCAGAGGGGAGCAACTTACGCATTAGCTGATCGATGTGAGGTAGGGTCCTGGCGGATGGCCTCCTCCTTCTCGTCTTCGTCACTGTTTCTACGCGATCCAGGAACGGAGCGAGAGGGCAGCTGGTCGTCGAAGGCAAAACGAGACTGCAATATGCCAGACTGCGGTGAAGCAAGTTGAGATCCAGATCGGCCGGGCCGATTATACAAGCCCGGGGGAGATGTCAGGCTCGAAGTAGAGTACCGGTTCGGACGAGAGAACATGGTTGGGAAACCAGAGGATGTCTCACGGTACTCAGGTGGCGTCGTGGGCTCGGATTGATGGCCGGACATCCTGCCGATGTCTTCTTGCATCTGTGCCAGCTCGAGCTCCTCTCGGCGCTGCTGCTGGTCTAGCTTCTGCATCTCGGCCTCAAACCGCCGCTTCTGTTCCCGAAGCCTCTCATATTCCATCCGCTTCTTTTCTAGCTATTTCTTTGTCAGTTCAAGTTGCTGATTGCGGGGGTATCACAATGGAGAGTTTGACAGCTCGCTGTCGATGGTGTTGAGCTCCAGAAACAAGTGTCTTTGGAAGCTCATCATCAACACACTCACCAATTGAACTTTCTGTAAAGCCTGTCAAAGAAATGGGTCAGTTATATCCAATGGTGCATTTGTGTCGACAACACAGAACAATGCCCGGGCCACGGCAAAGAGGAGTTGTCCAGTTCAAAGTCTTGACAGCTGCACGGCACGCACCTGTGTGGCAGCGAAGTCCTGCGGCTCTGGACCACGCTGGGTTGTAATAGTAGACAATGTTGGTACACGCCCCGAGTCGGTGGTGAAGCGGCGAGGCAAGGTCGATCGAGGGTCGTGGGAAGGCACCGACTGTTGCAGGCGAGTGCCATTCCGAGGAGGGGAGACAAGAGAGTTCATTGGGGCTTCGTTTCGAGGAGACTGCTGGGATCGGAAGTCCATTTCAGGTACAAACTACAACGCTCGACTTTCGTACACGGCCGAATTGGCTATCGGATCCGGTCTATTATACTGCAAGAGAGAAGACATGAGTTAGCCGACCGAGAGGAGGTTCTGGCAGTGCGATGACGAGGCGGTCTTGCTGATCGCAGAGGTGGGGAGAGAGGGGGACCCCTTCGGGAGGAGGATAATGTAGTAATGTAGGTATGTCAGAGGAGGTTGACGCTCTCGTCCGCCACCCTACATTAAGGCAGGCTCGTGGCACTTGCGGTGTGCGCCCTCTGCATCACCTTTGGCGTTTCGGGGGCTCGACGGACGGGACTGGGCTGGCTTCCCGCATTTCCAAGATGCATGCAAGCAAGACGGACAGCTCAACAAAAAGGGGGCGACTCACCTGGTAAAAACAACTATATGGCACACGTTGCGCCCTGGAGAGCCAGGAGCAGCAAGGAGAGGTGAGCAAGCAGTCTGGATAATGAGCGTGGGTTGCAAGAGAGGAGGGAGACTCCAGGTTCAAGAGGAAGCAGGCCAGAAAAGATGCTGGCTGGCTGGCTGGCTGGCTGGGTGCGGGCGCTGGGGGGCGGCCCTCCGGCGGTGCTGTTGCTGGTACTGGTGCTAGGTACTGAGGAGGAGTAAGTCCTGGCGCTGGTGCTGATGCGGGCGAACCCCTGGCTGGACCCTCTGACCCTCCCCTCGTGGTCCCACGAGAGAGACGGGCACCAGGTCCCAGCACTAACACGCCCGTAACCGCTCTTTTCCTTCCTTCTGCCGCACTTGACAACGCTCGCACGCAGGCTTCTCCGTTGGATGGATGGATGGATGGATGGATGGGGGCCGGGGTATCGCATCGACGTCAGACACCGGCGCAAGATCGAAACGGTTCTGGGTCTTCTGGCATTTTGGCATTGGCATTGACTACCTTATCTACTCTTAAAAGTCTAAATTGTTTCTCTCTCCATCCTCTACGGCAACGATTCGAAACAAACTGCTCAAAGAGGGCAGATACGCGAACATTGGACGGATGATTCACCCAAGCTTCGAGGAACGTGCTCGTGCTGAGCTATTTGCTAAGGTAGTGTCCCGTTTGTACGTACCTCTCCTTAGCAATGGAACCCTTGAGTGAGCAGCGTTGGGGCCAAGGACCCGTTAGAGCGCGGCCCCTATCCTATCCGTCCGTCGACGGGCGCTCTAGCAACGACTGACTATTCGATCCAGACCGGACACGCAAGCGACCAAACTGTTAGTCGTCTCTTGTGGCTGCGGTTGCGGTTGCGGTTGCTGGCACATCCTTAGAATTCGAAGACTCACATCAGCGGTGTGGGCATGCATGTCTTCCTGTCACATATTACAAGGCTTGCTCCTGCGCGCGCACGCACTGCTGTCCTCGCCTTTCGGTGCCGGGGAAGGCAAGTAAAGGTAAGGTCAGGTAAGGTAAGGGATCAGGATGAACCGTGCTCTCTCTTTCTGTTTCGGTCAACCCAGCTTCGGCCTACGGTAAGTAATAGGTAGGTAACTTGATGTAAGTGTATGCGGCCCATATGCGCCCCCATTCCCCTTACCCCTCCATGGGACCTCGTCTTTGCCCTGTGAGCAGCCCCTCCTGCCGCTTCGTGTCTTGCAGGACGCTTGAGGACCTGAAACCGCGATAGCAAGCTACTCGTGAGGCCCTTCGTTTGTGGAGGCGTGGATGGGCTTGTACCCAGCGGGTTGGGAAGAGCTTGGGTTGGGGGAGTCTGGTATCAGACTAACACGCCTGCACGGTCGTCACACCACATGCAGGAGAAGAGAGGACAGCAGGAGACTGTAATGCGTGCGTACCGACTATCTACATGCAGAAGTACCCGAGAACAATGACCTACCTACCTACAGTAGCTAGGTAGCTTGACCAACGTACACTTTGATTGTCTTCCACACACGAGCTGCAACCAAGGCAGATCTCGGATCCGTGGTTCAAATGCTCCGGCGTTGGACAGACTCCCGCTATACGTGAATCATCAGCAGACGGGTTGAGCAGAGCCGATGGCAACTCGCCAAAGCCGTCTGGACTCTGGACTCTGGTAGCGCCGTGCGTCTTCGACAGTTCCTCAGGATTCAAGCCCAAACAATAATGGACGGGCAACAATTGGTGGAGTGGGGATGGACATTCATGAGTGGCTGTCCTCCCCAAGTAGCATGTATGCAGGTGCATTTATCCGGCCTAGCTGGCAAAGACCACAGAGATGGGTCCTGTCGACTATCAAACATTGCCTCTGTCTGCAGTACGCTGGAGGTAAGATGCCCTTCTGCAGATCAAGCAGGCGATCACAGTTGCCGGTTTGCGTCCAGACTGTCGATGAGAAGCGGCAGGGCTTCGAGATCTCTGTGATGGAAGCTCTTGTTGCTCTCCATCCGCCCATTGCCGACTTTGAGTTACCCTGAGCCCCTCCTTGCGCAAGAGTCTTCAAAGAACGGACCCTCTTCATATCCATGTTCTTTCTGGCTCTTTAGCAAACATGAGGTACCCAGGTAGCCCCTCCGCAACGGCACCTTGCCCACTCCTAGCTTCTCACTAACAACCCAACCCCTTTCTTACCACTTTCAAGGCTTTACCTTGCACACAGTAAACTCATCGTTGCCCGCTGTAACAGAGGCTTAGCGCGGCTACAAAATCTTTGCTCCACCCGCAGGCGTTGACTACCTACACAGCTACGAAACGCTCACCATATGCTACCTAGGCACCTACCTTGGGTCTCCAAGTAGGTACTGTACATAGTAGAGACCTGGCATGCAGCTCTCTTGTCTTGTCTAGACATCCGCACAGTCGGCCCGCTGAATCATTCGACAACTCCCCTCGCCGTCGACATCACTTGTGCGGTGAACTACGCAGCAGGTAGTTAACAAAGACTTTTTCCCCGCCCGAACGGCTTCGGCATTATTATGACTCTGTACGCGTCCCAGGATTTGCCTTGACGGGAGTCTGACCCGATGGTCGAGCAGGAGATTAACAGAGCTTAGCGCCCGTGCTAGCATCGCATCGACAAACGGACGATGCTAGTCGAGGCTCCGTCATTTGTTGAGTGGCAAGGGGCCACCACGGCCCATCGTGTCTCTTTTTTCTCCTTCACCGACTTTTAAGGTCCCGCATTGGATCGAGGCAGAGGTGGAGGTGGGGGGAGACGATGCCACCGCAAAACCCTCGCGACGATCAGTGGCATTCCTGTTACGTCGGTCGACGAAGACCGACAGCAAAGGTCTGCAGTAGTCGACAACAATCCCACAGTCCCGCGCATGCATGTCCGACTTCGCGCACAAAAACGACTCATGGCCAGAAATTGCTCAAACCAATCAATTAAAGAAGCACAGAATGTCCTGGAGAAGAATGTCTAGACTCGGTCCATCCATGTACACGACAACTCCACTGGGTGGGGGGTTGTCGAGGAGGCTCTTGTGGCCGGTCCTGCACGCAACGAGCCGAGATATCCAATCCTTGCCTAGCAAATAAGCAGTACGTATAACTGTTCTGTGATGTTTTCCAAATCTCCAGAAAGCTTTAGACGCTGGGATGACATAACTGTAAGTATCGTTGCTGGCGAGACCCTTTGTATACCTTCCAAGGGCTCAACCAGCCGCTCTCATCTTCGCACAAAAGTTGCCAGGGGATAGATCACATTTTGCCTACTGTATGCACAATGCTTGCAATCCTCAATGTCTGCCAACACAGCATTGCATCGGAAGCACGAGGACGCATCCAGGCTTGCGGGGAAGTTGTGTGTCCCAATCCAATTACTAGGGGGCGGTCTCGCTCTGTCCTGCCAACAATTGCATCTTTCCAAACTGATAGTTGCCTTCCCTCCTTCGTCCAAGCCCTAAGCCACTGCCTCTGGAGGACCCCTGAACACATCTGGTCAAATGAGGGGTGGTGCTGCAAGGGCAGGTAAGCTAAAAATAAAGATGCTGGCAGCACTTTGAGCTACAAAAACATTGGTGATTATACAAATGCAAAGACGAGAGGACCAGTACGCATTCCTTCCATTTACTTAAAACTTGCGCGAACGGAAAACCACCTGGTATGCTAGAATTATCACACAACATGAAGCAAGTCCAAGTCAACATCTGTATTTGAGAAATAGAGCATAGGTGGAAAACATTTCGGGATGCTTCAAGGTATGTCCTGAGAATGACTGCCAAGGCTTCCCATCCACCAGCTTGTTGTGAATCATGCCTGGCTTGACAACATCCTGCTTTAGCATCATTCGTAGTAGTATAACATAAACTCCTGGTAACATAAGAAGCTATTCATTGCATAAGCACCACTGATTCAAGCTCTTATTAAGTTGAAGCGATAATTATGACAACAAGTATTAAGCAGCATTGGCATGTGCCCTTTCTTCAGGTGACAGACAACTGCTTTAGGGGACTTAATTAAAAGTCTCCCTGGATGCGTGGGAAGCTTAAAGGTTTACATGGTCGTGGCCAACCCTCCAAACCACATGTCGACTCCACTAGCTTAGCTCTTATCGATAAGCTGCTTCTTCGCGGGGCTGCCGTAGAGTCACTCCAAAAATATTTTGATAGCTTCATCAACAGATCTGGAACGTGGAAAAAATGAGCACGGCCACAATGCGAAAATGCCGATGATGGACGACGGTTTCGAGGCTCTCTTAGAGCCCTTCTACAATGGCAAGGCATTGACAGACCCCATCTCCACCAAGGACGACAAGTACCAGCTTCTCCCTGCGTTCTTGAAAGTAAAGGGTGAGTGATCAACCAAGCGCATTCTTTCCAAATCACTCCAGCTAACTCCTATAACCCACAGGTCTCGTCAAACAGTATGTTTTCATCAGTCGCCTGGAGCTCAATGAGATATCGGGCTAATGAATCGAATTGCAGGCACATCGACTCCTACAATTTCTTCGTAGATCACGAGATCAAGGAGATTGTCAAGGCGAACCGAACAATCCGAAGCGATGTCGACAAAAACTTCTTCCTCGAGTTCACAGACATTCGTGTCGAGCGGCCGACCCGGGCAGACTTCAGCGACGTTAAGGCCCACAACGACGTCACACCCATGGAATGTCGCCTGCGAGACATGACCTACGCTGCTCCGATGGTCGTCGACATTGCATTCATGCGAGACAGGAAGAAGGTCATCCGCCGGAATATTATTCTTGGACGGATACCTGTCATGCTTAAGAGCTCAAAATGCTGTCTGCACGGGGCCTCCAACTCAGAGATGGAGGTAATGAACGAATGCCCCCTTGACCCGGGCGGTTACTTCATCATCAACGGGACGGAGAAGGTCATTCTCATTCAGGAGCAGCTGAGCAAGAACCGTGTCATTGTGGAGGCCGACGAAAAGAACAATATCATCTCTGCGTCCGTCACCAGTTCGACACACGAGAGAAAGTCCAAGACATATGTCACACTAAAGAAGGATCGCATAGCGCTACAGCACAACGTACTAGTGGAGAACATACCCATTATCATCGTTCTTAAGGCCCTCGGCGGATTGTCTGATTATGAGATCATGCAACTTGCCGCCGGCTCCGATGGACGCTACCAGGATGATTTTGTGGTAAACTTCGACGAAGCGACCAAAGCCGGTGTATTCACCCAGCAACAAGCACTTGAGTACATCGGTGCTCGTGTGAAGATGGGCACACGAAACAAACCACAGGCCGGTATGCAAGCTAGGAGGAACAATGTGGAAGAAGGCCTTGACGCATTGGCAAATATCATTATCGCCCACGTTCCTATCGAAGGACTAGACTTTTATCCCAAAGCTATCTATGTCGCAATGATGGTCCGCCGAGTTTTGATGGCGGCACATGACCCAAAATTGGTCGATGATCGTGATTTCGTCGGAAACAAGAGACTTGAGTTGGCTGGCCAGCTTCTGTCACTCCTTTTTGAGGATCTGTTCAAGAAGTTTCTCGTCGACCTTCGTATGAACATCGACAAGTTTTTCAAGAAACCCAACAAGGCGGTCGCCTTTGATCCCCTGAACTCTATCAGCGCATCAGGCGGGCACATCTCGGCCGGTATGAACCGTGCGATCCAGACTGGAAATTGGAGTGTGAAGCGATTCAATATGAACAGAGCTGGTGTCACCCACGTCTTGAGTCGATTGAGTTATATCAGTGCCCTCGGCATGATGACTCGTATCAGCAGTCAATTCGAGAAGACCCGAAAAGTCAGTGGTCCAAGAGCTTTGCAACCTTCGCAATGGGGCATGTTGTGTCCCTCCGATACCCCTGAAGGAGAGGCTTGTGGTTTGGTGAAGAACTTGGCATTAATGACGCATATCACTACTCATGTCGATGAGGAGCCAGTAAAGAGATGGATCTTCAGTCTTGACTCTAGTGTTGAGCCTCTGAGAAATTTCTCTGGTTCAGAAATGCACAAGGAGGGCTGTTTCATGATCAACGTCAACGGTACACCATTTGCAATGACTCGACACCCAAAGCGTTTCTGTGGTAAATTCAGGACAATGCGACGTCGAGGTTGGATATCGCCGTTTGTCAGCATCAATGTCAACACCCACTTCAACCAAGTACATATCGCTACGGACGAGGGTCGTATTTGCCGACCCTACATCATCGTCAAGAACGGAGCTTCAAAACTCAAACCCGAGCATCTGAGATTATTACAGATGGGCAAAGCCACATTTGATGACTTCCTAAGGAATGGTGTCGTGGAATACCTCGATGTCAACGAAGAAAACGATGCCCTTGTTGCTTTATATGAGAACGAGATTACTCAGAGTACGACACACGTCGAGATTGAGCCCTTTACCATTCTTGGAGCAGTGGCTGGACTTATTCCCTTCCCTCATCACAATCAGTCACCGCGAAACACATACCAATGTGCTATGGGTAAACAAGCCATTGGTGCTATTGCCTACAATCAATTCAATAGAATTGACACACTCCTATATACCCTAGTCTACCCTCAAAGGCCTATGGTCATCACAAAGACCATCGAGCTTGTGCATTACGACAAACTTCCGGCTGGCCAAAATGCAACCGTTGTCGTCATGTCCTTCTCCGGATACGATATTGAAGATGCCTTGGTTCTGAACAAGGCGTCATGCGATAGAGGATTTGGCCGCTGTCAAGTCTTCCGAAAATACACTGCAGAAATGCAAAGATACCCCAATGGACGCGCAGAGCGCATCGGGCCTCCCGAGATCGATCCCAAGACTAACACGCGAGTTCAAAAGCACGGGTGTCTGGACGCAGACGGTCTTGCGAATGTGGGCTGGAAGGTCCATTCTGGGGAGGTCATGATCAAGAAGGAGACTCCGATAGACTGCGGCACAACAGGTATCGGTTCTGACAGAGGACCAAATGACTTCCGCGATTCGTCTATTCTTTATCGCATACCTGATCCTGCCTATATTGACAAGGTCATGGTATCCCAGACTGAGAAGGAGACTTTAATTGTCAAGGTCCAGACGAGGCAGACTCGCCGTCCAGAACTTGGTGATAAGTTCTCATCCCGTCACGGCCAAAAGGGTGTGGTTGGTATCATAGTTGACCAGGAGGATATGCCCTTCTCCGACACGGGCCTCGTTCCTGACATTATCATGAACCCTCATGGTTTCCCTTCTCGTATGACAGTCGGCAAGTTGCTGGAATGCTTAACCGGCAAAGCGTCGATTGTCCATGGCCGAAAGAAATACGGCTATGGAGACGCATTCCGCTCCCATCCAGTTGAAGACATGGCCAAAGTCCTTGTCGAACACGGCTTCTCCTGGGAAGGCAAGGACTACTTCACCTCTGGTATTACTGGAGAACCTCTAGAAGCCTACATCTTCAACGGTCCGATCTACTACCAGCGCCTGAAGCACATGGTGCAAGACAAAATGCACTCTCGATCTCGTGGTCCTCGCGCCATCCTGACAAGACAGCCGACGGAAGGTCGATCTCGAGATGGTGGTCTGCGTCTAGGAGAGATGGAGCGTGATTGCTTGATTGCATACGGCGCCTCCCAGCTGCTCCTGGAGCGTCTCATGACGAGCTCTGATGGAGTCAACATCGACATCTGCCAGCGTTGCGGTCTCTTCGGCTACAAAGGCTTCTGCCAGACGTGCAAGAGCACAAGGGAGGTCACGCAGATGACCATGCCGTATGCTGCGAAGCTACTAGTCCAGGAGCTGATCAGTATGAATGTTGGCGTGAGGTTGCAGATGGAGGACGAGTTCCCTCATCCGAGGTAGCACAACTCTACAGACGGTGTACGAGTAAATAACCCTTCTCTCAATGGGCGCAAGGGGATTCTTGCGTGTTAGCTTCCTTAGCATCGAGCGACACTCTAGCATTTGCATGGCAATGAGTATCAGGGATGGGTCTAGATAGAACGGGTAGCGAATATCAATCCTATCAAAACACCATTTGACCATTGTGGTCATCCGCATACCCTAATTCACCAAAATGTGATATGATACTATACAAAGTGTTTGCATTTTTATGGTTCATACCAACCCCATATAGTCATGGTCTCGTAGTAATCATTTCTCCTTTTCCTTGGTCACCGCCCGTAATCCACCCATATTGACCTCAAACTCCACCGCGCCATCCAGCCCAGGTCCCGTAGCCGCCACATGCGGCGCGAACACAACCTTCATCCACCGCCGCCACATCTTAAGCGTCGGCATGCCACGGGCCTCGTCCTCCTCGCCGTTGTAGCGCGACAGCCCGTACGCGGTCTTCTTGAACAGCGCGATGCGGCACGCGATCTGCGTCGACCACACCAGCCCTAGGCTCGGCGTCTTGAGCGCGTACGAGGCGAAGGGGTCGTCGCCCCACCCTGTGAACCACCGCTGCTGATGGTCGAGCATCAGCGCCGGCGGAGCGGGAGGGCCGAGGTCCTCTGACCCTGGGGGAGGGGGCGGCATGTATGTGGATGGCGGAGGCGCCGGCTCCGGCATGCTAGACCGCGGGAGGGCGTCGGCCATGGAGGACGACGGCTCGACGGGCGGGAGAGGCTGGGCGGGAGGTCTGCTCCGGGATGCGAGGGGGCTGTCCTGCGAAAACTTCACGTGAGATGTGTAGGGCGTCGACGTCCTGCCGCTCCTGAGGCTGCTTGCGTTGCGGAGGACTGATACCGGGCTAACGGTGCCGAAACGGTCCGCCACCTGGTTGGCCACGACGACCGCGAGGTTGTACTTGCGCGCCAGATCGCGGAGCAGCATGCCCAGTCGCACGAGCTCCGCGCTGCGTGCACCCATGTTCGATGACAGTTGACCCGAGCCGCCGCGCTCGAACTCGGCCCGGTAGTTCGCGGCCACGGAGTCGAGCACGATGAGGCCTACGTTGCGCCGCTCGACCTCCACGGGAACCTGGTAGGTGAGGATGTGATCCTGGGACTCGAGGTCCGGGGTGGCGGTGCTGACGATGTTGTCAAGAGATGGGCGGGTCTCGCCCGTGTTGAAGAGCGGGTTGTTATTTAACATCTGAGATAGGCGCCGGGTAGAGAGGGCGGCCTCGGTAGAGATGTATAATGCCGGCCGGGATAGCCCGTATGGCGGAGGCAGCTGCACGGCGAGCAGCAATGAGAGAAGAAATTGCGTCTTGCCGGCGCCGCTTTCGCCTGTGATCTCGGTCACGTAGCCGGTTGGGATGCCGCCGCCCAAGGCCGCGTCCAGGGTTTCATCTAAGGTGCTGATAGTAGAACGCGCCGCTTTCAAGTCTCCCGGTGACTGTCGCAAAGGCTCTTGAGGCCTGTTGTTTGAGGGCGAGTCTTTTTCTTTGTCTGATGTCTTCTTGTCTGAGACGCCGAGGTCAGAGTGAAGTGCTCCCAACACGGCATTACAAAGCCTCTTGAGATCCAAGAGAGGCAGCTGGGTGCGCTTGCCAATGTCAGCGACCTCGAGAGTGAGCAGGTCGCTCACTGTCACCTGGTGCTTCTCCAGGCCGGGGATGAGGCTCGCATACTGGCCAACAGGGAAGGTTGGCAGGACGCGTAGCAAATCGGTCATGAGGCATTGAGCGGTCCGACCTCGACCTGCGATGTCAGTGAGCAGAAGTCTGGCTGGCTGGGATCGCTACATGTATAGGCGCGTCGCGCACGTTGGATTAGTGGCGTTCAGGTAGCGTCCAGAGCTCTAGTGGGGACTGTGGCAGCTCCCGGGTGTGGGGTTCCACCAAATGTTAGTGCTTCTATGGTAGATATCATCCACTCCCGGAGGAACTGTCTTGCTGATTACCGCCTCATATGTGCATTCTTGCCACTACTGCACCATTGCGACCTTTGCTGAGAAGCTGTCAAATTTGACTTGCTCCTGCTCCTTTTGTTTTCTTTTTGCATCCTAGCTCAATCAAGTCTTGTGTGAAATATTCCGATATTATTCTATTCTATCGACTGCTAAGTGCGCTCAGTCGTCACTATTAGCTATATGCTAGATTGAAGTCACGAGCAGATTCAAGTCGACAACAACGCCACGATGTATCCAATATTTACGGCTCATCCAATATGTGGCTTCCGTGCTTCCGTTTGTTAGGTTGTCTCAAGACAGCTAAGGCAGATATAACACGAGGCTCAAGATGTATGTAACAGAACAGCACAGCACTACTGATTGTAACGCCAGGGAAGGCGAGTCTTGGCGATCAACCCATGGCCCAGGGCACACAGCCAGGTCTTTTCAGCTACTGCAAGCCACACCCCTCTGGGATGATCACGCCCGACAATTGGCTGCATATCTGCCCGCTCATCTCCTCAAGGTGCCTGTGGCAGTCTAATATTGGAAAGGGAATGGTCTAAGGCTGAGCGGGTTGTGCCCAGAGGCGTCTGGAGTAAGGTGGGCTTTCTTTTCCTCCGAGTCTCCTAAGCTACATAGGCAGCATGCCCCCAAGTGGGATCATGACGCCAGTTCTGCTGGTCCTTGTGTTTGTAAAAACAATGTCTCCGAGAATTGGCGGATCTTGTAGTCTCTTATCTCATTGTCGCTCATTTTCTTGACCATGGGAAGGGCAAGCGTTTATATGCTGGCCGCGTTTGGCGCAACTATCCAAGCTCTTATCTTTCCCGGTCCCGAGGCTACAGATGCTGTTGTGACCCCGACCAATGCGCAAAGCCCGCGACCGACTAGACCTCCAATTTTCAAAGAGCTTCGAAGGAGGCAGGCCTCGAGTACCGACGAGACATTTCTTGTAGCACCTGATAATACATGTGGTTATGTTAGTGGATTGTCAAGTGAGATTATCTCCTCCCCGGTCTATCCTCAGCAAAAATGCTAACGTGCAAAGGCGCATATTATACTTGCAATGGGGAGACGGACCTTTGTGTCTTCATGACAGCTACGGGCAGCTTGCCCGGGGCTGTTGGGTGCTGTGACACGACTGATTGTGGCTTCCGAGTTACTTGTTACGATTATGACCAGATGTCCTCGTCGAGTCTATGTGACAGTGACTGTTTAACAAACACGTTCTATGCTAAATGGTATGAGCACTCTAATCGAGAAACATCCTTCAAGAACGTCTGGGACTAACAGCGGATCAGCACCGATACGACCGCCAAGTTTTGCAACACAATTTCCTTTGATGGGGACATAATAGACTATTTCTGCAATTCGCGAAACATCTCGGTGCCTATGGTGGCTTCAACCACCTATAGCGGGGAGACAGATGGCAGGAGTTTCCGAGAATTAGTCCTCACAGGGTCAAGCAGCATACCACTCACGACGCCGTCGAGCTCAACGGAAACCAGTACCACTACATCGAGTTCTTCTTCATCGTCCACGAGTAGCATCATAACATCGACCACAACCGCTGCTTCGTCAGGGGGTGGCGGCTCATCTACCCCGGTCGGCGCAATCGTAGGAGGCGTGGTAGGGGGTCTTGCTGTTTTAGGCCTATTGCTATTCGGAATCTTCTTCGTCCTACGATCGAACAAGAAGAAAGCTCAGCAGCCACCAGCCCAGCCTCAGCAACCAAGCTATCCGCCGATGGCTCAGCAGCCGCCACCACCCTCAAACCATGCAACCTACTACGGCGGACAGCCAGATCCTTCAAAAATGGGCCAGCAAGTACCTTACGCCCAGAACTACGTCTCACCAACCCCGCCTAGTGCGCCGCAGTTCGGGGCGTCTCCGAATCAGTATCCCCAGGGGTACCAAGGAGGCTACTTCGTCCCCGGCCAGGAGGGCATGCAGCAACAAGGGCAATACTCTCCTGGCGTGGTGCCGGGACAGGCGTCAGATCCTACTGGCAACACATCGCCATTGTCAGACGGTCATCGGATCAGTCAGCTTCCAAGCAGTCCGGTGTCAACAGCGCCGAGTTATCAGCAATTCTATCCTGGGCAGACAGGTCTACAGCAGGCGCAACAAAGTCCAGTTTACGAGGCCGGGGGCAATGTTGTGGGAGCATCTGATTACAACGCAAACCACCGAGGGCAGATGCATGAGATGGGCCAATGAGTTGGCTACTGTGATAGGAAGCCAAGGCCTGGGCATCGTCGTTGGGTGTTCTCCTTCTCACGGTTATTACACTAACTTCGACTAAGTCCGCTGGCGCTGGTGACACATTATTGCATTGTCGGTTGATGAAATCTTGCATGCCTGGTGGGAGAAAGGAGTCTAGGATGATCAATCACATGTAATTAAAGTAATTAAACTGCCGCTAAACAGACAGGCTACAATATACGCTCGCAAAGCAAATCGAGCGTCAGATTTGACATGGAAAAGAAGCAATCCCAATGGGGTATCTCTTCGTAATACCAACAAAACCACAAGGAACGTACTCCGTTAGGAAAATTGCGTCAAGGTCCTGAATCATAATAGAAAAACTATGTGACGAAAGCCGTGAGATGCTGCCCCTTCGCCTCGTCGTGCAAGAATCGTTGAAATCAGAAGGACTCATGTTGTTTTTGGGGGGGATGAATCATCCATGCGTGAATGAACAACTTGGAGGTTGGTAGGCAAATTAAGCCTAGATGTACACGACAAAGCCGCAAGCACAGTGAGGATAGGAGGTACAGCTGGCCGCTCCTCATCATCATCTGGAGGTCTTAGTCATCCGTGAGATCAATTAGATCTCTGCCACCATCACGCTTTGAGATCTTCAATGGCCGACTGGGCCCGGCATCGCCCGTCAAATCATACGACTGGTCGTGTTCACTCTTGACCGATCTTCGGCGCTTCGATGATCTCTCGTCCTGACGGCAATAATTAGCCTGTACTGGTTAGAAATGACGATTTATCATACCTTGATCTGAGCCAATCTTTCTTTTGCTAGGCGGGCGATCTCATCGGCAGCGAGCCCATTAAGCTGAAGGTCTGGACTTGGAGATCGAGGGATGATCATTTCTTCCTTCAGAGCCTCTGAACAATGATTAGCAATTTTCTCAGCTGCCAGCTCCTCTACCAGTTGTGGTACGCACCCCGTGATCGATATTTGAAAGTAAAAATTGCGATAGGGTCATTGTCAATATAGACGCAATCTACCGTCCTCGACTTCTCCGTCGGGACTGCTTCAGAGTAGCTGATTCGGTTAGTTTTCAATTTGCCAACTAATAAGTTAGGGGAAATCACCTTGTTCCGTGTGAGACAGCGCGGCCTTTCAGTGCTTTTTCGGCGATCGAGAACTCCGCAATTTGTTTGTCTTGAGCGAAGAGCTTTGGAAGCGTTTCGCCCACTTCAATTCTACTGATCTTGACCTCGATCAAGCCTAGATGCTTGGCACGCTTGATATCTTGCTTCACGCGACTCTTGTCAGTGTCGTCCACTGGTTTTTGGTTATTAGAGGTGCATGCATTGATAAGGGCGGAGAATCTCACCCTTGTGTAAAGGCGCAAATTTGAATTTACAAAGCAGCGAGGGACCGTGTTCGCTGTGCTTCACATGGCCTCTAAATTCGGTCGACCAGGTGTTTTGCAAAACAGCCTTTCGCCCGCAAATCTTGTTTGTAACATATTTGCCATCGGCAGAAAGGTGGAAAACGAGACCATGGTCTGCTCCCTGATTCAGCCAAGAATACTCGCCAGTCAAGCCTGCAGAGATCGAGAACTCGGCGCCATCGATACACTCGATGTACTTGTTACAACGGATAGGAAACTCCCCGTCTCCCTCCCCCCCGTCAGGATCATCATATTCGGGCGCTGTGCTCCCATTGATTTTGACGCCCGCCTCGAGCTTGAAATCCTCGATCACCGCCATCTTTGGAAGGCTTGTACGGGGTGAAAAACTAGTGCGGGTAATGGGATGAACAGATAGTGTAATAAACGGTTTGCCGTCCTGTCAAGATATCCAGAATCTGGAATGCGAAATAAGGCCGGAACGGAACTCTGGGCAGGGCTTGTTCTGAGACGGCTTAGTGCTGTAGACTCTGACTGCTGCCGAGTGATGATACCTCCCTTCACCTTGAGGTCATCGGGATGAAAACAGGAAGGCAGTGGGCTCCGACTCGGCAGCCAGCATCTCAACTGATGGTGTGTTGAAGCTGTAAGGTCTCACCTCGAAATCTGGGGAAGGATCAAGAACAGTGTACAAGGAAAGTTTGGAAAAAGAGAAGGTCCAAGAAAGGCACCACTGACCCACCTTCCCCAAACCTGGAATTCTGCCTCGTTCCAACCCAAGTGGTAGGCCTGGGAGGCTGCCCTGGTGAGGCTGAGGCTGAGGCTGCAATGTGCATTTAGCTGGAGGTGTGTGCTGGCCAACCGCTGATAGTGACTTTACTTCAACCTTGAAGTCAAAGTGTGTATGATAAAGCTTGTGGCTGAGCCATCAAACAATGACTGACCTACCAATGCTACCTCGCCATGAAATAGGCACTGACTACCGGACTTATCACTCAAACATTTGGCCTGAGACATGCTCTCTTGCTTCATATTGCTCACTAGACGCTCAGTGAAGCATAGAGACGCATGTCTTTTGATGCTCAGTGGAGTTGCTAAACCGGTGGAGCACGGTAAGGCTAAGTGATGTTACTCCTGGTAAGACAGCGCTCTACAAGCTCCCACGTGGGTGAGCTTAGTACGCGGGTGGTTAGGCCTTGGAGGTGATCCACTCGCACCCGGAAGGATCTTGCGGCCTGAGGCACACATTGGCCAGCTCAACGTAGGGAGAGCAAGCTCCGAATACTCCATTCCGTCGGCATCCAGCTGCTAATATACGTCGATTGGCTCTTCACTTTCACGTCGTTTTGAAGCTGCAATATGCTCGCTGTCGGCAATGTGGGAGCCAAGTCGATGCCCTTGAACTCCCATCTCCTTCACTCAGAAGGGGCCTCAACATGTCGCAAGACGGGCCTGGCAACATTCGAGTCTTCGTTCGCTGGGACGATCAAACCGTCTTCGCTGGCGAGGAGGTGAAATGCACCATCGCATTCAAGAACGTGGCCCCGGGCCCAAGCCCACCCCCTAGCCAGCTGAAGCCATCCTCGCAACAACCTCGATCGTCGAATTCGGATCGCTCGAGACAGCCGTCACCTCTCCAAGGACCAAGCCGACCCAAGGGTGCGGTTGGCCTAGCACCGCCCCCCTCGTCAGGTGGCCGTCGCGGCCACCGATCTACTTTGTCTTTGAATGTCCCATCCAGGGGCCAGGGAAATAGACCAGGTTCTGTTCAGTGGCCACCGCCGCAACTACCTAGCGAAAGCCCAAGGACTAGCAGTAATGGAAACGGAAACTCCCACGGCAATGGCCATGGGCACGCTCATCGGCGGTCTCTCTCAATTGTCTCCATTGGGTCCATTGGTTCAGTGAACTCGGTCGATAGTCATCCTCCCAACAGTGCAAGCTTCAGCAAATCACAACGGCCGAATCGTGGTCATGCAAGAGCTTCGAGTCTACAGATTGTACCTCGCGGCAGCCCTTTGATCACTGGACCTAGATCTGGTGAATAAGCCAGTCCCAATTTTATAGTATTCTGGAAAGCTAATCGTTTTGAAACTCAGCTTCGCACCCACAAAGACCGTACAACTCGCAGAATTCCCCGCTATTCAACTCGTCGTATCCCCCAGATAGACACGCACACTACAGACGACAGTCTGGCACCGCGACAGTGCCAAACACTCCAGGACAAGGCATCTCTGTCTCTCCTAGGCTGGGATCTGATACACTATCTGAATTCAAGTTTCCCATGGTGCAGTCTCCGTCGTTAGAAGCAAATGGTGGCTCGTTAAGACCCGCGGACAGTCCCCTGATCAACCCAACATCACCGCTCGGCGAACCCACGAGTTTGCCAGTCCGGTCGAAAGACCCTATTCCAACTATCAATGAACAAGCTGCAGCCCCGGCAGCCAGAGTTCTGTCTACCACGAGTATCGCAGGCACACCTAGAAGTAGTGGGGAATTCTACTCGATGAGCAATAACTCAACGGAGACTCTCGCATCAGAATATGTCACGCACCAACCTTTACGAAGGCAAGGGGGGCCATCGCACTTACGACAGAGATCAAATCTGTTGCCACAAAGGACAAAGTTACCAGAAGCTCTAATGATGGGTTATGCCCAAGTTCAGGGTTCGTTCACGCTCGATGGATCACTCGTGAGCCTTGGCCCGTTCGAACAGGTCAAAAGAAAGGCCGTGGTAGGCGGCCAAGGAGGTGGCGTCATAGGCGTTGAGAGCTCCAGGCGGGAAAGCGGACTTCTCAAGAGTTTCGGGTGGGGGAACTTCACGAATTCCATCGGGGAACTGCTCGGAGGCGGGGAGCTTAGCAGCATCAAGGATATGCGCGGAATCGCAAGCTCTAAGTCAATACCGCTATTGTCAACGCCACAATCTGTTCTTTTCGTCGACCTTCAACTTGCCCCTGGCGAAAGCAAGACATATGAATACTCCTTCAAATTGCCGAAAGGGCTACCTCCAACGCATCGGGGTAAGGCAATGAAGATAACATACAGTCTAGTTATTGGCACTCAGCGACCTGGTGGTGCCAAGGAACAGCAAGTCAAATCGGTAGAGATTCCATTCCGAGTGTTAGGGAGCGTGAACAACCATGGAGAAATCTTGGGTCACGATCTTATGTCACCCTATATACTCTTACGGGACCAAGCCAGAGTGCAGACCGTCGACAAGCCATCAATTTCACGAGATGCGACCCCAAGCAAAGTGCAGGTACAGATGCCTCCCTCCACTATGAACAGCTTCCTATCGTACGTTGACGAGCTTTTGGATCGTTCCGGCAAACGCTCAGGCGCCGGACTTCTATCACCCACAGCTATGCCAAGCTCGAGGCGCCCATCTGTATACGAAGAAGCCACAACAGCTCGAGAAGCAATCGACCTCGCTATTATCAGAAGCAATTTGACGTCGGAGGGCCAACAGAGTGCGAATCGCTTCGAAATTGCTCGAAACGGCCGTCGTGTAGGTGTTGTAATGCTTGCTCGGCCTTCCTACCGTCTGGGCGAAGCTATTTCCATGGCTGTGGATTTCACAGGGGCAGAGATACCTTGCTATGCAGTTCATGCCGCTCTCGAAACTGCAGAAAGAATCGACCCTAGTTTAGCTCTTCGCTCCGAAGCAAGCGTCCACCGAGCGTCACGCAAGGTTTGGGTTTCATCCTCAGAGGCTACATTATACTCTCGACGAATCACATTCAATCCCACAATTCCGGTCTCTGCAACTCCCGAATTTGTCACGAGTGGTGTCAGTCTTGAGTGGAAAATTAGACTTGAATTCGTGGTGCCTGTATATGACGATCGCAAGGAAGAGGAGGAGGAGGAGGAGCAAGACAGCAGTCAAGAGCGGAGATTAACAGATCCGCGCCCACAGACAGGGCCACATCCCCTACTCGAGGAGATCTCTCGAGACGACCGCGGAGGACTTGTACTGGTTGCCGCCGAGAATCTGACTTGCGAGAGCTTTGAGGTGGCTGTTCCGCTGCGGGTGTATGGCGCAATCTGTACTGGTTTGGAGCGTCTAGAAAGAGATGAGGCTCTAGAGGAGGGCCTTGCTGTGTAAAACACTGAAGGAAACTGGCGGCGATTTGGATCGAGCAACGGCATGTTGGCCTCGGCTGTAGCATCTTAGGCGAATATGCCTCTCGCAAATTGGGAGGAGAGGGTTCTTGGAATAAAATCGCGGCGTCACGGAATGCATGAAATGAATAAGTTATAGTCGATAGCGTAGAGCAGAGTGAAAAGAACAAACATGGGGTTTTCTCCATGATCCTACTATGCCTTGCGCCAAACCATATGCATTCTTGATAAAGCTTTCCATCCACTCTACTTGATCATCTTGAACTTAAGACCGCGTGCATTCTTCAACATTGTTACAGCTAGATATACACGAGCTCGCAATCTATTCCTGCATTCCCTTCTCTACGATGTGGGAGCCGTCGAGCTGGGTGTGCTAGTGACAGCTGAAGCTACCTCTGGCAACTCTGCGGTGGGTATCTGTCTTCGCGGCCGCTTCAGATCCTCTAACGTAACTCCTTCAAGCTTGGTGATGCCTACTACCGGCGCATCACCCTTCTTGACGAACTCATATTGCCCTGGGAGTTTGTTTCCGGCCAACCGGAAGGCATCTCGCACTACCTGTTCGTGAATAGCTCCCCTGATCTCGAAGATTATCTGATTGACTGCTACCCTCGTTGCCCAATGATCGAATGAGCCCTTTCCTTTACCCATACGCATCTGGACGTACCATTAGCATTGCCATATTGACCCTGAATAATGCCGACTCAAACTGACCTCGTTACCGCTGACGTACACGCCAATGTTACAATTAACTCTTTTGTACAAACGATATCTCTGACCACGAAGCCTCTGCTTGATTGTGTCCTCGGCGACCTTCAATTGCTGGGCGCTGATCCGGCGGTGGTGGTCCCACATGCGAAGACCATAGTCGCCAACCATCACGGTCGTGCCCTTTGATGAGCCGCCAGTGGGAACTCTCGGTCGCCCCTTCATCATTTTCTTCTTGCGATCGATCTGTGGTTCTAGCCATGAGCCCGCATTGGCGGCAGTCGCTGTGAAAGTCCTAACATGAGGCCGTTGTCCTTGGGTCGTGGCTGCCATGCGGATCGCTGACGGGGTTGTTGCCGGACGCAGCGGTATCGTGGGCGATAACCTCAGCCCTAGGAAGGCACTGAGGAGGGAGGTTGCCTTCCGCGACATCTTCGGCAGGAGTGACTGGATTGATTGCCGTTGAATGCCGTGTCTCTCTGGCAGGTTCGAGCCTCCATGATCAGAAAAGTTGACGGCGGAGCTCGGACCACCTTAAACGACACTAGCCTGACTCTCCAGTCAGGCATGTGGACCAGGCGTGCCAGGGGAGCTCCTGCCTACTGTGCCTAAACTGAAGTGAGCTAGCTACCTGGAACACTTAACGCCAAGGGCGCGCGACACGTCCATGACGCGAGTGAATTTCCTAGGCTCCAACGCTCTCAATTCATCGGTTCGCCTCTCCAGCAACTTCACTTAATTGCAGGTGGCCGCAGGCCGACAATTCCTCAATGCCCATCTGAAATTCGTATGAATCTCACTTCAGAGAATAATTGATCATCGGCAAAAAAGACTTGTCTCACAATGCCTGCTGATATCCGATCGTTTTTCGGCGGCAAAGGGGGCGCCGCCCCAGCGAAGGCCCCGCCCAAGAAGGAGAACGACTCGGCCAAGAAACCACGGGCGAAGGGCCGCAAGGTCGTCGATGATAGTGACGAAGACGATGAGCCTGTAGCTCAACCGAAAAAGCAGGCAAAGGCCACCCCGAAGAAGAAGGCTGCAGAACCCGATGCCGTTAAGGGGACTGCCATCTCCGCCAACGACTATTTCGCATCTTCCAAGGCAAAGCCTCAGAAAGTTGATGGCACACCAAAATCAGCTACCAAAACTCGTACCCAGGTCGAGATTCGACAAAGTCCACGGAGCAAGCAGCCGGCTGCACCTCCCGCGGCCGACACAGCGAAGAGTGCCACAAATGGCATTAAGAAGAAAGCCACAACAACATTTCACAAGCATGGCCTTGACGACGACGAAGATGCATACATGGACGATGAAGATGGAGGGGACGATATCTTCGCTGCTGACATTAAGGGCCGTAAGAGAAAGAACGACGACTACGAGGATGATGATAGTGAGGACGAGTTTCTGCCAAAACCTAAACGGGTGGCCTCTCGAGGCAAGCCTGCAGTGAAGGCCGAGGAATCGGATCAAGATGTGAAGCCTACCGCAACGAAAGCAGCCAAGAATGGCAAGCCAGCAGCGGCCGGCAAGAAGCGAAAGACTCCTGTTAGTGACGAGGATTCAGATGATGCCACTCCACGCAAAAAGGCTGCTGCTAAGCCTCGTGCTCCAAGAGCGAAGAAGGCCGCAGAACCAGAGAGTGCCGACTTCCAAGCCATCATTGATGCTGTCCCCACTGTCCGACCTCCAACACCACCGCCCAAGGACCCGAACTTCAAGTTTGATTGGCGAAAGGCAGCTCCTGGGGGTGGTAACTCCGGGCCTCCGCCTAATGCGGGCGCTGCCGATATCCCTGAAGGAGAGGAGAACTGCCTGATCGGTATGACTTTTGTTTTTACGGGCTTGTTAAAGACCATTGGCCGAGAAGAGGCTCAAGCTCTCGTCAAACGATATGGTGGAAAGGTCACAGGTGCACCGAGCAGCAAAACCACCTTCGTCGTGCTCGGCGACGATGCGGGCCCCAGCAAACTCACAAAGATCAAGCAGCTGAATATCAAGACGATCGATGAAAATGGTCTTTTTGCACTGATACGTACTGCTCCCGCGAATGGAGGCACCGGCAAGGGCGCCGCGAAGGCCCGGGAGAAGCAAGAGGCCGATCAAGAGAAGATCAAACAGCAGGCAGCAGAGATGGAAAAGGAAGAGAAGGCGCGAAAAGCCGAAGCAGAGAAGGCCCGCAAGGCCGCGTCTGTCCGAGGTGCTACCGGCCCGGCTCAACCAGCAGCCAACTCTCAATTATGGACGACTAAATATGCCCCGTCTCAACTGAACCAGATCTGCGGAAACAAAGGCCAAGTCGAAAAGATTCAAGCCTGGTTGAAGAACTGGCCGAAAGCGCGAAAGTATGACTTCCAGAAACGTGGAGCAGATGGCATGGGAGCTGCACGTGCGATCATTCTTTCAGGACCTCCGGGCATTGGAAAGACTACTGCAGCACATCTCGCCGCAAAATTGGAGGGATATGATGTGATAGAAAGCAACGCCAGCGACACTCGAAGCAAGAAATTGGTGGAGAATGGCGTTAGCGATGTCATGACCAACACCTCTTTACTAGGCTATTTCGCTGGAGACGGCAAGAAGGTTGAGGATGCCAAGAAGAAGATCGTGCTCATCATGGATGAGGTGGACGGTATGTCTGCAGGCGATCGTGGTGGCGTTGGCGCTCTGGCGAAGTTTTGTAAGAAGACCGAAGTACCCTTGATTCTCATTTGTAACGAACGTCGACTACCCAAAATGAAGCCTTTCGACTTTGTTGCCTTTGACATCAAGTTTCAGCGACCCACGGTTGACCAAGTCCGCTCTCGAATCATGACAATTTGCCATCGCGAAGGCTTGAAGTTGCCTGTTCCTGTTGTGGATGCGCTTATTGAGGGCAGCAATAAGGATATTCGACAGATCATCAACATGATTTCAACTATCAAACTCGACCAGACCTCTATGGACTACGACCAGAGCAAGTCGATGTCAAAGGCATGGGAGAAACATGTCATTCTCAAGCCATGGGATATTTGCCAGAAGATGCTTGCGGGAGGACTTTTTGCCCCAGCGAGCAAGGCAACTCTGAATGACAAGATAGAGCTCTATTTCAACGACCACGAATTCAGTTATCTTATGATTCAAGAGAATTACTTGCGCACGCGCCCGATGGCGCTACAGGGCAGAGGCTACAACAAGAGAGAAGAGAACATGAAATATCTCGAACTCATGGATCAAGCTGCCGAGAGCATCAGCGATGGCGACCTTGTTGATAGGATGATACACGGGCCCCAGCAACAATGGAGCTTGATGCCAACTCATGCAGTCTTTAGTTCGGTAAGGCCTTCGAGCTTCGCTGCTGGTCAACTCTTGGGCTCCAACTTCACATCATGGCTTGGAAATAACGCCAAGAGTGGCAAGCTGGGCCGCTACATCAGGGAGATTCACTCCCATATGAGATTGAAGTCGTCTGGTGACCATAACGAGATTCGTCAGCAGTATCTTCCTGTTCTTTGGTATCAGCTCATCCAGAGATTATCTGTGGAGGGCAAAGATGCTGTCGAAGAGATAATAGATCTGATGGACAGCTACTACTTGACGAGAGAGGATTTCGATTTCATCAAGGAGTTGGGAATTGGACCGCAGTCAGAGGACGTCGTCAATTTTGAGTCCCAGACCAAGGCGGCATTTACTCGAACGTAAGTTCATAATCACAGCCGGTATGAGATTGTTAGACTAACATTCGCAGTTACAACTCGATGTCACACCCTGTTCCGTTCATGAAGGCCAGTAATGTTACTGCCACGAAGAAGGTGGCCAAGGAGATGCCTGATCTTGAGGAGGCTATCGAGGAAGAAGATGATAATGATGTTCTTGAGCCAGCTGAGGCTGACGATGATGAAACCGATATCAAGAAGGACAAATACATCAAACAGCCGAAGCAGAAGGCTAAGAAGGCAACTAAGAAACCCACAAAAGCTGAGGATGATGATGAAGACGATGATGTGAAACCTGCAAAGGGACGTGGCAAAGGGAAAGCAGCCGCTGCCAAGGGCAAGGGCAAGAAGTGAACAAACAAATATCTGTTTGAAATCTTTGCTTAGCAACATTTCTTAGACTGGCTTCTACTTCATGGCTTTATAAGAGGTCTTGGTGCAGCTTAGTCTTATCGAGTTGCTCTGATAATGAGGTGAAAAGAAAGTGGTTGTTGTCATACAACTTATGGCTGAAAAGATAGCTATATAAGATTTACCACACTATCATTTGTCATTCCTTGTATCGTAAGAGGCTGATTTGATGGGGCTGGGACTTTGCTGTCGTCGCTTTTTGGCCAAGTTTGTTTACATTTATCACGACCTCACATCCTACTTCTCCCAAGCACATTCACACTTTCCCGAGAATATCACCACAAACATCATCGACAGACATCCACCCCGGGGAACAATCATCGTCACCAGTACCATCACACTGCCATCAGAGAACTTGACAACTAATCTCGACGACTAAGCAGTCATCAGGTATTTATGCAAAATGGAGACCCAAGCCTTTTTGTCCTCGATCACCCTCGACATTGCTTCGCTCCGTTGCATTTGCTCTTCGACCCGTCATCGCAATCACCTCCAGTACCTATATTTCGAGCCTTTGCTTCTTTCTATCGTCCCGCATTTGATTTTCAGCGTTTGCTCGTATTGCTCTCTTGATTTTTCACATGCGCTTTGCTATTTTGGCTCATCTAATTCTGACCGCGAACGGCTCAGGGCAAACAAGCAACGCGAGAAAAGGGCAAACAAGATGGGTGACTCAGATCCTTTCGTGGATCATCCGAATCCAGACCGCTTGGACGCCAATGAAGGCATCAAGCTTCTGGAAGCGGCCAGAGGCAGGGTTCGGGACAGTCCTTGGATGAGAGGCGTTGACTTCGGTGAGCATCTGAGATACTGGTGATCAGAACTGACTGTATTCTCATCTAACAACTGATCAGATGCCGAACATCATGACTTCCAACCCTCTAGCTCTGCTCCTCCTGAGATCGCCCCATCCGGACTTGCTCCACCAGATCGCGATAATGCCACAGCCGTTCCCGGCTGTAGTAATCAAAAAGGTGGTGCTATGCGCGTCTCAAATTCCATGCTGAAGACGTACATTGCCATGCGTGGAACTCATGTCGGTTTTAACGATTCCCTGTTTGAGTGGGTTAACGACAAGGAGCGTGCGGGTCGTCATAATAACGATGGAGAGCCTTCGTGAGTTAGCCATTTACCCCTTTTTACTGCACCATTGTGAAGTACTGCTTGTTACATCAGAATCTTACCAAAATGTGTGTTACAGCTTAATTCAAGACATCGATCGTTCTATTCGCTACAGAGAAAGCTTGAAAGATACTCCCCGTGAGAGACAGGAGGTGTTCTTGTATGACCGCCCGCATGGAGACCACATTCGAGCACCCGTCGGCCACAACATGGAGCTCCACAAGTTGTCTGTGAAGGAACGCGATGAGGGTTGGCATAAGAAAGTCCGAGCTGCTGACGGAATCCGTATGTTGCCTTGACTTCATGTCTGTATCTATCACTGACCCACCCCTAGCTCTTCGAGACTATGTCTCTGATGACGAGGGAGACCCGGCGGACGCCAGAATCTCTCCATGTACTTTCCTGGAGTTCTCGGACGGTGCTCGTAGATGGGATGCTGATCAACCTGAGAAGCCCGAACCCGAGGTCTGTTCGTCTCTCTACTCTCAAAGGCAACGAGCACTGACAATTTGCAAAGGATATTCCGCTTCGCCCTACTACCCCTGATAATCGTCCACACGTCCACAAGGAGCGTGTACTGCGTTATCAGCGGGATGAAGAGGATGGAAAGACACTTTCGGCCGAGGGCAACTATGATTCCATTTCGTCTATGCTATTCACTCCACCTGGTAAGCGATCAATCTGCATGTTCGAGTCAATTCGCTGGTTAATCGTTAGAAGGAGTCTCGCCGGGCATGGCTGGTTATCTCAACCGTCTGTACCTCTACGACCGCATGAACGCCAACGCAGCTCCGGCAATTCAGGGGCGTCTGGCTGCACCAGCGAACCCTTTCAATGCCTCTGCCCCTTCTGGTAATGAGTATTACCGCGAAGTAAGCCACCTGTCTTCCCGTATAAACGTCACCAGAACGAAAGCTAATCTAATGAACACGAATAGGATGAAGTCAAGGAGGTCATCTCCCGTGAGTGGAAGATTGACCCAGCCGTCGTGCAACGCAACCTTGAGACGAAATGGGCCGAGGTTAAAGAGAACAAGACCGAGGAGGACCGGATGAATGGCTACATCGAGCGGTTCCGCCACGAGAACTACCAGCTGAGACCAGACAACGAGAAGCTGCACGACTGTCTGGCGGTGCATCGATACCAGCAGCAGCGCAAGGAGAGTCGCGCGCGTCGCATCCAGCAGCACGTCTACCAGCAGATGCAGGAGGTGGATGTGGAGCTGGAGCACTCCAAGCAGACGCTGGACCTCGCGGTGCGAACCTACGAGCGTATTGACCGAGAGAACTCGGAGCTGCTGTACGAGAGAGACGTACTCCTTCGGGAGTTTGGCAAGGAGACGCCCCAGGAAGTCTTCGACATGTTCCCCGACCTATTTAAGCATTGATTTCATTAGAGTTTGGTCACTGTATGTTTGGTCCTCTTGTTGGACTACGTTTTTACCTGTCGGTCGTGTTTGTTTGTGTATTGGATTATGTTGATTACCGGGGGGCTGCCCCCTTTTGTTAGAGATACCCTGCTGTAGTGAAGTTACACCATTGCTTGGAGTTAAGGAAAGATATCGGTCACAACTTGCCGATTTTTGTGAGACGCCCATGTGAGTTGGTAGCCTCTGGTCAAGAACCAGAGATGTTTCGTGTAGGATTAGTATGTCGGAACTTTTAGTCTATGCACAAACACTCTGATGTAAATTTTGGTCCAAATCTTTCGTCAACGAACCATGCCATCATGCGCGCGATATTCCATCTTGAGAGGAGCAGTTGTACATCCAACCTGAACGCCAGTGCCATTATACAAGTTTTTAAAGTGGTGATACATTGAAGATATGGCATTTGTCGCGTCTCTTAGGCGTTCTTGGTAACGCCGACCTTGGCGGCCCGTAGAACACGGCTGTTCAGTTTGAAGCCCTTTTGCTGGGTATGGAAGACAGTGTTGTTCTCCTTGTCTGGCATGGGAGCCATGAACGTGGCCTCATGCTCATTCGGGTTGAATTTCTCGTTGATCGGGTCGAATCGCTCTAGGCCGTGCTTCTTGAGTGTCGATAGGAGAATACTCTCGGTCATCTGGATGCCCTTGTACAGGTTGACCAGATCCTGAAGATGCTCTGACTTCTCAGCCTCGGTAAGCTTGTCCTCCGGGACAGTTGCCAGGGCGCGGTCGAGGTTGTCAACACTGTCAACCAGGTCCTTCGCGAAGTTGGTAATGGCGAAGTCCTTGGCGTTCTTCATATCGCGCTTCGTTCGCTCCTGGAGGTTTCGGAAGTCTGCCACTGATCGCAGGTACTTGTCCTGTATGACTATGTAAGCATGGATTCAGGAGACAACGCCATTCGGATGGAACTAACCTTCCAGTCCAGGGCCTCCTTCTCCTTGCTCTCGAGTTTCTTCTTTAGCTCGGCCTCTGCTGACGGTACCTCTTCAGCCTTTGCCTCGCCCTCCTTCTTCGCAGCATCTGTGTCTTTAGCAGCTGAGTCGGACTCGGCGCTGTACCATCTTCTTGACAGAGCGGGCTGAATAGCTCTGGCCGACAACGGAGAGGAAATGAATTGCGACCGGTAGGCTGGTCTCTGTGCAATTGACTTCAGGTTCGACCGAACCGCTCTGGAAGGGGCTGCAAAGGCTTGTCGTAGCATGTTGGGCAGTACTCTGTTTGGGAAAGTGGACTGTCGGGCTGTCTGGGTGAAGTCGCGTGCCGAGCTTGGAGGCAAGAAAATTTATATGACGATAGGTGGTGAGCTCTCGAGTGCTCGGCAGCAGATGGAAATTTTAGTGAGCTGAGAGCCGCGCTCCCGATAAGGCGGCAGGTAGGCACGCTAGAGCGGATCAATTAGACCGCACTCAGTCCGAGGTGATTGGTTGCGCATCAGTGCGTCGACCCCTGCTATAAAACAACGCTATGGGTGTCCTTAGCTGTCCAACCAGCGCACAGGCCTGCAAGGCAAAGAAAGAGGCGCCAAAGGCTGAGGCTCACTTCCTTTGACCTCTTTTCTGGTGGCGTCGCGATCCCCCGTTTTTGTCGCTCGACACGCATCCTCAAACAACCACAAGCGGAGACCACCGTCGAGGCTTCCAGAGGATCGCAGTCGCCAGCGAAGGATCTGAACAGTAGAGCGCAGCTATAGCGCTCAGAAGCCAAGATGGAGTACGACACGCTGATGCTGGATGGCGAGACCATAGGTCCCTCCGTCAAGATCTCCGAGGTGAGTGACTGCGCCGACCTGAGATCCTGTCGGGCAGCCTCGTCAAGATCTAACAGTAGCCGATGGTTCACAGGCCGACAATTCTCACGTTAATTTCGAGCTGAATAATGTCGATCTTGCCTTTGCGAATTCTCTGCGCCGTGTCATCCAGGCCGAGGTCCCGATCATGGCTATTGACCTGGTCGAGGTGGAGGCAAACACGAGCGTCCTTGCTGACGAGTTCATCGCCCACCGCCTGGGCCTCATCCCGCTAAACTCCAAGAATGTCGACGACGTGCTATATACCCGCGACTGCGACTGCGACCAATATTGCGAGCAGTGCAGTGTCAGACTTACCCTACATGCCAAGTGCCAGTCGGACCAGGTCATGAAAGTGTATGCGCGGGACCTCGTGGTCGACTCGAACAGAGCCAACCAATGGGTTGGCACTCCCGTCATCACAGACCCTGATGGTCAGGGATCATTAATCGCAAAGCTTGGCCGAGATCAGGAGTTGAAGCTTACTTGCATTGCCAAGAAGGGTATCGCAAAGGAACATGCCAAGTGGGCGCCTACTGCTGCTGTCGGCTTTGAGTACGACCCGCATAACAAGTTGCACCACCTTGACATGTGGTATGAGCAGGATGCTGCTAAGGAATGGTAGGTTGCATCTAAGCGCTGTTCTGTGTAAGCCCGTAGATATCTAACAGAACCCCAGGCCCAAGAGCAAGTATGCCGACTGGGAGGATCCGCCACAAGAGGGCGAGCCGTTTGATTATGACGCTGTTCCAAACCGATTCTACTACGAGGTCGAGAGTGCGGGCAACATCGAGCCAGACATGATCATTCAACAGGGTATCAAGGTGCTGCAGCAGAAGCTTGCCGGGCTTATCCAGGCCCTTGGTGAGGGAGATAGTGGTGCTGGTATGAATGGCGACTTTGGTGGACCACGAAGTCCCGAGTATCAAGGGGGTGATGCATGGCAAGACCAGGGCTACACCACCCCCTACGGCAACGGAGGAGCCCAGAGCAGCTGGGGTAATGTTGGCGGCGCAACGCCGTATGGCACCACCACGCCTTACGGTCAGCCGGGCCAGAGTGGTTGGAGTTGAGTCAAAAAATGTTCAATCAATGGGACTGTGTTTGCAGTCAGGGGACACGTCGTTTTCCACATTCACACGGCTTGTATAACTTACGAACGATACCGAAAGGCATGGAAGAGGCGCAGGATGGATTTTCTTTGCTTGCACTGGAACTAAAAAAAAGATTGGGGAGTTGATGAGATAGACGAAGCAGCTCGTCATGTAAATTAACAACATCTAGACCAAAATCGAACCTTGCATAGCGTTTGCTAGCTGTTCAACGGAATAACGCCAGGAACATGCATGATGGATCCCCTGAAAACGCCTTATCTTTGTGCCCTGTCTATCCTGTTGCCTGCCCCCTGTAGACGGCTTATAACTTCATACCGGGGATTCTATTCCCTGTACCTTTCTATATACCTTGCGGTGCATTTCTAGAAAGACGAATGTACAGATTGTTTGTCTGCAAACATTTAGTGTCCTGGAAGAGCCATAGGCCGGGTAAGGAAAACTTACGGTCCGAGACGAAGGAAACTTGGCACCCAGCCCTTGAACATCCAACGGAAACCATCCTGAGCATACAACTCAGCAATCACATGAGGCAAATTACTGTGTGCCTTCGCCGACATGACACGGGTTTTGACGACATCCACCGGGCTTGTAATGGTAGCGGCAGCCACACCGGCCAGGAATGACGCGGTGAAGTGCGTTGCCAGGTTGTCGCCCATCGGGGTCATTGTAAGGAGCATGCGCTTAAATGTGTCGTACGAGGCGAGTTGTCCGGCAGTCATAAACATAGCGCGTACGCTGTTGGGCCACACACCGCGGAACCAGCTCGAAAGTCCTTCCTCACGCGCCATTCGGATCATACCGTCAATGGCATGCTTGTAGTTGCGCCTTTCGGCAGCCGGTAGCGCGGCGTCGTGCTGCATACGCACGTTGAGCACGTCTGCAGCGTTGCCTGATATGCCTCCCACGAAGCCCGACGCTGATGCCATGGCAACCAGCAAAGGGAAAGAGGGTTGTTTTCCTTCCTTTGTGAATCTTGACTTCAACTCCTCGTATATACCGAAGCGGGTCGTGGAATATGTGAGTTGGCGCAACAGGGAGGCTGAGATGCCGTTGTATAGACCACTGAAGCCATTGTGCTTCACAATATGCACGAAAGTCCCACTCATGGATTTCGGCATATCAGCAGATCGCATTTGTAGCCGTACCTAGAGCGCATTAGAAGGATATCGAGGAAGGGATAACAGGCTCAAGGCCGGACTTAAGGAGGTCGTGTACCTTGACTTGGAGCAGTGTTAGCTATGAGGGTCACCAATAAGGGTTTCGGATTAAAACTCACCAAGATCTAGAGGATGAGTGACACACGCAGCCATGCTGCTTGCGCTTCCTCCGAACCAGAATGGATACCGAATGGGTTTCCCCGTCTGCTTTTGCTGCTTCTTCTCCGGCTTTGAGCCCGGCTGCGCCGGGGCCGTATCGGACGGCATATTGTCCGATTACTATGAGTGCATTCCTCGAACAATAAGACGAAGGAAATGCAAGTCGGCCCAGCCAGACAGTCTAGCGACAGGCACGGGACAAGAAAGTTGAGGAGGAATTGGCGTGAGATCGTGAGAGAAAAGTCCTGTAATCGGAGGTTTCTTTGGCGTCAGTCACAGCCGACCCTAACGGCCGCCGGGCGCTGGCGCTGCAATTGAAATTTTGGAGCAGCAACACAGCGTCATCATGCACGATGACAGGGGTCTATAGGTAGCCGCGGCCAGTGTCGGGACTCGGGACCCAATAGTAGCTGTCGGCTCGGATTACCTAACCGTTGCTGATTTTTGGGATAGCTTCAGGGAGCTCCCGATCGCATCGAATGATCTACATCACCACGAGAACTTGACAGTTCCTACAGCAATTGGGCCACATCGTCCAAATAATTCGGCCGAATATGGCCCAGCCATGGCGTATAGCTGTTCGCCTTGCTCTTCCGGAGCTTGCGCCTTCAGCAAGACTGAGCCGGCCCATTCATGTCAAGTCAGTGACGAACGTGAAGAGGAGCTGGCAGGCGGCATACTCAACAGGTCAGTTGTTCCGAGAGCGCTGCAGCTCCATGTCTAATGATCTCTATAGCATCGGGGAAACCTAGCTCCGCCACTTCGCCAAAGCACCCGGAGAAGGTCGAGATCGAAGGCAACTCCTACAAGCCAGACGAGTGGTTCAATGTGCCGTCCAATGTCATTGCCGCCGCATCGCGCAAGCTTCACCTACAGAAAGACCACCCGGTCTCCATAACGAGGCAGATCCTGGAGTCTGTGTTTCCGCAGCCGACTTTCAAATCTTACAACGACTTTCACCCAGTTGTCTCAACCCACGAGAATTTCGATTCCCTGGGCTTTCCTCCCGATCACCCAGGCAGGGCTAAGTCTGATACATACTATATCAACAAGGACACTCTACTACGAACGCATACCAGTGCTCATGAGGCACAGATATTCAGTGCAAACGAGAGCGACGGCTACCTGATTGCCGCAGATGTATACAGACGAGATGAGGTTGATCGCAGCCACTACCCTGTCTTTCACCAGATGGAAGGAGCTAGAAAATGGGATCGCACCAAGGTTCCAAATGGCGACATTGCAGCTGCTGTCTGGGCAGACCTGGAAAAGTTGCCTAAGCATGACATCAAAGTCGAGGACCCGAATCCGCCGCATCATGCGGAGAGAAATCCCGTGCAGGCGCAGCACCACTCCCCCGAGGAGGCGGAGGCGATAGGAGCTCATCTCAAGAGGTCCTTAGAGCTTATGGTGGTCGAAATTTTCACCCGTGCAAAGGCTGCCGCCATGAAGGCAGATCCGAATTTCGTGGATGAGCCTCTCAAGGTGAGATGGGTTGAGGCTTACTTTCCGTTCACGAGTCCTTCCTGGGAGCTGGAGGTCTACTATGCTGGAGACTGGCTTGAAGTGCTTGGTTGCGGAGTCACCCAACAAAGCATGTATATCAATGCTGCTCAGCCTTCGCAACTAGGGTGGGCTTTCGGCATCGGTCTCGATCGCATCGCCATGCTTCTGTTTCAAATACCGGATATCCGTCTGTTCTGGTCGACAGATCAGAGGTTCTTGAAGCAGTTCACAGGTGTTTCAGACAATCTTGACCTCCTTCAGCGTTTTGTGCCCTTCTCAAAGTACCCGGCCTGTCCCAAGGATGTGTCATTCTGGCTACGATCTTCCTCTGCTGCCGGAGGTAACACCAAACCGAACATTCACGACTTCCACGAGAACGATGTCATGGAGGTCATACGAAATATAGCCGGCGACATCGTCGAGGATGTGAAGCTAGTGGATGAATTTACCCATCCCAAGACGGGCAGGAAGAGCTTGTGCTATCGGATCAACTATCGAAGTCTGGAGCGGACATTGACAAATGTCGAGGTAAATCAGCTTCACCACAACGTCACTGAAGCTCTTGTCGAGCGCCTAGGGGTTGAGATCAGGTAATAGCTCGAGGCGCAGGTGGTGGCCAAGACATCAGATGAGGGGAATATCATGATGCATGATGCCTAAGACGGTTTCTTCGTGAGACGACCTCACTGGCCGCTGGAAGGGGGCTGAGCAGCTCGGTCCAGTATCCGTGAGAACCGGTCAGCTTCCAACGTCGCGGGGTTCCAGGGCGTCAATGAGGATTCGCATTCTTGTATTACTGCATCTAGACTTTCTGTACGATAGGCGGTACTGTGGAGGTGCGACTGGCACTATATTGGCCAGGGTTTCTCCGAATCTGGTAGGTGTGTCCTACCACCACCCTCCCGCTGCTTCTCTGGGCAGCTGCTGGGACGACTATGTTCGCAACTCAACTCGGAAAGAGATAAGAGATGCCGACCCATCGGCAAGACTTTCGGATGGAGCCAAGAAGCAGAGTTTGATGTGTGTCTTGAAGAAGGAGGCTGTGCTCCAAGTCCGTAAAATCTGAAAATTCACCGTCGATCGAAAAGTCCAGGCACTCTACCAAATGCCGCCAAGGGAAGCAAGATTCCGAACTGTATGATCCAAGCGGCCAATGCTTTACTGGCTCAGCACTATCGGGTACTGCCCGCAACTGATTCAGGAAATGCGTGGAACTTACTCGTAAAACCCGAGCGCTGAATGTACATTGAACTGCCAGGATGGGAACCGCCCGCTTAGGATGCACTCCCTCCGCAGTATTGACAAGCCTGCCCGATTTGAAATTATTGACAGTCCGCATGTTTGATTACATTGGGTACTAAGCCTCTCCGGCTTTGCTGGCTTTTGCCATTCTGAAGAGCAGCTTGCTGATGGCAACAAAGCAGATGCCGCAGCCGCGTGGACGCCCCGTCGTCTGCCCCAGGCTAGCGGAGAGGGAACAGAGGGACTGGTTGAGGGCTGAGCTCAAAGAGAGATTTGTCCTGCTGTGGCTGGGTACGCGCTGGGAGCGGTTCAGTGCGGTTCTAGGTTCGCCAAAGGCTCTAGCAATTCGACAGTGGGACCTGAAGGCACATGCCTGGATGCTTCTGGCCCCCTGGCGAGTTTGGTTTGGCCGTGCTGCTTAGAGGCGGCCTCCTCCACAGAAACCCCTCTCGGCCGCTATTCTGCCGGGATCCCAGGGCACCGGATTGACCAATGCGGCAAGACGAAATGTCAGTCTGTGCCAGTATGTCAGTGGCACCTGTGAGGCTGTGCACCGAGACCAACAGGATGGACGGTGGACCACGTTCCCGGCGAGATGCCAGGACCCGGCCCAGACGAGCGCAAAATGTTTCTGTTGAGGCGTGCCCGAGGGCCAATCAGGCTGCCTTGCCCTGCGTCCTTGCCTGTGCAGATTGGCTTGCTTGCCTTGCGGGGGAGAAAGCCATCGAAGAGGCCAGCCCTGGAAGTGCGTATCTGCTCCGTTGGGCAAATCAAGACGAGGGCGGCAGTGTAAGTAGTCGCTGTGGCAAAGAGGCACCGGGACGACGACAGTGGGGGCGACATGGGGACAAACAGAAAAGGCCGACGTAAGATAGCTTAGAGCGTTAAGAGAAACCCGTGTTTCCTGGCTTCACACAGCCTTCCTGCCAGAGCGTTTCCGGCTGTTTGCGCGGGATCAACATTGTCGAAACCTGCCAGCTCCAGTGAGGTGATCAGGAAACGGTTCTGAGATACGACCGGCGCTTCTCTTGTGTTTCACCGTTCAAGTGTCCGTGTGGGAAGGTGGCACTTTCCCGTTGTTTCCATCCACCATTCAACAGGTACAGCCCCTCCTTCCCTCTCCACGGCCTCCAACAAAGTGGACTCCACTCCACCCTGCACCGCACCTGCATCGCCTGTACTTAAGCTACTACTACCTACCCTGAGCCACTGGTCTAAACTGCCTACTACCTAGTCCCGGCTCTCCCCAACTGACCTCACCTCACCTTACTTAACCTCCCACTTCCCGCTTGGCGACACACGACACTCAGTCAGAACAAGACAAGACAAGACAGACCCCTTCCACCTCCGCGCAAGACAGCAACGCCGCCCTGACAAGAGGTCATCAAGCCTTCCTACGCCACGATACGCCACCGAACACCATCGCAATCTCGTGTGCCCCGTGGTTTGATTTCCGTCCAACCGGGCAAGCATATATTCGCTGCACGCCGTCCGTCCCATCCGTGTGCATCTTCCACCCAACATCGCAGGTCTCGTCTCTTTTACGATAACTGAGATCGCTTACCCACCACGTCGTCATACCAAGAACATATCAATATGGAGGCGCAACAAGATACTCGTCCCAACCCGCCATCGCGGACTTCTAGCAGAAGCTCCAAGAAGAGTCTGACCCTCGATCTCTCCAACTTGCCACCTCTCATCCAGCCAACCCCACCGTCCAACACACTCCTCTTCACAAACCTACAAGAGCTCGACATCTTCAGGCCAGACAACCTCCAGACGATACGAGACCTTGTTGCCACTACGGCGCCCATACACAGCTGGGCACCGCTCAAGTCGTTCCGCCGCATCATTGTGTCCTTCTTCTCCGAGGACGATGCCATAAAAGTGCGCAGTGTATGGGATGGCGAGGCTGTCATGGGCGAGCGATGCCGCGTCTACTTCGGCCAGCCCACCCCTATCGACTCCGACAAGGACCACCACTTGGCGCTACCCGACGCTGGCAAGCTCTTCTTCATCAGCCCGCCCCCTTCGCCCCCGCATGACTGGGAGATGCGCCTCGAGGGCGCGCCCAACAAGGAGGTCCATGCTGAGGATTTGGCGGACGCCTTGGCCAAACTTCACCACCAGAAGGCGGCGGCGGAGTCACCGATCAGCCCAGTCGAGCGCAGCCCGGGGTCGGGGTTTCCCAGCCGCCAGCGCAGCCGGAGCAGTACGCTGATCTTCCAGCCTGCGGAGAATGGCAGCAGCCCCGATTTGCCGGCGATCGCCGTTGAGGACATGACGGACTCGCCAGGCGACATGAGCCCGGTGCCCGAGAAGCCCATCTTGGCTCACACCTCTCGCCCCCCGGTAGAGCTCATGTGAGGCATAAAGGATCGCAAGAGTGATTCATAACTTTGATATATTCTTGTTTGTCTAATTTCACAAAAATCATCGAGTTTGGTCAGGTCAGGCGTTTAGGAGAAAGGGTCCGGCATAGGGAAGGTTTCTTGAACTATAACTGCACAGCACCGGACAGCCAGCACAGAAGAGCATGCACTATCAGCATGCACATATACTTCGATGAAGCGCGGGATCAGTGAAGTGGGAAACTATTTGTCCACCTCCTGAAACAGGAGATATCGAGGCTACCAAAGACCAGATGTGGTCTCTTGTACATGTATCGATTTCTAATAGATTACCCCAAAAGAAGATATATTCGCAGCAGCGAACAAAAGCCTTCGTGTCTACCGTTGTGACTTGGTTCACAAAAATGATCTGGTAGTTTCGTCAGAATCGATGATTTCCGGACGGAGGTGCGTATGAAATGAGACCATGACGTGTTGCTCAATGGCGGCAAGCGAATCATGATACAGCAGTATCGAATGTTGTCTCTAACGAAATATGAGATACGTATGCTTCATTAATGAACATTACCAAGAGCTGCCTGTCTCGTGTCTATGTAAGTCTAAGTGCAGTGTCCATTGGACCGCCGGCCCCGTGGGGCTAGTCGGAACCAGTTGGCCGGATCCGCATCCTAAACTCGGCTCTCTTGACGTACCCCGTCCGCTAATCCCTACCCACTCCCTCCCGCCTTACCACCTCTAGGACGCTTCCCCTATCGCTGGGTTAATCTGCCTCAATACATGGAAATGGCAAGTCTGGAAGCTCCGCTGATATCAAATCGAGACCAAGCAGAGGACGACGATGATGCTTTGCAAGATGACACGCCGGAGCCCATCCCTGCTGGGACGAGGGAAGCAGCCCCGGGGGTCTTTGTATGGCTGCTGACTCTGTCTGCCGGCATCAGTGGGCTGTTATTTGGCTGTGAGATCCCATGCGCTTGGAATGCAGGCGATTTCTGTGACTGACTGACCGAACGTGCAGACGACACCGGCGTCATCTCCGCGACTCTCGTCTCCGTCGACACATCCCTCTCAGACCGGGCCTTGACCTCGCTCGACAAGTCCATCATCACGTCGAGCACCGCCCTCTTTGCCCTGCTGATCACGCCCTTCTCCTCCGTCCTCGCCGACTCCTTCGGCCGCAAGCGCGTCATCCTGCTCGCCGACGTGCTGTTCGTCCTCGGCGCCGTGCTGCAGGCCTGCAGCTACACCGTCCCCAGCATGGTGGTCGGGCGCTCGGTCGTGGGCGCCGCGGTCGGCGCCGCCAGCTTCGTGGTACCGCTGTACATTGCCGAGGTGGCGCCGGCGTCGTACCGCGGCCGCCTGGTCACCATCAACGTGCTCTTCATCACCCTGGGCCAGGTCATTGCGTACATCATCGGCTGGGTCTTCGCCGAGTACGGCGACCGCGCGACGGGCTGGCGGTGGATGGTGGGCCTGGGCGCCGTGCCGGCCGCGGTGCAGAACGTGCTCATCCTGTTCATGCCCGAGACGCCGCGGTGGCTGGTCAAGGCGGGACGCTCCAGTGAGGCACACCTCGTCGTTCGAAAGGTGTCCGGGCGAGGGTCAGAGGCGGCCAGGGTGGCAGATGCGGTGCTGAAGAACATCGAGGTCGAGGTCAGGGAGGAGGAGCACACGAAGCGGAGCCGCCGCCGTGATGGCTCGCGGATGCCGTGGCTGGATGGCTGGGACGAGCTGTTTACCGTGCGGAGAAACCGTCGAGCTTTGGCTATCGCGTGTCTACTTCAGGGGCTGCAGCAGCTCTCTGGGTTCAACTCCCTGATGTACTTCTCGGCAACGATCTTCACACTCCTTGGCTTCGCCAGCCCTACGCTCACCTCACTGACGGTTGCTGTCACGAATTTCATCTTTACCGTCATGGCGCTGCTACTTATTGACAAGATCGGACGGCGGAGAATACTCCTCTACTCGATCCCCTTCATGATGATCGGCCTCTTGCTCTCCGCATACGGCTTCTCCTTCATCAAGATATCTACATCAGCCATGTCGGCACCCACCGGCACCGCAGCACCCGAGGTATCCGACCGCAACGCGGCGCTCATCGTGCTGGTCAGCATCATGCTCTACGTGGCCGCGTACGCCATCGGGCTGGGCAACGTGCCGTGGATGCAGAGCGAGCTGTTCTCGCTGAGCGTGCGCTCGCTGGGCAGCGGGGCGGCGACGAGCACCAACTGGCTGGCGAACTTTGTCATCGGGCTCACCTTCCTACCGCTGATGGAGGCGCTCACGCCGTCGTGGACGTTCGTCCTGTACGCGGCCATCTGCGGCGCGGGGCTGGGCCTCATCTGGAGGGTCTACCCCGAGACGTCCGGGCTGAGCCTCGAGGAGGCGGCGAGCCTGCTGGAAGACGACGGGTGGGGTGTCCGGTAGCAGCAGGACTAGCCTATCTGTATACACCTCTGCCGGGGTAATAATTGTTAATTCTGAGTAGGAATCGTGACTTCTCAGACAGCCTTGTAAGGGAGTTGCTACTTTTGTCGAGACCAGCGGGGCTATAGAAATAAACAGAAGCTTTGGTATATTCAACTTGCTAAAATAATGTTTATTA